TTTCTGTCTCTCTCTCTCTCTCTCTGCTGGCCGCAGGAAAAATTGCAAGAAGCCAATTTACGAGAAAACGACGTGAAATCGAATCGACCGGCGATTTTCGTTACGTCAAATCGGCGATTCTGGATGAGCGTCTACTCAACGATTGAGCAACTGCCCGATAGCGTAATAACCGGCGCCCGGTCGCCTATATTTCTACGTAACACTCGGTAAAATGATTGCTCACAGTTTCTCTGGAGCTTACGATCGACACTTTCGATAGCGTAAACGATCCTATATATGCGTATGAGCTACCTTGATCCCCGGTCGAGAAAATTGCGCTGCTTCCGTACGGAAATTGGCGGCGCGACAGCGAGGCGTTCGGTTCGTTTCTCCGAGTCGAGAGATGAATCGAATAAAAGAGAAGGGACACCTGTAAATAAGAAGAGATCGCGCCCGCAACTTCTTTCCGCGGCGTTTCCTCGTTGCTTCGCGGGATCGGTTCCCGCGATCGATTCCGGTTTAGAATCCAGCCACTATGGCTCACATCCGGCCGCAAATGACGACCTTACCCGGCTCGCATTTTATCGGGTCTCACTTTCCTCGATGCGAAAGAGCGACCTTTGCAGAGGTCACCTAGACGAGCACGCTCGAGTTTCACCAGCGCGCGCCGCCGATTCCCTCGGTGTAGTCGGACGATCAATCTGCTACTTCCTTCTTCCAGCGTTGCAGCTGAATTAATGCCGTAAGTGGTGTTTGCGCCGGATAGACATGCCACACACACACACGCACATAGACACATCGTAATCAGTTGAAGAATACGATAATTTACGATGCGTCCTATAAAGGAAAATATGATTTTCGCCCGTCTCTCGATAAGATTCGCGCACGCTCGCGGACGCTACTGGTCTCGCGCGAAATTTATACCGTCTTGCGCAACGGAAACGTAAAGATTTACCGACGCTAACTTCAACAATCATTTATACGTAAAAACAAGTTAGCGTGATTGGATTTCCCATTGCCTGGGGACGGAAAGGTCGGTTATAAAAACCGAAAAATTCATGCCGGAGATTTCGATCATATTCAGTCGATTGCTCTCAGTTTTGTCTACGCCGGACTTTTAACGAAATCTTTTCACGAGCGTTCTCAGTTCTCGCAATAACAAAGATATCGTTTCTCGTCAGTAAATGCAAGTTTTCATTCCTTGTCGCTGATTCTTTACCCGGTACCTCCAGTTGCCCGAATTGAACTTTTTTCTCCATGTACGTGTTATTTGCGTCGGATGAGCTGCACACACACACGAACCGTAATCAGCAGAAAAAAACGATGATTCTCGATATGCCTAGTAAGCGAAATTATCATTTTCTCCGCCTCTCTCTCTCTCTCTCTTTCAATAAGACTCGCGTCCGGACGTTGTTGGTCCCGCGCGAAATGTACACCGTTTCTATCAACGGCAACACAAAGATTCGCCGATGCAGATTTCAATTTCACGCGACTAGTTACGCAACGGAGTTACGTTAGACGTTATTTGCATTCCCGGACGTTTCGTTGTAGGATCTTGAATTGTCGATCATTCATTTCAGGATTTATTCGATAAGAACGGGAATCGCAAATGCAGTTTCGACGTTCAGCAACGACTTGATTTATTCTCAGGACGTCCGTCCGCATTGTTTTGCAACATCGACGTAGCTGCAGAGCCGGTCATTACGCGTGCATAATTTGCCGGTAACGCAAGCGCGGCTTCGCTCGCCATTAAAACAAACGATGTAAATGCAATATCGCCCAATATCATGGAGGAAGAGATCGTCCTAACGGATTTAGATGCGTGACCGGCCGCGTGCGTGCGTGCGTTAGCGCGACGTAAATGTGCGCTGAGATTCCTTCGTGAACGTAAGCACCGAGTAATTAATGATGAGCTTCCTGATTCTGCGTCGCAGGTAATAACGTTCGACAAATAGCGCGGATGAGGCTCCATTCTCACATAGGAATGTCACCCTGAAGCGAGGATTAATCCTTTCACCGCTACCGTCCGCCGCATCCTTCGATGCGTCCTCCGACGTCTTTGTCATACAATTCGCGCGAGTTTTATCGCCCGGCTCAGGAGAGACGGAGAATTACGGGATCTCCGAATTGTTCCCCGATACGAATTCGTCTTCTTCCTTACGCGAAAGTGATTTATCGCTCCCCCCCTCTTTTTCTCTCTCTATTTATCTTGGCAAAATATAGCAAAAGGAGATCAGTGCAGACCGGTTAATATTTCGATAGGAAGACGATTTCCGACGATCTCGCAGCATCCATCGCACGAAGTTCCTCCCAGCAACGAAAACTCTCCCCGACTGTAATAATAAACGTTGGTAAATTGCGAGGATTAAAGGAAAGCCGGGGATATAATAGCGCGAGAAGTTACGTGTGGCGTAAGGAGTTACGGCACACTTCGGGATAAAGTCTAGATTANTTTTTTTTCCCCCCCCCCCCCCCCGTGAAAATCGCCGGCGCAATTTTTTCCCGACTTCGTCATTAGCTCTGCCGTTTCTTCGCCGAAACGCCAATAAAGAGACTCATTACGAGCATACGTGCTCGCCTTCGTGCTCGCATTGCGCAATCCTAGTCCCCGTGAGAAAGCGTATCGCGCTCTCCGCCCGCTTACTCATTTACTTCGCACACGCGTTGCATGATTAATTGCCGCGCGAGATGATACCGCGAGGCGGGAGATACGATATCACGCTTTCGTGTGAAAACGGCAGCGATCGCTAATAACGCACGCTTCTCCCCCTGCTTTGCTAACGAGTCTTTCCCAGCGAAGCGAGCGAGTCGTGGAACAATTATCGTTTCGTAGCCCCGTCGACCGCGAGATTAATTACGAGCCTCATCGATTGTCGTTGCGCACACATCGAAGGAGCGGAGTGCGCGTTCGTGGATTCCTCGACGCACAATTCTATTCACCGTGCGTCGAATATGACGCAGAAAACGTTTATTCGCGTATCCGCACACCGACGGAGAAAACTGCTACGTTCGAGTAAATATTTGCCAAACTACCGGATTTCCTCTCATATCTGGGTAAACTAAATATTACTCGGATGTAACACACTGGGGAAGAAGTGTTGCGCCGGAGTAACACTGATTTAACCCGAGCTACGTAAGTTACTCCTTAGCGAATATTTACTCGAACGTAAAATCTTTCTCTTATATCTATACTCTTTGCGTATCTCGCGCGTCAAGTAGGATTTTTCAAATTAAGAGCGGGATCGATCTTATCGGAAAGCCGGGTTCGCATTCCCAGCTGCATCGGCGATACAGCTCGATCGGGGCTGTATTTCCTCTGAATTCGTCGCGAATCGCGGCGAATATAACAAGTCAATCGTGTCGATAATCGGCGCGGCGATTTAACGGCCGGCCATTCCGCGTTCTTCCGACGAGACGGGTTGTAAACGAACGAATGATGACCTGGGTCGCTCTCACGCGTCTATCTCTCAGCTGTTCACTTCCGCTAGTGAAAGGTGCATGCACTCCAGCCTACGGTAAAATGAGCTTACATGCATCCTCGTGGGGGCGCATCGCGGGTCCCGATGGTGCATTACGGCTCTCGACACGGTGATTATCGTACGAAACGACGGCTCGACACACACACACACACACGCACACACACGTTACTCCGATCGGAATTTTATTCACCGTGAACAACCTCATTCTCATTCCTGAAAATTTCATGCCACGCGGAAACGTCCATTCGTTCCTTTTGCGCCACAATACGCTCGCTCGCGCTTATGCTCGAGGAATACTACTACAATTATTTCGCGACGCTCTCCTCCGAATGTGAAAGCGTGCCTGGAATGAATTCGCCCGGAATTTCTGGGACGAATCTTCCGCGTAACGCCGATTTTACACGATCCGGCCGAGAAATCGGCGGGGAGCCCTGACCTTGATATTAAATTCTAAGGAGGACATAAATCTCGGATACGCGGGACACGCATAGCCGGAGGGGATCTTCGTATCCCACGATCTCGCCGGTTTATGCCACTTCTTTGAGATAGGAAATCGAAAGGCAGCGCCGTATCGTCGTGATGGTATCCCTTATTCGCGGGACTCGTTCGTTGATACAAGTGCCGAATTAATCGGCCGCTTCGAGGCAGAACCACAAGCAATTATCAACGCTCGGGAATCATCGATTGGAGAATTACGAAGGTATTCCCGAGAGTATCTTACTTTCGGGGGCCGCCGGCAAATTCGGCCGATTGATTTGAGAATCTCGCAGTTTCGCACAGACGCGAACGGAATTCAAAGCGCGGACGGTCCTCCGAAAATCGTACGCGCAGCGCGAGCAAAAGGAATGAAATCGGGAAGAAATCGTCGAAGTTTCGTCACGTCTGGACTTTGCGATTCTAACCAGTCGGAATTTCTAAACGCGCGGCGCCGTCTGCCAAGTCGCGCGGCGTAATTCTAAGACGAGCTCGGTGAACTTTTTGCGTCACTTTTGGCCCGCAGCCAATCGATTCGGTATCATATTTGTAAAGCGTCCCGACGAGGTTTTCGCAACGAATCGCGTCCGTCTGAAAAAACGCGCCTTGTTCCCGTTTAATCACGATGGAAAGCGACGTACATTCACGTAGAGCCGGTCGCGCTAGCTTTTCGAGTAAATCGCGATGCCGAAGTTATTTCTTTTATTGAAGGAGATCATCCCGTCATCTCGGTCGATGCGTCCCTCGTGCGATAAGAATACCGTGTGTTCACTTTCGCACGATATGTATATTAATGCAGCACAAATTTTTGAATCAATAGAGAGAAGGTTGCAATTGCATATACATCTATAATTATTTACCAGTATGTGTAATTACTTACTTTATATATAATTATTTACCTTTGCGTGTGATATTGCTTACCAAAGAAGGGGAGGAGAGAGAGAGAGAGAGAAAGAGGTCGTTTTCCTGAAGAGTTTGAACTATTGCGAACGAATGATCGCGCAAATTGTGTATTTCCTCAGTCTTACACGCTATATTGTCGGGTTGATGTAAAAGTTCCTCCCGTTCTTGAATTGAAATGTACACATGTATAACATTTATTTATTTTACAATACAATCAATCGATTAAGTATGCGCCGTATTGTTCGATGATGTCTCTCGGATAGCTACATGACTCCGCGTTCGTACACCGCGAGGGAAAATATCTAAAAAATTAAAGATGGTTTATTCGGCGTATTTAAATGACTAGTAACGTAATTTACTGAAATCCCTCTGTAAGACCTTTTATTTAATATAGAATAAACAATTGCTTTCATGAAAAGTTACAGATGTGAGAAAATGCATATCTCCGTATTTGAAGATATTATGTCTCAGTGTGATAATATATCTATTAGCATAAGCAAATATATTATTAGTACCCACCGAGTAAATATTTGTTACCTTTTAGATTTTTCTCCCCTCAATGTATAGAAATTCTCGCGATTTCCGAGCGAAAAGTTGGCTGAAGAAACTAGGTAAACTTTTTCATCAATCCAATACAGCAGAACGACGACGATTGCTGAAACGCGTTGATCGAGTTTGCAAAACTGAGCAAGCTAAACGTTCCTTATATCGTGGGAGAAAGAACATCCGTGAAGTAAATAATACTTATTCAGTGGATACTAATAACACATTCACTTAAATATCAAATTATTTTGTTCAAATGAAACGAACGATCGCTTTCGTGAGAAGCTACGCAGATTTGAGGAAACGTACATTTTCCCATTTGAAGAATATCCTTTCTTACTGTAAAAACATATATATTAGCGTACGTAAATATGTTATTATTACTCACCGAATAAATCGTTTTTTTTATTTCTCATATACTTTTCCTTCCAGAGTATGGAACGGATCCCGTCGGCGCGACCACAATGTCCGCCATCCTCCTCCTGCGCCTGCAGTTCCCGATGTTCGGCAGCGGCTTGTTCTTGCACTTCTTCGTCCAGCCGTCCCACGCCTTGAATCCGTCCCTATTGTAGATCTTCTTGGCGCACGCGATGTCGTCCTGTATATCGTCATTCATGAAGTCCTCGCAGCGAGCGTTGCACAGTCCGCCCACGCGTCCCCTGGTGCACCACTTTAAGCTGTTGATCTGGAGGATGCCGAAGGAGTAACTGGAGGCTGTTTTCGGCCCGGTCATCCGGCTCGTGTCCAGTCCGCTTTCGCTCTGCATCAGGCAGATCCAGTTGCTCATCATGCTCCTGCTGATCTTAGCTCGCTGCAGCTCCCTCACGGCGTCACATTGCGACAGAATTTTACCCTCCACCGGCGGCCGGCTGATCGCAACTATCGCGAGCAACAGAATCGCCCACGGCCTCCCCATTCTTCAATTTCAATTCCTCGCCGGTGTTACCGCGCTTCGCAGGTAAAAAACGTCCTTCTGTCCGAGCACTGTCTGATCACTCGAACGGCCCAGCACGACACTGACTCTCGGGAAGCGCCGAGCTCTTCGATCTGCCCGTTGTTACTCTGGAAAATGCCACTTACTGATAAGCTCACTCAGCCAATATGCTAATCTCTTCAAACAGATTATCTCACTTTGAGGAACACACCGAAGGAAGATGAAGAGATTTTTCACCGCGCGCTCCGAGTTAGCGCGAGCTTCGCTCGCTCAAGATCGCTCTTCCGCCGTCTATTCGAAGAAGCCGGCGATTTCTCGGTGAAGAAATTTTCCCGGGAAAAATGCGGCTCCTATCCGTGAATCGATTCTCAGGTGAAAATTCACGGTCTCGCTTGTTTCTTCTTTTTTTTTTCTTTCTTTCCTTCCGAGACGCGACGACTCGCGATAACGATCGGCACTCGCACGTTGAGGACTCGTGCGCGGAAACGCGCCGCAACCTGGTCTTATAAATGCGCCGTCTGCCGCTAACGCGGCGAACGATCGCGAACGGCCTTGAGCTTGAGCGATACGCTATTATCTGCCACGCCGTAATAATAACGCAAGACAACTGTCAACAGCTCCGCCACGTTGAGACGCCGCTTGCCGTCGGCGCCGGGACGGCGAAGCCGACTCGAAAATTCGAAACAGCCTTGATCCGATACAGCGACACGTGCATTTCGAATTTTCCAGCCGCTCGTCGGCCGCTTTTGGCGCGAGGCTTCGGGAGGACGCAAGCCGTTACTGCGCAGATATATTCACTCGCGGAATAAGCCGACTGTACAGCGTTTAAACGGAGATAGCGTGTTCTACGCACGTAAACGACGGTATTTCTTACCGACAATTATACTCCGGGTTTATATTGCAACTCTTGTTACATAGACGGTGCATCTCGTGACTCTCTTCGAAGGGAAATCGCGCCTTTCCTCCGGGAATTATTCTGTCGCTCCTTTATTGTCAGACACATCACATGTATAACTTACAAATTATTATTTACCGCTGTCTCTGCTCGTTGGATTTTCCTTTTGCTTCTTCGAACGCCACTTCGGAAGCTTGATAAGCCGCCGCTATCTGCTCGTAACACGACTCATGCGAACCAACAATCAATTCTTTCCCGACCACGCTTCTCGCAACGTCGAGACTCTNCCGAGTTTGATCCCCCCCCCCCCCCGCACTTCCCCCCGGCTACGAAGTTTCCCAGAACTCCTCTAATCGCCGGCAAATTTCCCGAAGATGAGATCGACGCACGATTGGCTTCCTGTTAGCATACTCGGCGTGCCGATAAAACGCGATACGACGGTTCATCACGACCGGGGGTGATGCAAAACGTGAAGCGCGCGCACAACGGCGATCTAGGAGTATTTACATTGATCATTTACATCTATCGTTACATCTCGGAACAGCCGTAACGTGTTTTTATAAAGCGTTACGAGATCGGCAGTACGTAAAAGGTTGCGGCATAAGGTTTCATAGAAGGCACGATAATATCACATTTAAACTTAGACGTTACGACATTAAGACTTACCTCAGACGCTGGCGATCTTATAAAATACGGGCCATTACACTTGGTTTCTACAATAATCGGCAAATGCATCCTGCATTATTCCTATGCGGTTAAGCTTCTCGCTACGGCAGTCATCGGTGAATAATACGGTTTCGTTGTAAAGCAAAGTTCGCCAAACACACACACACACACACACACACAGCAGATCAGTATATACTCTACATAGAATAATTTCACAACTCTGGAAAGAAAAATGAGACGCACGCCGTAAATCGGAATCTCGATTACTGTATTTCGCGAGAAAAGCCTCATGAGAATCGTGTTCCTTCTTCGAGAAGCTGCGAGAAACGTCCCGTCTCACAGCAAAACACGCGAAATTTGCTCGACCTTTATTTAGCCCTCTGAGACTCGGACGCAGTAACATTTCATATTTACAACGCGTAACAACTAACGAAACAATCTGGCACCAAAGTTCAATTCGGACGTTCGGTCCGCCGTCGGTATTGCGTGTCCCGACTAGAACTACTGACTCGTGCACAACGAGAACGACGTCCTTATCTCGAAGAGGCGCGTCTCTCTCGACTGCAACGTCGCAGTTGACGTCGTTTCTTCACTGCCGACTTGATTCTTCTTCTTCAGCAATTATCATTATTATCTTCGACAGCCGGCGATCTCTCGTTTCGCAGATTCAGCCAGCCGGATTGTTGGTCCTCTTCTGTCTCCTCTCTTTGGCGAAGCGCAGTATGTCGGGGTTATTGTAGATCATGTCGGACAAGGTCTCGACGCCGGCGTACGTGTCGGCTTTGGAGCCCATGCACATGGAGTACTGGAGGTTGGCCAGCTCCCTGCTGCACTCGATCTCGTGGTACACGTGCACCAAGTGCCTGTCCGCCGCTCTGAAGACGTCGAGGCCCGACTTGACCGCCTTCTCGTAGAACTCCACGTCTTCCTTACCCCATCCCTGAATCGAGAGGTCCAGGCCGCCGATCGTGACGTAATCGCGCTTGTACAGAGAAACGATCCCGAAGCCGTACTGCCTCCAGTGCCCGGAGATCTCGTTTATGGTGAACCTGTCCTGCTTGCCGGCCTCACCGTACACCATCTGGGGACTGTATTGGCTGAACACGATCGGGAAATATATTCTCCGGCCGAGGAGCGTGTTCAGACGTATCCTGTTCAACGCTGAATTCGTGAAGACGATGTCCACGTCGATGAACAGCGTCAGATCGTCCGGCTGCAGCTTCGACACGCCGGTGTCCAAGGCTCGGGCTCTGGAAAACTCCCCGGATACCGGCAGTACGTCGATACTGACGCCACGGTACGTGTGCTTGAGCCGTTCGATCAGATCTATCGTCTTGTTGTAGGAGTTCTCGTTCTTTTGCTGGTAGAGCACGACGAGCAGCGACGTCTTCTCGCCGACGGTCAGGCAGATCTCCTCGTAGTTCTTCAGGAACCTCTGGAAGATCTCGTAGCGGCCCGACAGCGGCAAGATGAAGTTGATGGTCTTGCCGCGCACCAGATCCTCTTCCTCTTGGTAATTGAAGTTGAGATTCAAGAAACCACCGTGGAATAAGTGGTGAATGGACGTATCGTCCGACCTCTGATAGGGCTCGACCTCAACGCCGTTCACCGTCTCGCGTATCTCCAATCCTGCGAAAACACATTCGTGACTTAATATTGCGGATCAAATACATTTTGATGATCCTATATTTCAATACCTTCATATCGTACAGATATCTTTTATCGCACAAGCCTTTTCTACTTTTATTTTTAATCGTACAAAATAAATACTTTTATTTGCAGAGACGCTTTTACAGTACTTTATAATACAGATGTTTCATCACAAAGTCAGTCGCTATAATTAGAATAAGATCCAACGAAAATGTCAATTTTCCAAACAGAATGTTCATATTATTATATTGCAATTTTTTTTATCGCTACTTTCCATTACGAGATTTTTTTATCACACGTCGAATTTCATTTCTCCAACGTCGAGTAGAAGAGACACTTCTACCTCTCGCAATGTCCAACATCTCTCAGACGCTAAAAACATCAATTCTTGACCAATGTTTGACCCACGTTATTGAATGAAAGAAAACGATATTTTTAGATAAGAAAAGTAGGATGGAATATGAAGATAGAACTGCATAGGCGTAAACGGTCATACCAGTGAAGTGCTGATGGAGATAAACGTGTCGTCTGACGGGAAGAGTGACCTTTCTGCCACGGTACTTCCGGTAAACTAATAAAAGATCTAATATCGTGTCAGCCCCATAGGAGTTCACCCTTCTGTATCCATAAAGCGCCGAACGCTCCTCGACAACACGGCCGCGTTGCCGCGAGCAGGAATTGATGGAGGCCATGACTTCCCGGGTGATATCTTCCAGGCCCTCCTTAATGTCGCTGTGAATACGCCGTCTCGGATTGGAATCGGTCAAACTGTATTCCAACCTCGAGAGGAAGCCCCACGGGATCACTTCGTCACTCGTCGTCGGCTTGAACGAACTGAGACTCGCCGGCACACCTGCACAAACAAGATTTTCCTTAACAAATCAAGAGCACAACCGGTTTCTCAATAAGCCCACGCCGAAATGGCCCCGTAAAAACGCACGGAGAGACGAATGTAATGGAAATGGATGAACTAAAACGACTCAGGGAATATGATGGGTGAGTGATTCGATAAATATCAAATTTTACATTCACATTTTCAATATCAATTTCTGATACTCGGATCAGAGAAAGAGAAGAAAGGAAGCCAATAAGAGGCTCTGCACGTATCATGTAGTACAATGAAATTAATACTTAGTATGTTACTAATCACCATGGGTGAGCTAATTTTTATCTTCAACCAAATTAAGTTAAACATTAACGACCTATAAAATGAACTTAGTTAAATTGAAAGTCACCTAAACGATGTTATAAGAAAGTACTGACTGTTTTATGCTCAGAATTTCGTATAATTAAAGAACACTAGCGCTTAAAGAGACAAAAGAAATTTCGCTGGCTGGCGCATTGGATTTTTCTTATTCTATATTGTAAGCAGCCTGCAATGATTTCACATTGTGAAATTATTTTAACTTGTATAAAAGTTAACAAGTTAAAATTAGTGCATTTTATGTTAAAACGTTAACTTATTTAAAATTAAGCAAGTCAAGTTAAAAGTTATTAACTCTCTACATTTTTAACTGAATAACTAGTTGCTATCCAACTCTGCCAATTACTGATTATTGATGTTTACACTGTGACCTAAGTCCTTGTTTATTCCACTGAAGAGGGTCCGATTTGGGATCGAAATGTCTGGACGAATACACGAATATCATTCACATTAAATTAGTGATTTACTAAGCATTTATTTGTCGTTGCTGCGCCACATGATTCGTGTATGCCCTTTTATCGACCTTTTCCTCTCCTTCTTTGACTTCTTCTGATATTAATCGACAGATACTCTGCCATAGTCCCTCGCATGCTCGCGTTCCTTTGCACTTGTGCTGTTGTTGCGGATATAAAGTCGTTAGAGAATTACTTGGAGGGAAGCGCGTGAGTGTCGTAATTTTCCGTGAGATCTCGATGCTCCTTGAACCATAACTTCAAACTATAACTTCATCGACACGCTATGCCCGCCTTTACAGTCAATTAATTCAGATTTATTGCATCACACTCTCGAGTCAGTCATTTTGTCGGTCAACGCTCCAACGCGGTGACCGCGAAATCGGGCGAGGGTGTAGGAAATGGAAATGATTGGAATAGTAATGACTCAGGCTCGATCGTTTATATACAACGGACCGATTCGAGGCATGACGTATGCCAAGTTTGGAGTCCCGTATTAGACTGGCCAAATGAGAACAATCATTCTAAATGAATTTATCGCTGAAAAGTGTCTGGAATAACACGATCGTTCTTGAGATCGTCAGTCTTATTAATTTTCAGACGTTTCGGCGGCTGAATATCACTGCCACATCGAATCTGGCCGTTTGTATTGCGTGAAAAACAGCCGACTTTCTTAGAATTTCATTTACAGCCCATCAAATTAAGAAGAAAAGGCTAATTTGTAGAAGTATGAAAACTACAATAAGAGATTCGTAATTACACTGAGAGAGAAAAATGTCTGAAAAATAAAGAATATTTACTCGTTATTAAGTAATACTAATGCTATATTCTCTCTAAATATTAATTTTTTTATTTAAATATATAGAATAAACAATTGTTTTCATAAAAAACAGATTTAAGAAAATGTATATTTTCTCACGTGAAAAAAATTTTCTCATTGTAAAAATATATGTATTAGTACATAAATAAATAAGTTTTGTACCCAACAAATAAATATTTTTTATTTCCTAGATATATTTTCTCTCAGTACAGGAATTCAATATTTTGAAATTCGTAATTTCGTAAAAGGAGTGTCTACGGTTCAATTACATATTTTTGTGTTCTTTTTTTCTCTTTTTTCAATTGTATGTGTGTGACAAAACAGGAACGAAGCACTCGATGAAATCGGACACGAGGAGATCGAACGTGCTGATAGATACGCAAAATAATACCGCGATTCTCGCCTCGTCGCGAGATTTTGTATCCGGTTTCAAACGGATGCATGATTCTCCTGGCGAGAGAGAAAGAGAAAGAAGGCGAGTATGATTTGAATGATGTGATAGCATCCCGGTAATATCTCGATAGGATGATCACGTTAAAGCGGCGAGAATTATTATAGTCGCTCGTGATAAACGCGGATGCGCCCCACTCACGGCAGCGATAAACGGTAAAAGTTTTACAGTGGAAAAATGTGAATCGTTATGAATAGTTAGTTGCAGACGCCGGCTCGGACGCGCGCAACGGAACCATTCTCGTCCGAGGGAAACGATAATAAAGCGGAAACGGTAAGAGAGCCGTTGTAATTTCGCATGCGTATGTAGCATCGCGCGGACGTCGTTCGATTTCCATAGCCGGTTCGTGATAACGGAAGTGGGAGATCACCTAGTACGTCCGTGTCGCCCGGGTAATTGTCGGAATTAGGATCGACCGGAAAGAGACGTAGATCCTCCACCATTTCGTAATTCTTCAAGGTATCCGGGTTCACTCCCAATTCCTGGGCCATCGTGCGAATGTCCCGGTGTAGATGTAGCCTCTCTTGCTGCAAGGCTTGTATTTGCAGCCCCTGCAATTAGAGAGAAATACATAATTACACCATCCCGTCAGCTGCGCAACGCTGCTAATAACAGGTACGTGATATAATCGTGATTTTGGTATTAACGATAATCGTAACGACGTGTCGGGGATATCTCGCCGCAGACGCGGGGAATTCCCAAAGCGCCCCTTTGCACGTTTATTCGCCTTACTTTGCCGCTCGTTTACGTAACGGTTGTTAAGTTACTTCACAGTCACGGATAAGTAATGGAACGGCTAGTTCTTTTTTTCTCTCTTTTTTCATGCGATTGCAGCGGTTATCGTAATTATTATACTTGATGATACGAACCCTCATGTAATTGTGCAGCCTGTACATGTGAGGCGGGCTTTTCACAGGATGCAAAGTAATGGCACGATGAACTTCTTTTTTCTTGAGATTTCCGGTGAACGCCTGGGCCCCGCTGCTGTTGTGGTAGAGAATGGACTGCATCTGCGGGATCGTCGGAAGGCAAATCGTGAGTGTCGCGGGCTCGTGAGCGTCGTAATTGCGACAACAATCGCGAGATTCCGCGGCAGCGAGCGATCGAAAAATCATCCCGTCCTCGTCACACGATCTATTTATTCAGATATGCTGCACTGAGAGGGAGATCCTTCAGTTGCCGGAACAAAAGCTCTTTTGTTGTCTCTATTGTTGAAGATCCGGCCTCCTATTCTTGAAATGGTCGCGCATACGCAAGTGCCATTACGCAACTATTTTATGGTATGATTATACCTGCGCAAAGACATTTACGTAAACGCTACCACTTCAAGAATAAGAGCCCTGTTAAGGAGACCAAAGAGTTACTGTGGCTAATCATTTATCGTCATTTGTTATTTTAACTATTGCCGAGCCAATACAGAAGTGTTTTGTTAGAGCAGCAAATGAAAAAATACAAATTATTTGTTTCTACTGCGGAGTCATCTGTTGTCCCATATCTGTAAACCATTTGCAATTGTATACTAACGAAATAATTTGTCTTAACTTCCTGTAATTTCGTGACACCTTTGGAATGTAAGCAATTGAATTTCTACGAATATTTGAAGCGAATTAAATAAGCCAATTAAAAGGCACATTGAGAGAAAAAATATCTAAGAAATGAAAACGATTTATTCGAGAGGTACTATTTGAATGAAGCGATTTAGATTTCAGTGAATACGTTATGAATGGCAACTGAATAAATATTTGGACTTTTAAGACACCCTTTCTCTTCAGTGTGTGAAGAAAGCAAAATCTGGATCTTCTGCCGAAATATGTACAGCGGGTGTATTCTTCTACCTGACGATGTTCGATCGTCTGATTCGACTGGTTCGATTCGCTTACGGCCGAAATTAGCACGAGCACGACAAATTATTCCCTCGAATCGCGTACTCGCTTAATCATCGCGATAATGGCAGGGCGTCTGTCGATTTCGAGCGAGCCGCGTACACCAGTTCGTCCCGAATGTCTGAATGCACGCGCGAGTGAGCCTCGGTAAATGGCAATTAGCACAAGCAGAAGCGGAGTTAAAGTACGAACTTCCTGCCAGTGCAGTACGGCCTATAATAATTACTATTAAGAACGTCGCGCGTATCGCGTCGTCTGGACCGAAACGCCAAACCCGCGGAGCAAGTGCTAATCAACACTGTACAACTGGGTGTGGTGGTTTCTTATTTCACAATATTACGTGTGCGTTTCTCAATAGCTAACGGACGAGCATCTCAGAGTGTCGTTCGCGTGGCTCGCTCTTACGAATCTTATTGAAAATGTTGTAAAAAGCCTTCTTGCTTTTGGAGCCAAGCGACGAAGTCTTAAACTTCCTTGGTTCTTCGGCTGATGAAAAAAAATCTGAAATAAAGGCTAACAATATTTGACATTCTTTTCGCATAATTCTACCTTAAAATTTTAGAGCGCAGTTTTGCTTCTTCCTTCACTCGTATTATGACGAAAAATATAATTCGTTTTCGGGCGATGAATGCGAATTCTGCTCGGCTTTGAATTTCTTCCACTTTTATTCCCTTCACTTTCAAGGGACACTTCATACGTCTCTCCGTTTCAAATTACACTTCCATAACGATAATCCTTCTCCCACGATTTCCGTGCTTCGCTAAGGTATTTCGTTAAAAATAAAACCGACTTAATATCCCAGTTCAGATTCGCGTAACTCGTTCGGATTTCGCGTCGCCACAGAGGGACACTAATTTCTCGGGATTAACGCGCGCAATATCGCAGCAGGTTTATTGATCTTTCCGACGGCCGTAATAGACGCAGCAAAAGACGCTGTTATTGTGCGCGTGACCCACCACCACGATCGTAAAATCCCTTATCGAATCTCGTGCGCGGCCCGATCGGCCGATCAATTGCATCACGCATCGAGTGTGCAAAAATGACCGCCGGCAAACGTTGCATGTCGTACGAACGATTGTTAAGTGTTTCGACCTTACGTCGAGTGTCAAGACGAGAACGAATGGTCTAGCCAGTAGGTTAGCAGGGTACGATTTGTTCGGACCTAACGAGTAACATCCTCATCCGTGCACTTTACCTTTCGTCCGTTGCGACTGTAATATCATCAACGCATATCATCAGGAGTCGTACGCATCCACGCAAGTACACTAAGCTCTTCAATCAAGCCTTAGCGTTTACTAGGCCAAACTCACCGGTCTATCTGAGCGCTCGTCGTCTTCGGATACAACACGAAACGATTACCATCCTGAATATCTTGAATATACGAGAGTAAGAGCGAAATTTATCCAATAGAAATTACATTATAATATTCAATAATCATCACTTCGAGCACCTTCTGTAAATGTAAGCCTCCTTTATCTTCGTTCATGATAAAATATTGATGATGAAAATATTTGTATTTTTCGAAGGTATTCGAGGTGGTGCTTATAGGTGGGATTATTGTCTTACCCGGTACAATTAAGTTAAGCTGTTAAAATGACGAATTAGCCGAATAATCGTACACACGTGTCCAATCACGATGCGATCGATTCGTAATTATACTGAGAGATAAAAATATCTGAAGAATAAAGAAGATTTATTCGATGGGCACTAATGAGATATTCACTTAAATGTAAATTCTTTTGCTTAAGTATATAGAATAAACAATCGTTTTCGTGAAAAGCCACGGACTTAAGAAAATATTTCCTCATTTGAAGAGAAATTTCCTAAGTGTAGAAATATATATATTAGTACACAAATAAGCGTATGCTTTTAGCATCCAACAAATAAATCTTTTTTTATTTCTTAGATATGTTTTCCCTCAGCACAAGAATTCAATGTTTTGATATTGGCTTCGCAAAACAAGCGTCCACGATTCAATTACACATTTTTTATTTGCTTTCTTCTTCTTTTTTCAGTTGCGCGTGTCCCGTGACAAAACAGGAACGGAACACTCGATGGAATCAGGCACGCGGAGATCGGAGATCGTGCTGATAAATAAATACTTAATAAATAATTGGAAAGACCGTTAAGTTTCGACCAGGTAAATATTGAAGCTTCATTGCGGGGCTCAGTCACGTGTCCCTTGGCTTGTATAAAAATTCGCACCACGCGCTCCGTTTACGGCTCCCGCGTCAATTCTGTTCAATTATCATGACGTGCGCCTCGAAGATTTAAGCACTCCGTGGCACAAATTGTTACTTAAGCGGTGCGACCTAATGCGGCCGAGTGTCAAGATGGAGAAGAATAGCTCGATCTGACCATTGGGTTAGCAGGGTACGATTTACTTATTTAACGACTAACATCCTCATCTCTGCGCGTTGTATCTTCCGACTTGATTCGTCGGTGGCCTACCTGAGTACGTGGCTCGTGTACAAACATATCAACCGATAACACGTCTATCCTCTCAAGTCCGGCCTTATTACGCGATCGTTGTTCCATAGTTCCTGATTAAGTTACTCAAGATCTTCGTAATCTCCATCTTCGAAATCAAGTGACGAGAAAGTGGGAGATTTAAGTTCAAGATAATTCGAGATCACGCCTATCATTCCCCGACATCCCAGTAAACACTGCATTACGTCAATGTTATAATTTCCTGTAATTGCGGTATGTTGTACGTAACAGTTACGTCTTTGAGGGGGGAGTTTGTAATATCGATGTAACGTTACTGTTAGTGTGTTTAATGGAACATCGAGGTCGACACGACCGGTCGTCCACGATCGAATTATCTTAATCTTAAATCTTCCGCTTTCCTGTCAATTCTGTTGTTCACTTCTTCCATCTTTAACTCGTTTATTCTTTACAGTTTGACGGTTTTATTTTTTTGTAATCTTTGGTTTACCGGGATGTGCTCGAATAATGCTTCTATCTCTCATCGTGGGACACCGAGACAATTGTTGGGCAAGATCGCGAGATCGGGACACGTCGTACGCGTGGAGAAAACACGTGTAAGAGCGTATGTAACGTCGGATAAAGCAGCGTCTAATCTGCCATGCATATGTGTTAATCAACAAATCGCCACGCGTCCCTACGAACGTGCACACATCTGTACGCGCGATGCAGCTTCGGCGAACAGGAGGAAAAGAGGACAATCTTAAAATAACTTGAAGATCGCGTGGGTCGTGGAATATACAAAGTAGCGGCAATGGTTCCCGGTATCCCGGAAGTGAAAGATGGTGTCTCATATACAGTGACAAAATTATACTTGGTTGTTACGAAAAAAAAAAAAAAGGAAAAATATCGATGGATAAGTTAGGAGCGCGAAATACACCGCAAATTAAGAAGATACTTTATATTCAGCGATTCCACATTGTGTACAGATGAAATATCACAGTCGTGTGCTATCGTTAAGGTCGTTTTCATTGAAAGCGCGTTATCTTGGCATTAATCCAAGTAGCCTTTCGTTAAGCACGCACGAAATCAAGGTGGAGAACAGCGTTTTGGCAATCAAGGTGGATATGTTTAACATGTATACTTTCCTCGTCTCACGATAAGATAAAATTCGAGATACCTATCTGAGAGTAACGCGTCGCAGCTGCTTCGAGACGACAAAACGAACGAATCGATAGGTTGCGGACGTGTCTACATGCAACAAAGAAAGAATGTGTGAGAGAGGGAGAGAGAGAGAAAATGAGAAACTTTCACGAGGATAACTTCTCGTTCCGTCTCGCTGCTCTCAGCCGCACATTAACGAATGAAAATGCTCCGTTTATCAGCGACAAACTTATATTTACATCGACTTTGTACATGACTAATTAAAAGGAGAGATAGAACGAATTTCCCCAAACCCAATCGTAGGCTATTATAACGACGTATTATTATTAATTTTACGGGAGGATATAAATGTGTGCGTTCAACGTGCAACGCGATAAACATTGATACCTTCCTGCAAAATGAAAAACAGTACACGGGAAAAATTTCAATTCCCGCATCTGAAGCGGACTGGAACTCGATGACAAGGAATGAAAACTCAATTGCGGCAAATGATATATCTCTGTTGTCGCGACTGAGAACATTCGTGGGAAAATTCAGCCGCGTTGAAACTCGGTTGAAACACCTGACGAACAATTGGCGGAATAAAACTCTTTTGCAGGAATCTTTCCGCTCTTACTACTACCGAGTTTTCGGCCGGCCTCGGGCAAGAAAAGATTCAGTTGTACTAACGGAGATTGTTTTTTCCCACATACGTCGCTGCAACAGACTCGCGATTAGACTCTGAAAGGCCCGTTCTGTCTCTCCTCGCTCCGTTGATCCCTTATATCCGGTGCGTCAGTTTGATCATCGCTCCTCCTTCCCGCGTCCAATAATCGAGAATGAAATTTACCTCATAGCTCCAAGTGCAGGGAATCCCGGCGTACTTCTTCACGCATCTGCCCAGCTCGACGTCCTCGTGCGTGGTGTACAAGTGGCGCAGGCAGTACTTGATGTGCGGCACGATCCTCCGCAGGGTCTCCCTGGAGAGCACGACACCGGGGCCGCCCATGCAGAAGTTCTCGTCGTAATCCAACGACAGCAGGCCGAACTCCTCCGAGTTGCCCCGGCCGGCCTGTCCGATGTACATCGCCCTCCTGGAGTCGACGGACCTCAGCAGCGTCTCCAGCCGATCGGTCCTCACGTACACGTCGTCGTCAGCACGGAGGAACCATTCGAAGCGATCGCCGAAGTTGCTCCACATGTATTGCAGCATCATGAAGGACTTCTTCTGCGGCGGGTAAGTGTCGTCGACCCGCGGAAGCGGCACCAACGGCAGATCCGGACAGTTGTCCGGCACGGTGGAGGACTCCGACGAGAAGAAGGCTATTTTGCCGGGTAACTCTCTGCCCCAGGTCTCGTAGACGGCTTTAGCTCGCGTGTCCAGGTACTTCTGAGCCGTCATCACGCCTACGAAGACGAGGCTCGAGGTCGAGCTGTTGATTCGCTCGTCGTCTCTCAGCCTCGGCATATTTTGCGCCGACGCCCTCGGCGGCGATCGTTGCCCAGGCATGGACGTCCAGATGGCGACCTGCTGTTGCTGATTGAAAACGATCAGACGGTAGCTGAGTACGAGGAAACCCAGAAGTAGGCCCACCAAGAGGCCCAGAAAGGCGCTGCCCAGTCCACGCCGTTTACGCATCACTGGATACGTCACCTCTCCCATTTGCACTCTTCTTCAGGGGTTCCTGGGTCTTCTCTCATCCTCGTCATGACGCCCGCGATTACCGGCTCGGCAATTAGTACCGTCGGAGAAGCCCCCCCGGCCAATCCCATCGCTCCGTCCGCCGCTAAAACGCAGCGGCCTCCTTCGACGTGCGAAAAGCCTGCGGACGAAATCCGTTCTCCGTGTTATTCGGCGGGATTTCGGAAACCTCCCGTGAAATTATTGTTTCTCGTCTCGATTCCGCCTAGTCGCGCGGCGCGTCTCAACGTGAGGTCTCAAGAAAGATCGATCTCGCGTGTTACATCGGTGGGCTTAAAATCGCATATTTTCGCGATTTCACGTAAGGCCTTGATCAATCTTTCTCGGAAGGCGGTTCCTCTTCGCAGAAGCGAGACGACAGACCGCCTTCAGAGAAAACAGCTCGGCGTGTTTGAGGTCTTAAACAAATCCGCCAACCGCTGGACCTTGATCCGCGCGTTATTCGTAAAACAAACTTCGGCTCCTCATCGCCTTTTGCCGATTGGCCGCGCGTCTTTTTACGACGGAAACTCGAAAATCCGGCTATTCCCATCGGCTGATCGATCATCGACGGTAAATATTCATTATTCGGCGCTCGGAATGAATTTTCGCGATTTATAACGAATTGGTCTCGGCGGGCTTCACAGCCAACTCACGTCAAATTCTTCCCTCGAGGCGACGGAGAGCGTCATGTCGTACCGTGGCGGCGGTCTCGGAATGATGGAAGAATGTGCGACGGATGCGTGCGTCGGGTAATCTGCGAACAGAGCAAATTACGTGCCGTAATTGTTGAGCGTTGCGGTATTGACGTATCACGAAAAGTTGACCGATACGTGCGACGCGCGACTTTCGCGGATCGAGGTCGCACGCGCGTTAAGCAATGAACCGAGCCGACGTCAGCAATTAATGTCCCGGCCATTTTTCACCATCACAGGCGTTGCCTGCGTCTTATCGGAATATCAATCCTCGGGAAACGCGTACATCAGTTTACAGTAGCTCGATCTGATCGCGCGAGTCAATTATCCTTTTAAACAGCGTCCTCCCACGGGGATTATTATCCCGCGGTCATGAAAATTTAATAAACCCTTTTTCTTTTAATCGACGGTGAGAGGTAAAGTCACGATCACGTCGTGTTTCCCCACGCTACATTTGCGTCTTTATTTTTCTCGAAGCCGAGATCGCGATTATTTAATATTTATTATTTAACGTCTCTCAAGTAAAATTTGAATGTTTTAACTGATCTCCTCTTCATATTTGATTTCTTCAACCGTGTCAGGATTAAAACGACTAAAACAACTGAATATTCCATCGAAGGGCCCTAAAACATCGTCCGATTTTTCATGTTGAATATCACCGAAGTTTGTATGGTATAAATTTCCAAATGAATAATTCACGCATGACGGCTAATGCTTTTTCAGCTTCATTTCTCAGCGGAACACCGCCCACCTTTAAATGTGCCATTGCGCGTGCGATCTCACTAGTCTTGCTTACATTTAAGACTTTTATACTATACCTTTATTTTATTTTATTCACTTCTTCGGAAGCAAAAACTGTTTCGGGTCGTTTTTCATCCTGAATAAGTGAACTGATATGTTCTCGAAACGTTGGAAATATGAAGTTCACGAAGGGCACGGTGTTAACTCGAAAACTCGCTTTCCACGTACGCCACAGGCTTTATTCCGCGGATAAAGATGATTATTAACGTTAACACGACCGTGACATCTGTTGCTCTTACGCAAAGAATCATCTCGAGAGGGATAGGAGCGTTCTTTCGGCACAGAAGCGGCTTCTGATTCTTAATGAGACACCGAGCACGCTTGCGGAGTTCAAGAAAAGTTTCCGCACGATCGCTGCCTAATGCCCTGCCCGTGTGACGTGTCGTGATAATGAGAATGAGAACAAAGCGAGCACTGTATGCGCGCGAGCATGTAGAAAGTCGCGAAATATATGGCAAACGCGGGACGGTGCGTACAGAAACGAGAACCCAGCGCCGTTACGAGTTTTTCCTACGGCGAATTAACCGTACGGTTCTGTTATTTTCACGATCACATCCAGGAATGCAAGCGAGTCCCGCTTGCAAATCCGTAACGGATCGTCCGCATCTCTCTCTCTCTCTCTCTCTCTCTCCGAGAGAGTTTCGCCCGTCTGCAATTAATAATTGATTTTACCCGTATTCACCGTGGTAGAACTAATGTTTCCCGATCATGCGATTTTCCCCCCTCGCAACAAGGAAGTTCGTGACGCGCGAACTTCGCCAAAAGTGTGCCAGTGAAAGATCTTAGCGCGTCATCCTTTTCAGCGTGCATTTGCATGGCAAATATCTCATATTGTACGGCACATATTTGAATACACGGCCGAGTTCGACGCGATTTCCACGGCGAAGATTTCTCAGCGAAGATCCGAAGGAAGATCCAAAGCGGTGTGCGGCCCCGTTCGTTTCGCGAATCCTTCCCGAACCTCGTCGTTATCTCTGATTTATTTCGCCCAAATCGGCGTAGACAAAGACTCGGCCGGCAGCTGAAACCGGTTTCAGGTCAGCTGACGTGCGTATATTCGCGCAGCGACAAGGTGGTATCGAGTAATGACGTGCTTCTCGACGAAACCCGACAAACAAATCCTTCCGGCTGGCGAAGTCCTCGATTTTCTGCGGTTTGCTCGCAACACCTTTCGGCGCGGAACAGTGATTTCGCCTGAGCCGCCACGCGAACGAAATAATTCAACTGTCTAAATAATCCCTCCGCAAGTGCCATACTTTCGCGATGTTACGTAAGAATTAATAACCGTTATTCCAGAATAATAAATCTACCAGGAGCGATTTCCGCTAGATAATACAGTTACACCGCCAGGGGGATAATTGAACTCGCGTTGCGACAACACACACGCTCCGCCGATCCATTATTTATAAGATCGCGGATCTTTCGTTATCGTCGATTGTGTCTAAGCAGGTTCGCACGCCCGCTTCCTTTCTCACATGCCATGTGAGATCATTAAACAGGAAAAAACACGTGCTTCCTCTTCGAAATTCCTTGACTTACACACGCACTTGTGCGTTATCACGTAGCGGCGTACGCATCCACCGCCCTCCCCCCCCTTCAATTCGCGGTCGGATCGCTCCGCGCGTAATTATTGAATTATTCGCGGTACACGATTAATTACACGCCCCCAATTACACCTTTCATTTCGCGCACGCTTCGACGTATCTCCCTCCCTCTGTTTATCAAAGGTCATCACTATTTCGCGTAGCCCGCGAGAACAACGACGCAACAGGTTCCCTGTATTCTCTCAAATATTTACGACATGCTCCTCGTGGTATTGTAAATCGGATATCCATCTGCGGCCCCGGGAATTGGGTAATCCGATTCACCGTTCATTCCGGATACGCTTTTCGCGAGATAAGAATTTCAGGTGCGTGTTATCGGTCGCGACACGCCAAATTATCAGCTGATATCGCCGCAGCGAGCGATCGTTCGTTATTCGCGGAGCTGCTTGAAGAAGCCGACACAGTGTGGAGAAAAAGAGAGAGAGGGGGGGAGAGGGGAAAGAGAGAGTAGAGTTTTATTTGCCTTGGTTAACTCCACTTGATACTCAGTAAAATTGCATATTACAAAGAGCAGGGACGCAAAAAATATAGTGTAATTGCCTACGATAGTGCAAACAATGAGAGTTAATGAACGTAAAAATAAAGAGATATTTTAAGGAAATCGAGAGAGAGAGAGAGAGAGAGAGAGAGAAAGAGAGAGATCTCGGTAATGACGAAAGAGCCCGTTTCGATTACCGTTACCTGATCCTACGGCTTCCTTCCTCTGTTTTCGGAAGGAAAAAAGAGCGCGTCAGATCCGACGGAACAGACGCTGGGAAAAATCGAGCTGTCGTCGTCGTCGTGTTGCAGACAGAGCCGAGTAGTGATGTGGTAATCGCGATTACACGCACGACTCCTCGAATCCACGAAATCCCGGTGTTCGTCCCGTTAAAGGATACGCTTCGGAGTGACGTGTACGTTCGGATGAACGCACGTAAGGCGGGAGAACCGGTTTAAGCCGAAAGTCGGAGCCGAAGAGCGCCGCTGCTAGATAGTGCGTCCGGAGCGCGGCGTTTCGTCTAGTCGATTAAAACGGGGAGGCAACGGGGAAGCGTGTTTTTCGCCCGAGGTTACCTCACAAGGTGGAAATCACGTGGGGCGACGTTTCTTGCAAAAAAAAAAAAGAAAAGAAACAGCGAAAACGAAGCAAAGGGAAACACCGAAGGCAATCGCCGAAATGTCAAGTCGATAAACCGGCACGTAAATCGCTCCGGAACGCCTCGATCTGTTCTTCCTGCTTCGTCGAGTTCCTCGAGGTGACCGAGTCAGCGAAGAAGATAAAAATGTCGACACTTTGAGCGAATCAATCGTTCCGTATTAGTTAGAAGATAGATCGCCGGCAGACGCAACTTTTGTCGCGACAGCCAATCAGAAGTGTCAATGGCAACATTGACGCTTCCGATTGGCTGTCGCAGCAAGAGTTGCAGCCCACTAGCAACTAATGTAAAACGAGCTTCGAAGTCCAATTTGAATGTACAATCATAAATCCGTGGAACCGCTAATGGCGTTGCCTCGACGATAACTGATCTATTTTCGGAAACCACGAAGAAAGGAGAGTACGTGGACTCTCGTAAAAAGCGGTCGTGAACTTCACCTGAAAATAGATTCACCGTCGCCGGCCAGATTTAGCGCTGGGCCGTGTCCAGCCGTAAGTAATACAATAGAGCGAAGGAAGCTGCTGCCCGCTTTCCCCGAAAATTTCTCAAAATGCATTCTGCGATCGACGATCTGCGACGTCGACTGGACGCTGAAAGATCGTCGTGTTTCGTCCGTGCGGACTTCTCGGCAGAAGGCGGTCACGTAACAAAACAGCCGCGGTATCTGGAAACGCGTCGCGGTTAGTCAGCCGCGTGCGTCGGTTCGCATTAGCGCCGTGGTGAACCGTGTGCCCTCCAGATTGAATTTACGGAGGAAGAGAAGAGAGGAAAAAGGAAGAGAGCGAGCGAGCGAGCGAGAGAGAGATAGTCGTGGGGAGCTTTGAAGAGCGCTGAAGAAGAGCTTTCCTCACGAGGGACGCTCGCTGTTAATCGTTCCCACAGACACGCGGAATCGTCTGACCGCGCGCGCTGACAGTGCGAGCAGATTGTGTCGCGGTCGTGACTCGGATCGAGGACCAAGAGGAAAAACACGACGACGACGACAGACCGTTCGGTCGAGCGGTAAGCCGGCCCGGCCGAGTCATCGACTCTTTCACAGAGCGACACGGGCCGAATCGCCCGGTCATTCGTTGAACGACTCTATTTCATGCTCTGGTAGAAGTGTTCCCTCGTGGGAACACCGTCACGGCTTGCTCACCGAATTTAATCTTATCGTGGACGGGCTCGTAGATCCGTAACAATTACATCTTCCCGGCGAGTTTAACTCGACGTTTGAAGCGCGACCGATCGGAATTCTATTCGCTGTGCCCTAGTGATCGAAACGTTGCCAGCTATGCGATAATGATGATGATGATTGATATCAACGAATCGAATGTGACGGTAACGGCGATGTGATAACGGTACGATGATCGTGTTGTGATTGATTAATTAGAATCTACGAGAAGAGCGATGGTATCGGAATAGCGTCACCCTTTCATCCCGTGGGAATAAGACGAAGGATTTAAAAATAGATCTCCGGAGGGGGGGGGGGGGCAGACGAACGAAAAGCGAGACTTACTTTCCGGAACACTTCCAGGCCCTTTCTTCTGCGACCACGCAACTCCGTCCGTTCGCGCATCTTCCGCCTCTCCCGCGCGACGAAGAACGCGTCACATCTCACCCCGCGACCACAAACTGCCACACAAACCGCATAAGTTCACTTACAGGTAATATCCCGTAAGTGAGATCCCTGGAAGTTGTTCTCTCCGGACAATGGTAGTCAGCTGGTGGTCGATTGTTAAATCGGTGCCGGCTTGGCCGTTCGCTAATTTGTTTTTAAACGAGCCACGTTGAATGCACGTTGAATGCAAAATTGCGAAACTGTACGTCGTCGCCTCGCAAAACGTTACTCTTGAGTACGCTCGGTCGGCAGAAAAACACTGGAACACGCCTCGCCGATCACACTTCTCGATCGCGCACTTTTTCAGTAAATCGATTCACCTCTCCCGGAGAAACTCGTGGGAAATTTCTCAGCGGATAAAAAAAGAAACTCAGGAAAGCAACTAAGACGATACTTTCATTTAGCGGGGAAGCGAACTTTAATTAAAGAAAGACACCGTCGTGTCTCTTCTCATTGATCGATAGTCTTCACTCGATCCGGCCGTCGACGGAGGAACCCCGGCGCGATCGCGCAGCCGTGCAGCCACCGGGGTCCACGGGGGTCTCGCGGAAGTGTCGCCCGGGCGAAAAACGCGGTCGGATGGAAAAAGAAAAGAGGAGCGGCCGGAGGTGTGCTGCGAGCAGGATGATGCCGCCGGCGCGACTGAGAGGGACGGCAGCCTCGACGGTGCGGCTGGCAGTCGCGGCGACGGGCGGCCGGGAGAAGCGACGGCCGAACAGCCAGCCGGTCGCTCGCCTTCGCTCTCTTTTCGCCTCGGCCGTCGTCTTTCGGCCGGACTTGCTACACGGCGGCTCCTGACCTCGGCAACCTTCGAAGGCAACCTCGCTGGGAACTTTCCCTCCGAACCTCCCCTTCCGGTTCTGCGGAACCGAGCCGGCACCCGGGAAGTCACGTGCGCGCGCGTTTCGGAGAAACGGAGATTAATCGAGGCTGACTTTCAGCAGCCTCGGATTAGACTAATTGATGGACATTGGGGAGAATTGCCGACGCCAACTTTTAGTTCCGCTGGCTCGTCGTTCAATAAGATAATCGAAAAATTGGCCGTGTTCTGTCCGCGTTAACGGGATAGAACGGATGGCGTTTGATTGACGGCGATTTGAAATCGTTGATTGGACGAATCAGAGTTTCATGAAAGTCACCCTAGGCTTTGTGTTCCAAACCCGCCGATCGAGCCCGGGTGGGGCTTCGCCCAGGATGGGTCCACGCTTTTTCGAATTTCGCGTCTTTACATGCGCCCTGCGTCGCGCGCTTGGCGCGGAAGCGCAATGTTTTTCTTTAAGGTTCTTTTTTTCCTCTCGACCGAAGGAGTCATCGTTCTTGACAAACTTCGGCAACCTGGTTTCATGAATAAATCGATTCTTTATCTTCGCTGGCATTTAATACGTGTCACTTTAAATTTAATACATTTGCAGCTGTCTTGATCAATATAAATCAGATCTCTGTCTTTGATAACTGCGATTGCATCAAACAACCGTGAATTCATTGTGTAAATTCATGTTTAGTCACGGTCTCTCGTCTTCCCTCTCCCTCCTCTCTCTCTCTCTCTCTCTCTCCGATATTGCATTATTCTATTTAAATTTCGCTCCAGAGATGGCGAAACTGAGCAGTTCTGTCCTAACACAATGGTGATGATAAATTAAACGTAATAACAGTTTGCAAAACGTCCAGCAGTCATCGACCAGTACGAACGTGCTCAGATGATGAGTCATTTTCATTAATCGTAAGTACGAACCTGTGCAAGTGTCCTCAGTTTTTCGAGTGACACAGCATGTCCGTTCGTCGATTGGATCGTTAGAACGAGTCGCTAGCCCCGTGCGGAAATGGATGGCACGGTATTACTAAAATAAATATTCAGTCGCTCGGTCGATCGGCGCACGATCCTCGATCGATGGTGCGCGCCGATCGGTCCCTCGTGTCGGAATCTTTGAATCTTAATGAAGCGGAAAATAGCGAATTGGAAGATTGGCTAAATCGCGTCTAAGCAGCTCTAACAGCTTCCGCTTTCGGTGCCTCCGTCGTACCGGCCGGCGCGGTTTTCTAAATCGACAATTTCTCCCATCGGTTCATCGCAATAACATCACGAAAGCTTGTTTTCACCGATCGACCGAGCGGCTCTAACAATTATACACGGTATACGAGATAATATTGATTTAACCGCCGTGGCGATGACGGTTTCACCGCCTGGCAATCCTGGCGGAAGTGCCGGCAGCTTTTATCTAATCTTCCGCGTGGCGCGCGAATCCTTTCGCCGCATCGCAAATATTAGCCGGGCAAACGTTCGAATAGAAAACTCACCTTCACCTGCGGGCACCGTAGTCGATTTTGCCGTGACGCCTATCCGTGACGTCGTCATGAGTGGCCCGCATTGTTGAGCGCGTCCACCCAGCGAGAATCGGCAGAAACTGTCGCGTTACGGCCGCTACAGTCGCTACAGTAAAGCGGGAACTTCCTCGTCGAAATGGAGGCGAATTGAAGCCACCTTTACGCTTCGTGAATTCCGCATTATCTTTCATTCGTACGCGCTCGATTCTTGATAGACCGGAACGATCGGATTAAGACATGGCGGAGTGTAGGAGGGCACGCGCGTCAAACGGTGCAGCGCCCATATTCCGTAACCGTTAACGACTCTGTTCGTAGTTATCGTATACGTCGTCGTCGGGCAGATATAACATTTGGCAGGAATGCCGCGTAACGACACCGTAATAACGATAACGACACGTCGTTAAAAGTCACGGGATCTACGGGCCGCGTGTGTGGGAAACTCGTGAAATTATTACCCGGATCTGCGCGTTCAGGTCCATTGATCGAGATGATAACGATGCTTACGAGTAAATCTAACGTGTGAAACTCACGCGAGCCGCGACCGGCGGACATGTCGATACCCTCGAGGCCACATCGATGCATCTCGACATTGAAACTCGATCAACGACCGCATAATCGATCATCTATAGTTGTCGGATATAAACATGATCTGGAAATGTTGTGTATAATAAAGTGTTAATTCAGTAATTTATGATGTCACACTGATGCTTTGTTAATACGTATACGAACTTATAATAAAGGTATTTTTGCGAAATTGCATTCTGCCAGTTATTGTTTATGCAGACTTGATGCACGATTCACCGATGGAAGATGTTCAACAGCGAAACTTTCGTACACGCTAAGCGATTTTTCAAATATTATTCAGAGCGGCACTTGTAACATGAAATATGAGATTACATGTAGAAAAGAAGTAATTTCAAATGTTGTTGCTGTTTCATCGGATAATTAACAGTCATAATGCGTAAATATGTAGATACGGTGCACGTGATGGAGAAATGTCGATCCCACACTCAATAGATGTCCAGACTGCGTTTGAAAACTTGACTCGACGAGCAGAGCAGTTCCATTTAATCGACCAATCGGAACGAAAAGGGCAAAGATTTCTTTACCATGATTGATTACCTGAATGCTCCTTTACTCGTCGAATAGGATTTACGAATGCAACCTAAATTAGTAAATACAGCGTTCGGAGAGCACGCTGGCAGCGCTATTGCATTATTCTATCGCTCATTAGACGTAAAACAAAGATAGAATGCGAAATAACACTGACGGCGTGCTTCCCGAACGCAGCCTAGGCGTCAAAACTTTCTAGTCACTTACTAGATTGAGAGTAACTAGAACTTTCAGTCTTAAACGTTCGTTCTAAATATGCGTTCATCGTGACTATCAAAACAGCCTTGAAGATTTTTGACTTTGCAACATTTGGTTTCCGCTCTAATTATTCCCACGTTCATGGCTACCGCTGTGAAACTTTTTGAAAATATAACCTGTACGTTAATCAAGGATAACCTATATTCCCTGTCAGATTTCTCTGATACGAATATCATGGGGACTGATAATTGATACGTAAATCTGCAATTATAAAAAGATCAAGTATTTTTTTTTTAACTTATACTTGATTTGTACCATCTGTTTAAATATTACGTATTCGGTAATACCCAATGTATGGGCTAATATTGACGAATCTTTTTAATTTAGAAAATGGCAATGACTTCACGTCTGGTTTTCCGCACTGTAAACAGAGCATTTTGCCACACCGGCTCAAGACATGTGACTAATCTTAACTCAGATACGAAAGAATCAGATGCCAGCTTGACGAAGGATTGGGAAGTGGAATTACACAATACCATGAAAATTTTGCCAAATTTCGTCAGTGAGAAGGAAGAAGTGACTTTAATACAGGAGATTGAGCCTTATATGAAGAAATTGCGTTACGAGTTTTCACATTGGGACAATGTTAGTAAGATATTGATTGGCACAAAGAGTGTACATAGGAATACTTAGCTTATTTCCCATATATCAGTACTTTCATCCTTTCCTAGGCGATACATGGTTACAGAGAGACAGAGTGGAGGAAATGGAACGAAGATAATTCGAAGATTCTTGACAGGGTTCGTAAAACAGCATTTCCACCGGAAATAGCACAGCTCTCACTGGTACACATATTGGACTTGTCAGCTGAAGGATGGATAAAGCCTCATGTTGATAGCATCAGGGTAATGAGATATTATTTTTATCTCTTAAGGCATCCTGTAGAGAGAGAGAGAGAGAGAGAGAAAGATGAAGAGAGAAAAGAAGATGATTTGATATATAGTTGAAATATATTACAGTTTTGTGGAGGAATTATCGCAGGTTTAAGCCTACTGAGTGACAGTGTAATGCGACTGACAATGGTGGATCACGAGAAGGAATGCATGGAATGTTTCCTGCTGCCGAGGAGATCGCTGTATATTATGAGGTTCGACACATTCAGCTATCCTTCTTAAGTATTTTCCATTACAAACTCATTACTAGACTCATTAATACTCATCTATGATTGGATTTTCAGCGGCGTTGCGAGGTACAAATACAACCACGAGATCCTTAAAACCGAGGAATCGAACTTCGAGGGACGACACGTGCCGAAGAGTAGACGCATATCCGTGATATGCAGGAGCGAACCTGATCCTGAAATTAGCTAGGACTGTGCGATCAGGAATGTGTTAGGTCTCTTAAAACTCCCCGTGTAAATACCATTGTAGACATTTCGTCGTAGTTAGCAAAGATAAGATTTCTGATAAGAAATAAATATATCCGCAAGAATTGGAGGGAAAGTATCGAGACGGAAATTGACATCTCGACGTCGTTCGCTTACTTCCACATTACCCGTGACAGAAAGAGGTCTTTAAAAGCGAGGGTCCATTTAAACAGCCGGTTCTACACGTGATACACGGTGGTCGATAACAGATGGTGCAAGCGGAGGAGGCGCTAGAGCGCCGCGCACGGCCGTCTACACGAGCGTCGGCTCCTCCATGGCGGGGGCCGTCGTACGAAACATGGCGTCCGCGAGGTTATTGCTATGAGTGCTGCTCCGTTTTCTATTGTTAAATGTGGCATCGTCGCGCGACGTGCGGACTGACGCGGAGCGTCGTGTCCTCGGGGCGGCGAGCGCGCCTGCTTGAACGCCGCGTGACCCGAGTCGGCCGGGCGTAGGAGCGAGCCGCCGGCGAGAAAAACAGGCCTCGTCAACACACAGAGATAGAGAGAGAGAGAGAGAGAGTGGGCTCATAGGTATACACACCCTGACGCGGGGCCGCCGAGACTGGTATTTAACAGCGTATCGCCGTCTCCTCCGCCGAAACTCGTCCCGCGATCGCGGACCGTCGACGCTCGTCCCCGCGGTAGGCCGAGCGAGGTCCGTGCGCGCGGACACGGAATGCCGGTCCCCGTGAAATTGTTTTCGCACACGGGGTGGTGAGAAGAGAGAGCGATCGCATCCTCTCTCTCTCCCTCTCTCTCTCTCGTCCGGTCGCTCATTCGCTCCCTCCCGTCGCGCAGGGGACGTCGTCGCGTACCCGATGGGAAACACGGCGGTCACGCTGACGATTTCGCACACCCGTAGTACTTACAAGCGCCGAGCAGGGGGGGAGTGCCAGCCGATGTAAACGGGCTGCCCCCCATCTCTCTCACCGGTGCTCCTGGCCTCGGTAATCCGTCGAGAGGACGGCGCTCCTGATATGTGTGCTCACTTGCCCGCGACAAGGGACAAAACGGTGAACAACAGGCTGGTGGTCGCGCGCCGCGCACGAGGTAACGGGCTATCGGTGCGCGAGAGAAGAGGGAAAGGGTGTGATTTACGCAGAAGAGAGGAGTAAGGAAAGTGTCGAGCCATATGCCGCCGGCCGGGCTATCGGCGAGAGGCTTGTCTACCTTGATGGACCACGGACAACCGGACGCTCGTCATCGGAGCGAGCGTTTCCTACTCTACCCAGAGAATGGCTCCTCACATCCGAACACGGCCAACTCATCACCGCGGTACCAACACAACAGCAGAACCAATAGTCGTAACATTAGGTAAGGTACATGTCGAAACATCAGCAAACCGGACCAATCACAGTCGAGTATTCTCGGACTATCGGAGAGTAATCTACCAGGCCGGTCAATTCGCTTACTGTTTACTACTTTTGCTTGTGCCGCTGAGCCTTCCGCTCCAAGCCCTGTAATTAGTGACCAAAGGCATCTTCGGGACTATCAGACCTCACGATTCTCCAAGCGTTATTGTGACAGCAAGGGAAATGCCTTTTCCTTGGGAATTCAGGGCTTAGGGCTGAAGGTTTACTACCGAAGGTCAGGCTTAAAGGAAACGGGGTCGCAAGATTCGTGCTTTTCCTCGGCAACTTTTGTGAGAGAGATTTCCTTTTTGCAGTTACGGGTACATATATGGACATACATCTAGCAACAATATGTCTGACAGCAGCGTTTCCGATACACATAGCGGTGGAACTGCAAGAACTGTCTCTCAACAGACTAGTCCATCCCATGGTACACATTCCTCTTCTCAGTCGCGACAGGACAACAGCACCACTATCTTCACAGCCCTCTTTGATTACGTTGCTCAGGGTGAAGATGAGTTATCTCTTCAGAGAGGGGAAACTGTTGAGGTAACTTAATCTCGGCGATAATCTGTCACCGACTTCAAACTAAATTTGGATTTATCGTCTTATTATCGTAGAGCCTTCTTGCTTGAGATAATTTTGTCGGAAGTTTCGTATTAGTTTACCGACGTTGCTTTTTAAACGATCCGAGTGAAGCAACGATATCGCGTGTTTATTTTATAACAACGGGCGGCACGGGTGTAATTGTTGTTATTCTCTACGATAGGTTTTGTCGAAGGACTCGAAAATCTCAGGCGACGAAGGATGGTGGACTGGAAAAGTGCACGGGAAGGTGGGCATTTTTCCAGCGAACTTCGTCGCGGAGGCAGAGAGCATCGATCGAGTCTCGTCGGTGATCGATAAGGTGCAACCTGTCGAGATCAATTTCGAGGAGCTGCAATTGGAGGAAGTGATAGGGGTCGGAGGTTTCGGGAAAGTGTACAGGTAGGTGAACGAGCCGGTTTGTGGAGATGTATCCGAGCTATCAGCGTCACGTTTGTTTCAGAAGCATTCCATGGAAAAAAAGATTCTGATATACCGATTCTAAAGTACCGAGAATGATTTCAAGACAAATATTCTCGCATGCATATTCCCGATGCGTTTGAAAAAGTATCGCTTTAGTAAGATTCCTTTCGATTTTTCAGGGGCTTTTGGAAGGGCCGCGAGGTAGCCGTGAAGGCTGCGCGCCAGGACCCGGACGAAGAGCCCAGTGTAACGTTAGAAAATGTTCGGCAGGAAGCGAAATTATTCTGGTTATTGAAACATGAAAATATTGTGCAATTAGAGGGGGTGTGTATAAAGATGCCCAATATGTGTCTTGTGATGGAGTACGCCCGCGGTGGCAGTCTCAATAGAGTCCTTAGCGGCAGGAAAATAAGACCCGACGTGTTGGTTGATTGGGCGATACAGATCGCACGTGGGATGGATTACCTCCACAACAAGGCTCCCATAAGCCTCATCCACAGGGATCTGAAAAGCTCCAATGGTGAGACGTGCATACCTTCCTTCCATCCACTCTTTTTCTTTCATACTTCCAACCAATTTTTATCTCACTTCGACAACTTTTTCTTCGTATTTTCTTCCGCCAAATTTCGACTTTTCCTCTAATATTTCGACGATGATTTTCCTATTCCTTTAATTATTCTCTCCTTTAGTAATTTTTTTAGCAATCCTTTTAGTAATTTTTAGTAATTTTTTATGCCGACAGTGTTGCTGAGCGAGCCGATCGAAAACGACGACCTGCAATACAAAACCCTGAAGATCACGGACTTCGGATTGGCGAGAGAGGTCTACAAGACAACCCGCATGTCAGCGGCGGGCACTTACGCCTGGATGGCGCCGGAGGTGATCAAGAAGAGCACTTTTAGCAAAGCCAGTGACGTATGGAGGTCAGTTTTCGCTGTTCGAGTTTCACGTCTTCATTCCACGAGAGAGCGCTTCTGTCATTTTTTATCGAACCATAGCTCGAACTTTCAGTTGAAATATTTCGCTTGATTTTTACTCACAGCTACGGCGTGCTGCTGTGGGAACTCCTGACGGGAGAGATACCGTACAAAGGTATCGACACTCTGGCTATAGCGTACGGTGTCGCCGTTAATAAGCTGACTCTACCTATACCATCCACTTGTCCTCAACCCTGGAGGTACCTCATGGAAGGTGAGATCAATCATTCGTGAACGGGGAAGAGATCCTCTTCTCAAATCGCACGTTTGATCCTGCACATTTTCGTGAGTTTCATGAATATGCCACTTTTTTTTTTCTTTTTTTTTTAGAATGTTGGGCATCGGACAGCCATGCTCGGCCTGGGTTCGCGGAGATTTTATTAGCTCTGGAGGAAGTGCGAGACGCGTTCGCGGCAACGCCACACGAGTCTTTTCACACGATGCAGGAAGACTGGAGGCTGGAGATCGAGCAAGTTCTGCACGGACTGCGCATGAAGGAAAAGGTATACGCGCGTTATCCGATGTTACGCTCAAATTTCTATCATTTCAAATCATTTCAATGATATCACTTTCCTACAATCTTGTAAAAATACGATAAAATGTTTCATACGTATATAATAACTATATGTTATAAAGTAAATAATATTTGTAATCGTTATTTTAAACGCTTTGCGAAGGCATGCCGTTCTTTAGAGGAGGTAAGGGATCAAACCGAAAAGTTGATTATAATATATCGTTGTCAAGGAATATCGCTTCATTTATATTTTCTGTTCTTTCCATTGGAGTAATTACCGTCTTTAAGATAGAGAAAATATGACTCGGTTACATGTATAATTACGGCGCTTCAAGTGGAGATTAGCTATCTGACGTGTCTTCTTGATTCCACTTGCAAGGAGCTGCGCTGTAGAGAGGAAGAACTGACGAAGGCACAGGTGCAACAGAGACAGCACGAAGAAAATCTGAGGCAACGGGAGCAGGAGTTAGCCGCGCGCGAGATAGATCTCTTGGAAAGGGAACTCACCGTGATGATTATTCAGCAGCAGAACACGCCTACGCCGAACAAGAGACGCGGCAAATTTAAGAAGTCGCGGTTGAAATTGAACAAGAAGGAGCCTGGAAGCAACATCAGTGCGCCATCGGGTAAAAGCGCCATTCTATTTCCCCGTACTGTTATTAGAAGTTACTCAGAAAACCGAACCGTTAAATTACGTTAAAAATAATTTATAAAGAAAAGATTGATGAAAGATTTATTTTATATTAAAACATTCATTATATACATATATATATATATATATATTTTTTTTTTTCTAACATTTTATAATAAATCTTTATAAATTGTTTCAATATAAACTAAATTATGAAGATTTATAAAGACAATTTATCTCGGAATATTATTTGATTTAAGTTAATACACGGATTATAATTGGAGATCTCTTTCGTCCGTCGTTTAGATTTTCGTCACACGATCACCGTTCAGCACACAGCTTCAGATCGGGGCAAGGTGAGGAACCCGTCGAGACCCAACAGCCCACCAGCCTCACCCAGCATTCCAAGACTCAGAGCGATCGCATGTGAGTAACCTCACCTCAAACGCTTTCAGTAGTACCGTGATTACTTGACGATGTATTGTGCCATATAGAGTGACCTTACGAGCGATCGAACTGTATTGAATTGTAATCAGACGATTTGAGTGTTACACTGTTTGTTCGTGGTAGACACCTTGTGTATCTTTTTTTTTTGTCTGTCATACATGTCAGTACTTTTTCGGCATGGTGTGCACAATCATTGTTTCTATATACGGATACCTCTCCATTTTTACTTTCTTCTCTCGCAAAAGCCACGATTACTTTGAGCTGATGTATTTATCATAGTGATATCTATATATATATACTGAGTATACCAGTCGCTGAGATTAGTGTGCACAATGATATCGTATTCGAACATACAGTCGCTTGCCGAAGAGAGTATATCCGTGAGAAGCCGAGTCGCAGAGCGAATGTGAGAGAGCGAGAGAGAGGCGATTACGTAGTTAGTACCGTAGTGAGTAGCACTTTGTTTCTTTTTCTTTCCCCGTCTAGTACCGGCGGACGGAGTAAAGGGTAAGACTTGGGGACCGTCTACGCTGCATCAGCGGGAACGCGGGGCTATTATCACCCAGCCGCCGAATCCCGCCTCCCCTGGCGGCAAACGCTGGTCCCGTTCCGCGCCAGATCTCGAAAAGACACCGCTGCGTACAGCCCTGTTGGCGAACGCGCACCGCTCCCCGCTTCTCCAGGAAATAGGTAACCCCACCTCCAGAAAATTGTACTCCTCGGCGAATAACCTGATAGACAATCAGCCGGGATGTAGTAGCTATAACGACGCGCCGCAAACCGTCGACGGCATCGCGCAGGGCGTGCGTTACGCGCCCTGCAACATAGGCGAGGACTTTGTCATTCTGGACAACGACATATACGAGTCCATAGTCCTGCATAAAGCCCCGAACAATCTTAAGACCCATTTCTCGGACGGGCCGTCGGTGATAAGCGACGAGAATTACGCGACGAGGGTGGGCCGCGCCGTCTCGAAAGCGTCCTCCTCCCCCAAGTGCCAGAGGCCTGCGGACTGGGAGCAGCACTCGTACTCCACGAATTTCGTGCAGAACGTAGCGAGCACCCTGGTGGGCACCGCGAAGCGCGTGAAGAGTAAGAAGCGCGATCGGAGTAAGTCGAAGGAGTCGAAGCGCAGGGACAGCTCGGAGTCGCGTCTCGCCTCACTGGCCGATTTCTTCCGGTCGCCGTCCGGCTCGAGAAAGAGCTCCCTGAACTCGCCGCGCAGCGCCGAGCGCAAGAACTCGGTCGCCATCAAAATTAACGACACCGACGGCCTCGAGTCGAGCCCCGAGAATTCCATCGGCAAAACCTCCTGCCCCTCCTCCTCCTCCTCCGCCGCCAGCCAGCACAAGTCGCGCATATCCAAGAGCCCGCTCCGGGTGTTCAACAAGATGAAGACCTGGGGCAGCCGGGACGCGCTCGACGACAGGAGCGCGTCGACGGTCAAGGTGGAGTACAGCGTCCTGGAGAACGTGATATCGATACCGCAGTTGGCCCGGCGCGACTCCGATCACGCCCCGGTGCCGAGGTTCCTCGCGGCCAACTCCCGCGAGGGCATCGACTTCGAGAGCCTCGAGTCCGAGTTGTGCAACTTCGACTCGGAGCACTCGAACGACAGCGCGAAGTCGAAGAGCTCGCTGGGACCGTACCACGAGGTGCCCCGGCACAAGAGGTCGCCGATCATCGCGGAGGCGGACGCCGCGTATCACCCTTTCGATCACGGCATCGAGATGAATTCCCTCTCGCATCACAAGTCCAGGAGTAACGAGTACTTGCGCAGCTGCGACGGCGATACCGTGCATACGTCCGCGCGCCTCCACGAGGCGACCTCCGACCACCGGAGCCCGCGTGCCAATTATAGTCCAAAGAGAAGTCTGCCCGCGTCCCCCCCGGACACCAGTCGACCGAGTTTCGAGGATACCGCCGCCGAGCAATTCCCCAGAAAGAGTGATAAGTAGCGAGGCGAGAACGGATGTACTCCTGCGACCGTTGTTCTTGTCCCCGATTTCTTCCGACGGTCGATACCGTACGCGCTACACACTTGTAGTTACAGTCTCCAGTGAGATACTCGGTTGAATGTGAGTTTTTCGGCGCGATCGCGATACAGTGACAGGTGTATCCTGTGATATCGTATGATTCAACGAATCTAGCTCGAAATTCACCTTTGAGTATCCCACATGACGACGGTTGACACGGGCTGGAAAGTGTCGGTCGATCATTGTCGTGGTGAATCACGGCCGATCAGACGCCACGAAACGAATTGACGAACCACCGTTCTCACGTTAGGCCGGATCTGCGACCTGGGTGTAGTGATCCTCCAGCCTTTTGCCTCTAGGCCTTAAAAATGAATTTACCGTCTGAAGTCGCAATTCCTCCGCTTAAAGTTTGAGACTTCACACAACGCGGGAGACGCTTTTTGTCGGAAATTAAGTCACATTTCTCAGCGAAAGGCTAACGTAAGTAAATCCGAATCTACAATGGGTGTAGTGAGCCTTCAGCTTTTCGCTCTAAGCAATGAAGAATGTAATTTAATTTCTGACAAAAAGCGTTTCCTGCGCTGCCAAAAGTCGCGACGCTTAAATCTTAAGAATTGCGACGTCTGGTGGCGCTGGAAACTTTTTTTGTCAGAAAATACGTTACAATTTCATCGTTCAGAGCAAAAGGCTAAAAGCTCGCTGTACCTATTGTAGATCCAGCTTAAAGTTCACTATACCTATTGTAGATCGGGCTTTACGCAAAATTGTCGGATACTACCCTCTACTGCAGGGTGTAACGCGGTATCCATCGTCTGAAGAAAATGCAATTGATCATGGACACTCTAGATTTCACGGGGGCACAAGTAGAGCCTGCAGCTCGAAACGCATTTCGATGGCATGTCACTTTTTCCGCTGCACTTTTCTCCTCTACATGGTATTTTTTTGAATGACTTCGTACTGACCGTGTGTTTCTATTCTATCGCAGGCCTCTCTGAGGAAAGCATCTACCACACCCGTAAGTTTTCTCACATTGCCGCAACGGTTGTTATGTATTTCAATGATGTCCACCTCCTCTTCATCTCCCTCATCTTCCCCCTCCTCCTTTTCCGCTTCCTCATCTCCATCCGTCTCTTTTCCCGTCACGTTTAATCCCGCCAAACGATGATTTATATTTGCGTATTGTAAAGCTAAAGCGAAGATCTCAAGTAGGCAATGTCTCTTTTTACTTTCGTAACTGAACATTTTTTTTCCTTTTTTTTTTCTTTTTTTCAATGAGCCCTGTCACGTAGTTTATGCTTAGTGGTTGGTCACATAGTAATATAATGCATGTATACACCGATCGATAGTGTTTTTCTCATTACCTACCAATTGTTCGAGGACGATAATCAGACACATTTTTTGGGACGATCTGTGCACGGACTTCGTGGACGCTCGTTCTGATTTGCGAAGTGGTTTTGCCTTGAAAGAAAGGAAAAAAAATTTCGGTGAGGGACCAGATAGGAATTTAAGTTTATTCTACGACAGAGAGAGAGAGAGAGAGAGAGAGAGAACGCAAGCTGGTGCATATGCGGGCCCTAAAGTTGTCTCAGAGAGATGAAATCGTTTAAAGTATGCATTAGATATATTTTACGCATTATTCTTAAACATTTATGCAGAGGGCATGGACTTGTTTTTGTACCCAGTTTTGCATTAATTTACGAATTAATTTATCCTAATTTAAGCCGATGTGATACTCGTAGCGCGAGTAAGCTAAAAATCTAATGAGAGAGAACGTAAGAAAAAAAAACATATATATATATATATATATAGTACATATATATATACACACACGCGCAGTCTTTCTGGTGTTGGTGTTGGTTCTTTTCTGATATGATCTGGAAGACATAACACATTTCTAACAAGCAGATCTAACAGCCCACTACTACGTGAAAAAGAGAGAGAGAGAGAGAGAGAGTCACACGCTTCGGCCATTGCCGCAAAGTTCAACTGTAACGATACGTGTTCTTACATTGCGTTATCAGGTTGTGTATGTCTGCATAGTCATAATTTTTATATAACGACGAAGTGAAATCAAAATTATGCTCATTATACGATCTATATATAAATACTTATATATAGAAAGAAAGAGAGAGATAGAAAGAGAGGAAGTAAGGGAGAATAGGAAAAGAGAGAAAGAGAGAAAGAGAGAGAGAGAGAGAGAGAAAGAGAGAGAGAGAGAGAGAAAGAGAAATATATATTTGTTAAAGTAGCCCTCATTTTTATCTTGTTGCCTTATGTGCATTTAGATCGATTGCAAATTTATTAATTGTTAATGCAACTCTCAGCGAATTTGTTTGTGTACTGTTGTTACGCCCGTAGAAAAAAAAAAAACTTCCAACCGTTTCTCGAGAAAGCAGAGATTTCTTGCACACATCACATTCAACACACGGAGCCACACGCACATTTGTATTTTAGTAATAGAAATTTTTTCAATAAAACCTTTTCAGTTGGACACATTGAATTTTGTTTTTTCGTTTTGCTGCATTTTTACGCTCGGTCTTCGGTGAGGTTTCGTCACGCGTGTCTCATCGTTCGGTGGAACGAGATTCGCGTCGTCGGTTTTTTTTTTTTTACTTATCGGTACACGAAGTTTTTTTTCAGATAATCGCATGCACGAGAACTTGTGCCTTCTGCATTTACGATACAGGGAAGAATCAAACGGTGCTTAGTGCCGCAATGATCGCTCTTACCATTTTGTGCTTTCCAATCGATCAAGCTAAAGAGAAGTTATAGCTGTGTGCGCCGATGGCCGAGCGTAAAAAGAAACGATCCTTGCATGCTTCCAGTAGGATCCTAACTGTTAACTCCAATTGGGTTTGGTCCCTCTCTCTCCCTGAGATCCTAGGCTAAGGAGCAAATATTACTCGCGCACAATTCTGTTGCATTCCACTTTCGACAGCCGCGAGGAACAGCAATCGCGCGGGAAATCACGTCCGATTGAGTGTTTCCGCTGCGATTAATCCGGCTTTAATATGACACAGATCCGTTCTTTCGTTTCTTTTCTTTCGAAATCGAAGCCGGAAGGGCAAAATTCTTGGAGCAAGGACACGCGTATGAAACGATTGGTGTGTAATCGTTTATCGTCCGGCGGGGTGCATTTCTCGAAGTTTGGAGTGTCTCACGTTTTCGTGGCGAGCGATGCCTCTCGTTTCGAAACTGTCTTAGACGTAGTCGTCCTGTACATTTCGTCAAAGGATCAGTAGATTAGCACACTGTGTTTCTTCAGTACGTTGAACTTTGCTTCTGTTCTATAAAAATTGGCTGAGTCTCCGCTGAAAAAAGGTTACCGTCAAATTCGAATTTTTCATACAAACTCGCACCTTTTTCGAAGCGCACCTGTGCAAAACCGTCACACACATGTCGACACGACTTGGCCGATTTTTAAAGTACGCCTTACATGTTGTACTTATGTGGGTGCACATACACACTTTTTTTTTCTCTCATGGTGTTTGCTCTTAGCGCCAGGCCACATAGAAGTAGCTAACGCGCGAAGATAATATCTAATATCTTCCGACACGAGCAATCGCTTCGCATGCATGCGACAATAATACGTGTGATTAATTAATATAAATAATAAATTAATTTCTATTAATTATACAATATGTCAGACTACCAAACGCGCGCAAATCACGAACAATCCCGGCGTGTTCGGCTCATCGCGTTGAGTCGGGAATTCCGTAGAAAAGATTTTCGTTTACGAGAACGTTGATCGATAAAACGAGAGCACGCGGACAAGGTAAGGATGTAGGAAGGAGCTAACGTGTTTTCCTCCCGGGAGAATCGGAGAGCGAGAGTGAAAGAGTGTGAAGGAAGAGAAAAGCGCGAACGAGATCGGCATTGACGCGCGCAATGCCTGATCGTCTCGCCCAAAACCTCACTGTCTTTTATAGATTACACAGCGTTACCGCCCGACCTCTCGACCGACTGGATTACGTCGGATTATCCGCTGAAGCCCGGCCTGACCGGGCCGTACATCATGCCGATGGCCGTTCCGATGCCCACCCTGTACAACGGCGAGACGAAGAAACCAAAGCTAAGCATCATCGAGCTGGTGCTGTACAACATCGCGGCGATGCTGGCCGGCGTCGCCACCGGCTACGACGTCAGAATGTCGAACATATCCCCGATCCACCCGCGGCTGTATCCCCGGCTGGGCGAGTGCGAAGAGGAGCAGCCCAGGTGGTGGTTTCAAGCGGACACCGGCTCGAATCGCAACTCTTATCTCGGCGCTGATTACGAGTTCAGCTCGAGCAGCGGCTATCCGCACAACACTTATCACGGACGGGCACACCATTACAGGTAATCACTCGGCAGCCCTTCTTTTTCTTCCTCTTCATTTTTCACGCTGCGATTCTAGTCCGGAGACTAACGAGCAGATTGTTTTTCATTAACACTCATGTCTCCCCGCTAATGCTCGCTTTCCACCGTCATGATTTTCATCTAATTGACGATTGAGTCACCCAGGAATTGACCAGTTAGCCATCTGCGCGATTGGTCAATTCGGCTGAGTTAATCGCCGATTAGATTTCAATCACGATGGTAGAAACGGGCGTAAGTCCGGTGATGCCGCACGGGCCTCGGATTTTTTTTAATTTGCATCATTTCGCTGGGTTGTGATTAGAGATGAACGGTCAGTTTAAATACAAAATGACAGCTCCTTGCGAGGCCAACTTCCATTACTTTGAAGTCGAAGAGAATCAACGTGCAAAATGTATTATCTAGTAATCAAAACCCAATACGAAATGGCTCTCATTTTCCAACTGAAATTCCGGATGTAATCAAGAATACGCAAGAGACGTCGTAAACTTGTAAAAGACATTTTAAAGACATCTGAAAAAAGTTTCATCCTCCTCAGATTTCCTGCAGAAATTCCTGCCGTCTGAGTTATCAATGTTGAGCGCCTTTTCCTTGCGGAATTACGAATACGTGTAACGATCCTTACTTCTCGCAGGCCGTTCCTAAGTAACATGGGTGGCATAGCGCCTGGCCTTCCGGCGATGCCGGACAAGCCTTTGCGCTTCACGGACTCCCCGCAGCATTACACGAGCAGCACGACGGGCTCGAACGCCCCGACGCCGAGCCCGAGGAGAAAGAGCAGCAGCACCAGCAACGAGGACGCGTACTCGCACGACGCGGCTCGCGCCGACCGGATGGAGAGGGTGCCGACGATATACATGGGCAACGTCGCCCCGTTCCCGGATTACGGCCCGCCGGTGTACACCGTCGTGCCGCCGGAGTATTATCGATCCCCTGAACCGCCGTACTACGTACCTACGGAATGTCAGTAAGTATCGAGATCGAAGTCCCCTTGAACCCCCAATAATATATCTAGGACTTAAGAAACCGAGTCTTCTAGACGTAGCTTCAGGATAGATAGAAACGGTGATGATACATCCGGGGTCTGAAAGCAAAGGTCTATTCCTTTCGGCCGAACTAGGTTGCATTTCTTTTTCTTCAGAGTGAAATCAACACGTGGTTAGTTCGGTTGAATTCGCTTTGGACCGTAGATACCGTAGAATAACATATCCGGGGTGTAGAGCCGAGTTCACAGAGGGTGGTTTCATCAAACTCTGACTGAGCTGATCGACGAGTAATAAGTAATGAGAATTGGCGATTTCCAGTTTTCTAAATAGTCCTTCCGTAACAATCGAAAAGTTGATATCCCTCTGTGCCGGCAAGACAAAGCAGGTAACGCTTGACCGAGAGACAGCAACTTGAAGTCGTCGATTAGCTTGATCGAAATTAGACGAAGATTAGCCAGCTAAGAGGACTTGAAGTAAGCGCGGTGTCTCGCGAGGAACGGTCGTTCACTTAGGCGACGACGTGACACCGATCTCCCGTTCTTTCAGCGACCGGATGCTCGAATGCCCCGAGTTCCCGCACGCGTACGACAATCCCAGCAGCATGAACAGCCCGGCCCGGCCGGTGTCGAGACTTCTGCCTTACACGCACCACCGCACCTCGTCGAACGTGTCGAACGCGAGCACGTCGAGCCAGAGCAACGTGAACCCGACGTTTCGTCTGGAGGACGAGGACGACTGCGGCTGTCCGTACTCGCCGGTGCCGTATTACCAGCGGCCGTCGAACGTGATCTCGAACCTGGCGTCGACCTACAGCTCGAGCATACTCAACCACGAGTACGGCTCGCCGTTGCTGACCCGGCAGAACTCCCACGACTCCAGCACGAACTCCGGCGAGAGACCGAGCAACCTGGAGGTGATCACGCGGCTGCGCTCGAGCCTGAAGCGGTCCAGCTACTCGTACAACTCGCCGAGCAAGAGCGTGAGTAAGAACAACTCGGGCTCGGGCACGCCGACGAATCCGACCCCGCCGGACTCGCTCACGTCCGAGGATTCGAGCTACGTCTCCGCCAAGGACAGCCAGATCTCCATCGGCCGGGTGCGCTTCTCGCCGGTGACCTTCGACCGCGATGTGTCGCGCGATCACAGGGAGACGCTGCTGGACATCCCGGTGCACGGACAGAGTCAGGACGTGACGGTGCCGCTGCAGGCGAACCGCCGGCTCAACAGGAGCCGGAAGCCGAGCATCTCGGAACTCGAGAGGGAGTTCTTGTCATAGCACTGGCTTATTTAAGATCGCGCGAGACTCACACGGTAGCAGGACTGCACTACGAGACAGAAGAGGGTTCGTCGATGCTTTTTTTTTGTCTCTCACTGTTTGTCGGTGTCTCTCATCTAGCCGAACGTAGGACGATCCTCCTCTTCCGCGTCTCCGGTTATACGGTCGCTCCTATAATCGAGACTCGGCAAATCCATCACCGTCCGTTCTCGTCACCGACAGCGACAAACTCGCGACGAGCGGAACGGATGATGCGCGTTGCCGAAGCACTGCCTCTCGCGGACGATACTCAACCCGGTCGAGATCGTACACTCAATAGCAGGTCCGGGAACCTTACTGACATTCCATGTGTTACGCAAACACACGATCCAGACGCGACTCGTGTCGTTGTAAAAGGCGCGATGTAATGCGCGATTAGGTGATTTTTTTATTTCATTACCTAGCGGTATTTGATACGCGTGTCACGGTATATATATATATATATACACATATATATATATATGTGTGTGTGTGTGTGTGTGTGCCGTATATTGTAAGCGAAGGTTGCAATTCTCTCTGTGCGCGTGTGTATATTTGAGTCGCGTATATTATTATTATTATTCCAAGAGTAAGTATTCTTCTGCGAATATATCGGATGGTTCGACAAGTTCACGCGGATTTTTCGAGAAACTTAGAGCCGATACTCTCCGTTAGTCGGGCACAGCTTGATTTTTCCCGGTTTTCTCGTTCACTTTCTCACGACTTTCCGTCGAACGATCAACATGTTATTTGAATCATCCAGTTAGCGAAATGTTAACCGCATTCCGGCAGATTGGCAGTGGATTAATAAAAGTGTCGCGGCAGGACAGAGTCCGCTAGCATAATTTCACAGCAGATCGACGGCGGAAACCAAACAGGCAGTCCTGCAGTTCCATTTGAATATATTTAACGGAACGACAGATCCTGCACGATTTCCGCCGTCGATCCGTCATCATACTCGGCCAACTGATCCTGTTGTGTCTCTGCTGGCAAGCTGCTGAAATTTACAGCAGGCGCGCAATATCTGTTTCCACAGACTCTCGTTATCTGGAAAGTTATAATTAAAAAAGAAAAATCGATTCTTTTCAGTTTTCCGCAGAAAAATGGTGAAAAACCCGAATTTTTCCCATTTTTTCGCGTTCTTTTTTTTGGTTTCTTTCCCAAGAACACAAAAGTTCGTTTCGAAAAATTCACGTATATTCAGTTAAAACCTGCCACACTTGCTTTTTCCCGTAAAGAAGATACGAGAAACCAGAAAAAAATCCGTGGAAAAATTGGGAGAAAAACTCGGTTTTTTCCGAGCCTTTGAAACCATATGGAAAGCTACGCCCAACTATAAGAGTATTGGCCTTGAAGCCTTCGCGAAAATCCTTGTCGAGCAACCCAATACACGGTGCGCCACTACAGCGCAGGCTGTAAATCGGAATCGATTCCTGCGAGTCTCTCGAGATTCCCGACGTCGATTTCGCGAGGACTCCGCGACTGACCGGCGGCGATAGCGGCACGCCGTGTGTGCGACGATCTTAAATGATAAAAGGCAAATACACGAAGAAAATCGAGAAATGTCTCGGCAATTAGATCAATCTGATTGATGAGTCGACGAGGAAGATGACAAAAGCCGACGGTGGAGTCGGTGTGCGCGGACGAAAAGTATCTCCGGACATTTTTCAGAACACTTCGACGTGACCAATTCGGGTCCTCGCACCGACCGCGAAGGTGGAAGCGCCGCGCTTGGTGAAGATCCTAACTGGTTGAAACGATATTCTTCTAACGGTATAATAATAACAATAATCGGTATATATCGCGTTGAACGGTACGATATAATCGGTAATAATATTGTTGAATAACAAGCGCATTATATATCATTCGGAAATGTTCGTTCTACAGTTATAAAGTTTCGTTCCCCCCCTCCCCCCCTTTTTCCCGCGGATTTTTCCGGTTCTCTTTCTGTCCCAAGGATTCCAAAATTCGTTCGGAAAAATTCACGCGCGTTCGAGTAAAACCCGTCGCATTATTTACTTTTTCCCTGAGAAAGAAGGTGAGAAGCCGGAAAAGTTCGCGGATAAATTGGGGGAAAAACGAATCTTCGTCCGGAACTTTAAAACCGTGGATCGTTCGAAGCTTGCCCGGCGTTCTTTGCAGTTTACTCGATACCGAAAACATTCCAGAAGCGATGTCCTCGGCATTTCAACAACACACGTGTATTTAATAATGCGTGACGAGAAAAGTAAGCGGTACGTGTGTACGAATACGCGGAAGAGAAAGGTCGTGTGCGTGTGTATGTGTGCGTGTGCGTGCAATTCCATTGAATCGCACCGGTTGAGATTGAGGACGGAAACGAGGACGTTCTTTCCACTTGCAACAAGGACCGCGTTAGCGACGCTCGCTTTCGGTACTAGCAGTCGTGTCTCGGCGAAACGAAAGTTGTAAGTAACGGAGCCTCCGGTGATACACTTGTACATCCGACATTACGACATTTACGTGGAACATTCCAGAAAGACTCATCGCAGCGGATCGAGTCGCGCTGTGCGATTTGGAATCGACACCTCGTCGGGTTTTCCGGAGAGCGGGGGAAAAAGTTCGCTTGAATTAACGTGACTCATTAATAAACGGGTCAAACGCGTCTCGGTCGAAGAAAGCAGAATTTCTGCCTCTCATAAACCCAATTCAGCCTTAAGAAGCGGAAATTCTGTTTCCTTCGGCCAATACGCGTTCGCTTCGTTCATCGTCGCGTTAACCCGGGCAGAACAAATTCCTTAAAGACCTCTTAAAGACGTCTGAAAAATATCTAAGAAAGGAAAAAAATAGAACTTTTTGGACGGTGTTGCTTCCACGTTGCTCAAAGCGATCGCTTCTTCGCGGACTTCTCTTTTCTTTCACCAGACGTATCGTGTATGTTTGAGTAGCGCACGCGATACCGAAAGTTTTATCTTGACTTTCCTACTGGAAAGTACTGACGAGACAGTCTCGTGAAATCGTGCAGATTTTCGCACGTTTTCTGCAAAACTCTAATTTTATACATACGAGAGAGAGAGAGAGAGAGAGACGGATTACGGTTGTTGAACGGATACAACGAGTAGCTCTCGAGATAAAAAGAACAATCGCTATTTATAATTCTAATTTTACGATATATTTTAACGAGCAGCTATGAATGAAATATTAGTCGTAGCTTTGTGTACTTAGCTCAGCTTTCCGCGATTACGTATTAACCTACAGTATTCAGATACATAATCTCCCTCCTTATTGCAATCAGTGTAACTAGTCATCGCGATCGTATTCGAAGCTGTACCGTTGTTAATTCGACGGGGGGTCGGTGCGATTCCATTTTCCTTCGTTTCGAGATCGANTTTTTAAAAAAAAAAAAAAAAAAAAAAAAAACAAGCTCGTCAATTTTCTCAGTTCTAAAGCGTGCGGCACCGAGAAAGGAAACGAACGGTTGCGTCACTCTTCAAACAGTGCTTCTGCTCAATGATACACGTTCATCGTCGTCATCATCGCCCGTCGTCCTCGCTGTCGTCGTTCTGTTGCAATAATGCGCAATCGGAGACTTGTACACGATTATACATCCGCAGGTACTTCCACCCCCTTACTTACGCCGATCGACAGAGTGTACGACTGATCGAGTTAGATGCTCAACCGAGTATCCGAAAGACATGTACAGTGTCGGTTTCAACTCGCACTAGTAACAGAGAGTAGATGTAATGAACATGATCTGGTCGCGCCTTGCGCAGCTGTTGTCACGCGTCTTCTTCTTCTTCTTCTTCTTCAGTTCTGTGCCCACGAAGGCTAAGTTCGTCTTGGACGCTTTCGCTGCCGAAAGCGTCACCGCATCTTTATCGTTTATTATATGCCGAAAAAAGATCTAATGAAGAAAGTAATGATGCTTTCAGCACGGAAACGAACTTGGCCGAAGCAATATGTACGCTGAGTTTCAAAACGGCTCGGACTTCGCTTCTCCCTCGATGCTCTTGGGAGCGCATCCGATGGTCCAACGAGAGAACCTGTTTTTTTTTTCTTTCGAAAATGAATTCTCTTATTGGGCAATCGCTGTTTTGGTTTCCGCATCGAGGAAGCCTGCTGCTCGATGCCAATATTAATCGGTGTTATTTTCTTCCTCAAACCAAGCTTTTGCGGACGTATGTTTATTGAGACCTTTTTACATATTTTCAACCTAGAATCTGTCCTGTAAGTCCTGTCGGTAGAGTTCAGATACACCCTGTATATGGCGGAAAAGCTGCGCAACGATCGAGTGGCGATACTGTCGTTGAAAAAAGTTACAGAATTGGTAGACGGGATTTAGTCTCGCGTGTCAGGCCGGTTCAAACCGTTTCGGAAGCCAGTTTAAGCGCGCGTCTTCGCGCGAACACAAGCGGCGCGTCTGTAGAAAAATTTCGAAGAAATGCGTCAGCACACAAGATACTCGCGGGTCCTCGTGGAACGAGGACCCCCTTTGCACGGTCATTGTACATATAGAAGTAAGAATCGCTGAATCACGATTACTGTTGAACAGACTACTCGTACATTCCTCATGCAGCTCGCGCGTGTTGCACGACGCCCGCGGAATCTCGCCGGGAAAAACCTCGGGCATCCCGCGGGTGTCCCCTCCCCTCCCGCACTAATGAGTTGCACGGGAAAAAGATCTCAGTTCCTGTAACTGAACGGGGGGACCGGGTAAAAGTTCAATGACGAGGGAAAAAACTCAACGATACGTCCGCTAACGCGACTAACATTCGGTGTGAACGTCCGGCATTGAGACTCGGTTGGGAACTGAGAGCATTTGACTGAATAGAGGAAACCTCTCACGGGATTTTCCGGTTTACTACAAGCGAACTTTCGGCTGGTCTCCGGGCAACGGAAAATTCAGTTACGCCGACGGAATTGTTTTCTTCCGTGTGATCGAGAGCGTTTTCACTCGGGGCGCCCGGAGAGTACCCGGACGGTTGACTCGGCTGACGGTGGGCCGCGCCTGCTGCAATGATAATTCGTTATTTTATATTATATATTATACATTGTTTACATTATATATATTTCACATATAACGCTAATTAATCGTAACTAATTAATTTCGCAGTTGACACGTCCCGTGCCGCGTCAGACCAGCCTGATATTTTGCCTCCGAGACGAAATCACGAAATTCTTGGATAATTATGAAGCGCACAGTGTTTAACGACGTATTGTTGAATAACGTTTTCCTTACGAAAAAACAATGTAGACTACCGTAAAGGAGGTAAACTGAAAAAATTCGGCGGAAAAATAGAAAAAGAAGCCGGTTTCTTTTCCGAGCCTTCGAAACCATATTCAAATAATATTGAGGTAATATTGATTTAATCCAAGTAAAATCATTTCTTCGGTATTGCTTGGCAAATATTCACTCATTGTAGCGATGTGACATTATTACGTCGCATTCGTCCTGCTGCAAGGATCACCGTGCGAACTTACCACATACTTTCTTCAATTGAACTAACTCAGAGAAGGTCGAGGAACGCCTGCGTGCTCTCCGCGTGCTCTACGTGGCCTGGATACACACAGACCGGCGTGACATCTTCAACGCATGAGATTACAGCTAATTGGAGCTTCCCGTAAGAAATACATCAGAAGTGCTCCAGAAAGGCATGACTTCATGTGTCGAGGCTGTCTCGCCGGATTAATCAGAAGGCGACGCGCGCAATCGGTATAATGATAATTAGGGAAGGGCCGAATTTCGTTGAAACGCCGGTGAACCAATCAAAGCTACTCACAGTGGTTGTCGCGTTGTCTCCACGCCGGAGGAAATAATCAAAACGTAGGTCGGCCGTCTCGCGCGGAACGTTGCAGCGCGTGCACGTGGGTCTACCCGCGTCGTGCGAGAGCCACCCTCCCCCTCTGCATTCCCGGGTGAGGATCATCAGTATTGTAGGTGTACGTTGCACGATGTGCAGATTAAGCAACGCGTTCGACGCGGTAGGGAGAGATCGCGCCGGGTGATTTTTGCTCTCGGCTGCGACAGACGGAAAGAAAGAAAATGAACGATGAGAATGACAAATCAGCCACCACGAGATGAAATTCTCTCGGAGAGAGCAACCGTCGGTGAGCGACGAGGACGCATTATGCAAAAATCTTTCTCGGGCAGAGAAATGTCGACCCATCGCGATTCGGTATAAAACGGACTTTTCACATCTTTCTCCTTCGAGGATCTTTTCTTTTTTTCTTGATTCTTCGCAGGAACTCGCGTACATTCGTCGTCGTGGCGACGCGCAGAATCGCAGAAACGTCGATCTGCGATCTTGCTCATTTTGCGCCGCGGTAGACGAGATGTCCCGTTCGAAATGCATTTAATGGGTATACTTTTCTATGCTGTGCGAAGGTATTCTCTGCGGTGCTAATATCACGTACTTAATACATTAATAAGTGACACGTAGAAATTCAAAATGCTTCCAAGGTAATCGAGAGAGCGAGAGAAAGAAAGAGAGTGTGTGAAAGTGAGAGAGAAAGACAGAGAGAGATATTTGACAAAGTGTTAGAAAGCTAATATCGAGAATTGTTCATATATATAGTGATTATATAATTTAATTATACGAGTATATATATATATATATATATATATATATATATATATATAAACAGCTCGACAACAACAGTTCGACAGCTATCGATTGTGTAATGGCGTATCCGTCGCCGACAGTGCTAGTCTAAGCTATATTTATTTTTTATATATATAACAAACACCTTTTAGCCTATAGATTTAAGGGGATGTAAGAATCCGATTTTATACTTTATTAGAGAGCATTACGGAATATGTTTGACTCGTTGAACGGAACGTATATAAGAAACGTGTGTTCAAAATAATTGTATATGAGATAAAACCACGTTGTATCATATCAAACGTAAATCGCAACCGAAAGGTCTCTTTATATATATATATATATCAATCTATAATATATATATATATATATCTCTCTGTAAAGAAGAAAAAACATAGCAGCAAAACTCGATAAATTTATCATGTATCGTTCGTATATGAAGTATATTACATAATATATCGATAATTATATCACATTGAGACACGCTAGTCGATTCCTTTCGGATGTTTTTCTCAATCGACTATGATTCGACTCTTTAGACGAGACAATTCTCGAACAATGCCCGAGAAGAACAGCGACGATCGAAATGGTCTCGACAGGATCGAGCGTCATTCGAGGAAAGAGGAAATCTGTTTTACGCGCGCTCAACAAGCGATCGTTTTCGTTGCTCGGCAATCGCCACGAAAATGAGATCGAATCCGTAAGACTTAGAGAAAAAAAAGAAAAAAACTGTTCACTCCGACGAAGGCAATCATATGCGCGCGAGAAATGAATTTCTTCTTTCGGGCAGTCAGCAGCGATGTCTTCGGTGTTTCTTTTCTTCCTCTCGATGTTCCAGTTTTTTCTCTGCCAAAACGGAAAAGAAAAGAAAACCCGTCGCGTATACCACCACCGCACACACGCACTCTTTGATACAGGATAAATTTATAAATTTTGTGTAGAGTGAGATAATACAAATGCCGTGCCGTGTGTCGGATGTGTCACGAACGTAATGCGAGACTAACACCGTTTTTACAAGTATATACAACTCACATTCACGACGTAGTCTTTTACTAATTTAGCTAGGTCTAACGAGTGGACTGTTTCCAAGGCACTGAAGAAACGTAAATACTCATCGTCAACCTCGTGGAAAGTACGATACGACAAGATCCCGTTGCTCTGAACCTGTTTCTTATAATGTCGCATTGAAAAACGAGAGAGAGAGAGAGAGNAGAGAGAGAGAGAGAGAGAGAGAGAGAGAGAGAGAGAGAGGGGGAAAGAAATGTGTAAATACTTTTGTGACGTAAGTTACGTCGAGATTGCATGCCGCTTGTGCGAAAATTAGTAAATTGTACAATAACACCCACGACCAAGAAGTTTAATTATAAAAACGAATCGTCTGAATCGATGTACACACATGTTTTTTCGTGCTGTGATAGCTCCCCCCGATATTTGTACGCTTGTGGCGAGATCGTTGCAGAAAGTTTAACGTAATATATTTCATATATAAATATAGAAACGATTCTCTCTATCGACCGCATATAATGGGGCTATCGCAGTTTGGTACATATATATATATATATACATAGATATATATATTATATACGCGAAATTCTACGATTTTTTTTCCGTCAGTATTCCTTTGTAATACATGGAGCTGTAGAGAATGGTAGGAGACATACGGCAAAAACTCAATGAGAGTCGCAGGCAATTTATTTAAGCATGGAATAACTCTATAGTTTGTAAGTATGTTAATGATAAGCTAAGTGCAATGTGTTCCACGTGTATTTAAGTGAGGAATAATAATGATCGCTTCGGTGCGCGCCTTAAAGTAACGAAAAATCGCGGAACCCAAAGCTTTCGACGGGAAATTGTTCAATGTAATATAATAATAACTCTTGAGCCGCGGCGATCTTTCTCGCGCGCGCGAGTTCGGAGGAAATTCACTTTTAGAGGATTACCCGGGGAAAATCTTTCCGATTCCCGACGATTGATATAGATTGCCAAAACACACACACACACACGCACACACACATACAGAGAGAGAGAGAGAGAGAGAGAGAGAGAGAAAACACACACACACACACACACACACACACACACACACACACACACACACACACACACACATACACATACATACGAAGAAAAGGAAGAGAACGAGGTCTTACAGGATTGTTTTTATCTCTCTACGAGCAGCGAATAAAAATGATTATTATATACAGTTGGACGAATATTAATTTCACGACGAAGACTCGGGAATTTGATTGTTTAAAAATGAAATATATCTCGCAATAACATATTCTGTCTTCGATTTTTTACGTGGTGTCTTTACTCTCCTAATCGTATCATTGTCGAAGTTCTGAACGAACAACGTCTAGTACGGTGTCTGATCTGCATTGAAAATTCATGTATTTTTTCAACCGTTGTACATTACTCTATAAATATTAATTATATAAATTATATAAATAATAACTATAACTATATATATATATACACACACATATACATATATATAGTATTAAAATGATAATAATAATAAGAATAATAATAAAATGTAGTTATTATTTTTTTATTATAATTTTTATTAGAATAACGATTAACTACTATACACTAGTATTTCATTATTACTGTAACGTTTTAGCGTTACATCACACATGATGCACCATATTTGTTCTTATTATTATTTTAATTTTTATTCTTACTTTTATAATTATTATTACGCCTTTATTTTTATTATTACCACTATTAATAAGTAACATTTCAAATTCAAAAATCACTATTAATAAATAAAATTTGAAATAACAGTCTCAAGGAAGTTGAGCAACCATTTGTTTTGTTTTTTCCACACATTCCTATGATATATAATTCGTAAATTTTTCCGAACAGTCTTTGCTAAAAATACAAAATCTCTTCTATAAATTCAATCGATATGATTGGGCGCATTAACTTTAATCGCTTGAGCCGATGATTATATCCGAAAAATGGACATGTGACCTTCTGATGTAGCGAAGCAACAAAAGATATCGAAAGAAAAGTCAAGATGATGTCCCATAACCCACTATTTCGCGTCACGCTTATCGAACCAATATCGCGTTTGACATGAACGCAGAACTGCAGCAACAAAATCTTTTGCTCCCGTCACGTCATATATTGCAAACGGTTTGGCGATAAGTAGACGTCAAAGACACGAGATGGTTACTTACAACTGCGACTGCAAGGACGTTGTGATCACGGAGAGGATATTCGGAGAAATCTACGCTGGTGATGAGGGAGTTCTGTCTTCGGCGATGACGATGGTACGATGTTGACGACAGCGGCACAAAAGCTTCTTGTATTTGCAGAACCTGCGGGGGAGAAAGTACCAGTGAAATCCTACACGATGACCAACAGGAATCGTATGGAGATTACAGTGATCGCATGGGGTGCCACGATCATTTCTCTAAAATTCCCCGATAAGCACGGCCGTACGGCGGACGTCGTGCTCGGGTTCGACGATTTGAAAAGTACGAGCATTAACCCGTCGAATCGCGACGTTTGTTCAACTTTCTCAATCCTGCTAATCTTTGCCATAATTGAATAAAAATATGCAGAGGAAAAGGTTTCTCTGGATTTAGTATACGTGTTAGCTTCACTTGGGTTTGTTTAATATAAACATAATTTAATGTCAAATATCAATCTGTTAAATGAAAATATTGTTTCCTTAGAATAAATCACGTTGTTCGATAGGAGGAACAGTGTTACATTTAGAGAAAATATTTATTTTCTGTAAAAAAAAAAAAGGATTATTTCATTATATATTAAATACTGTTCCACTGAAACAAAGAGATTCCTTAATATTTCTCTAACATAATGTTACTTTTCCCAAATAATTTGTTGCTTGTGACAATTTAACGTTTGGATGAAAGTTCAAAAGGAATTGTTAGTTGACATAAAGATATTGTTTAAAAAATTCAACGATCCTGTTTGTTGAACCAGACATCAGTTTGTTCGGTCTGTCCCAAGAGACAAATTTGTTTCGATCAGAGAAGTTTGATTAAATCCAAAGAAATCTTTTTCTCTGTGTACACACTGAAAAATACAGACCGATTATAAAACTACCATATAATAATATTCCGCAAATCGTCCCGTTGCGACCAAGAATACAAAGACGGTTGGTTTTGCAGGCTACATGAACCCCAGCATCAATCCATTTGTAGGATGCATACTGGGCAGGTGCGCAAATCGCATAAGGAACGGTTACTTCACTATTAAAGGCAAACCTTACCAGCTCACGATAAATGACTTTAACAAGCATCATCTTCATGGAGGTGTAAGTCCGCTGGTCTCCTCGCTCAGCAGCACACCGTTCAATAATTGACGTACAATTCGACTTCAGACGAGAGGCTTTGGTCGGCGGTTGTGGGAATCGTGCATCGACGACTGCTCGGTCGTCATGAGCTATTTGAGCAAAGACGGCGAAGAGGGCTACCCCGGTGCAGTGTTGACCGCGGTGAGGTTCAAGTTGACGTCCGAGAACAAGCTGGAGATAAGCATTCAAGCCACCACGACGAAGCCCACGATAGTGAACATCTCGCACGGTTCATTGTTCAATCTCGCTGGACACGTAACTGCAACAGCATTTTAATACATTGTTAATACGTCGGGGCGCTGGAACGACCGTTTTGAAACTTGGAGATGGAAGGAGGAGGACATTGTGGGTCTTCAAATATAATTCCCGGCGAGTGACCTGATATTCAGTTATTTAACGAATGAGCTTGTTGAAACTATAAGATGGTATAAATTAAGGCCACATCGAATTAAGCACGGACTTTGATTTCAGTTTTCATCATCAGCCGGAGGGCTGAAGGCTGTCTTTTAGTTACTGTAACCCAAACTGTTGTAACAAAACCCTCCCTTAAAATTTAAGCAATGTTTGTAAACTTCTTAGCCTTGTAGGAAGAACTTTAAAATTTTCTTAAAATGTACATCCCTTGAATAATTGATTTAAATTTTATTGCTGGATTTAAAAGATTAAAAATTATACTTTATAGGAATATGGAAAACAATAAATGGACACTCGACTTTGACTTAGATTCTTTTATTTTTTTATTGAATTTTTATTAAATTTAATAATAAGATTGCAATCAATGGCCTCAAATAACATTCTCAAGGAAACTTGAGTGTTTATTGTTTTCCACATCTTTATAAAATATAACTTATACATTTTTTAATCCAGTAGTAAGACTTTAAGTCAAAGTCAAATTTTAATATTCCCGATTATATGAGTCTCGTTATTTTATAATAAGTCGTTTAATCCTGGTACTTCCTCCTGTCTATTTCCAAGCTGGAAAACGGCATGACCCCAATTCCACGTATCAGTAAGGTTCACAAGGCAAATATTTACTCGATAATATAATGCAGGACGCCGGTAAGGAGGAACTGCTGAAGCACAGGATCACGTTGAACAGCGATCGCTGGACCTTCGCGGATTACACGGACCCGTTGCCAACTGGCGACATCCGGGAAGTCGGGGGAACGATCATGGACCTGCGTGTACCGCAATTTCTGGACAAGTGCATCGAGAAGGCATCGCGTTATTATTTAGATTAGATCAATCATCCCGATGGGGAAAATACATCATACGAATTTCTGTGAGCTGCAGGTTCCCCCGGGGGAAGGGTACGACCACAACTTCTGCGTGACGTCCAATTGGCACGGAAGAAGCGGGTACGTCGCTCAGGCGGTCCATCCGAGAAGCGGTCGGTAAGGTTCACAATAGTGTAATTCGGATTGCAACGAATTGTACTCTGCAAATGCAATAATTAACGTGGCTCACGCAGCTTTTTGGAGGTCTACTCGAATCAACCCGGCGTCCAGTTTTACACAGGCGGTCGTTTACCATGTGCTGAGATATCGCCGGTGTGTAACGCCACGATCGAAGCGGGCACACGATAATTTACTTCAGAGGTAATTTTGTCATAGACTAATAATGATGCCGATGACACACAGCCTGACGTGGATAAGCCGGATGACAAAGAGGGAGAAGGGGACGAGGGAGAAGCGCTGATAAGTGAGCAAACGAAATCAAACGGGCCGGCTGAGAGCAAATCACCGAGCTTTATCATTGGGAAGAAAGGCGTTCGCTATACCAAACACTGTGCCTTCAGCATTCAACCGCAAAACTATCCAGATGCAATTAATAATGTAGGTGTTGCAGGAATTCTGTTCTTTATCGCAGTGTTCGTTCATTCATATCGAATTAATCTCTTTCAGTCGCATTTCCCTTGTCCCATCTTACGACCTGGCCAATTCTATTGCCATGATATAACTTATAAATTTGGTATCCAATTGGCCAATTGTATGTGAGACATATATATATATATTTCAAGTTGTTCAAAAAACATCAGATCCGCATCAGAGAGAGAGAGAGAGAGAGATGTAGGGAATAATACGAGGCATATATGTATATATTGTATTACCTGCAATATTAACAAGAAGTGGTGAATATATTTCAAGTAAAAACATAGTTTATTCGATTTGATTTTATTACGAAGTATTTCGCAAGTTTACTGGGCATTTGGGTTGCATAATAATTGATTAATCTCTTAGAATAACGTAGCAATGCAATTATTCCGCGGGTCGAACTTACTTAGGTTTCTTCGCTGCAAAAAACCTCGCCATGCTACTGATTACAGATCCAAATGACTCGTTGATCATCACGGAACGTTGAATCCACCGCGGTAGCACTTTGATTTTATGGCAGTAACGTTTGTCCAACAGTACGACCGTCGAATAGTCATTTATGTGACGTACAGACCGGCCGATGCACTGATTCACTGCTTTCATACAAGAATTCTCGTAAAACCTACTCCCAGCGTCTGGTTTCTAAACGGAAAAGTCCGAACAATTCAAACAGAGATACGATAAATTTCATAATAATTTCCATGCTCACCAGACCATACGCACCACGTTCTCGTTTAAGTATTTCATCTTTTCTTGCAATTCTAGTGACTTAATGTTGGGATACGGCAAGCCGACGACTATGACACATCGACCCAATTCGTCGGAGAAATTTAAACCTTCGCTCAATTTGCCGCCTAAAGAAATATCATAAATTAATTGGTGAAATCGTCAATTTATCATTATCCGCGAAGAAGCAATACAGACACCATATCAACAATATTGATGTACAATTTATTTACCAACTACACTGAACAACAATGATCCGTTGCGCGGAGATTGCGGATTCTTGATGGAGTGTGCGTATTGATCCAATATTACACTCACCTATGCAATACAACATGGATTATGCAATATATTCATAGAGCATAAGTCGTTAATCATCATTATCCCGATTAGACGTACAGTGAACTAAATACCTGCGATGCTAACTTCGGTTCACGATAGATACACTTCTTCACAGAAATTTTCGACAGGACGCCGGATTTATCCAAATGCTTAAACACCGCATCCTCAAACTTGTAAGACGGAAAGAACACCACGACTCCGGCTGGCACGATGTTGCATAAATTTAACAGAGTTCTGCCCAATTCATCCAGCTGAAACAAAGTAACAATTTGAGCCTATCCTTTAATTAAACACGTGATACAATGAGAGAACGGAAGAGGCTATCACCAATTTTGTATCTTGACGATTATGAAAGCTGAATTCGAGTTCGACCCCAGTGGGGCCGCGCATCACGACGTTGGATATAATATTCTCTTTGGGAATCACGTGATCGCAGGAAAACGTCGTTATTCTATCCGTCGTGGCACCTGCCATCAGGAATAGCTGATCTATGAACTCAGACATCGGCTCCATTGTGCCACCGGCTAGTACCACCGACCTGGCGTCTTTCACTGTTATTTTGGCAAGAAATTTCAACGTATCGAACACAAAATCAAGATAAACATATAAATGAAAATGAGAAGGGCCTGAAGATTATTATTTACGCTGAAACGTATATTACATATTAATCGATAAGCATACCAATATCATGAAAATGCGCCGCAGGATTTAGCAGTAAAAATTTTACAATCCCTTGTCCAATAGTCGCACCAGGTAAAACGTATATTCTGCCGTCCAAGCAGCTGCTCTTCAGGGATTCCAAGAAGCTTAGAATCGCCATCAAGGGACTGCTCGTTACTTCTTCACCGGTGTTTGTCGTACCCGCGATACTGCCAGCTTCTTGAGACGGTGTATCCTTATTTTTGATCGAATTCAGAAATTCCGTTATTCCAGACTTCGTTGTCTTCTGTTCACCGATTTTCACATTGTTACCGTATTGCTCGACAAACCCTTGCAGTTTATGTACGAGTTTCGAAGCCTTGACGAATTCCAGCAGCTTGAATATATTGACCGTATCAATCTCCGTGAATAGCTCGAACTCTTCTATTTTGTATAATTTGGGTACTATCGACTTGTCGACCTCGTCGTTAGGATGAGACTTCGTTGTCGCTCCGAAGAGAATGAGAAACTTCTTCAGACAGAAGCTCAGCTGATTTAAGTACAGCACACTCTTAGCCGAGAACAGAGAATCGAACCTGTAATTACATCAATCTCATAACCAACATTGAACGGTTATTGACGTTCATTTAATGATTTAACAGTGCTGTTTCTGAAAGTAAAGTACTTTTTCTGATATTGGGACAGCTGACTGTAGCAATGGAGTAAATTTCTCCCTGTGATGACAGAACTGTGCATTCCTTCGATGGCGTCCAGTAAATTGTGGGCCTCATCTATGATCAATATATTTTCTTTCAAGTCTATCCCTAAACTGACCCTGGTGTTCTTGTGTAGAATGGAGTTGTATGGGACCAATATCAATTGTCCATTCTTTACGGACTTCCTCGAGCCATAATACGGGCAAGTATTTGACTCTTGGCCTTTACGCACAATTTCCTCGACATCTTGAACGGTTGTCAGCACTCCAGCCATCAGCAATTTCTGATCACCTGGTACGAAGGGACAGCCATTCGTAGTTTTTGATCTCTTCAGATCTTTCTCCTTTTTAACGGTAGTCTTCCTCCTTTGCAACTGAAGGCAGGTCTCATTGATCAGATTTATATGCTTCAATTTCCTGACGCTTTTGTTGATGCAGTAGTTCTGCCTAGGAAGAGATAAAAGTACATTAATAACAAAGAGCAGAATGATATAACCACGTGGTATACATGCAGCATGAACGTAAGGTTAAATGCAAAGATACCTTGATGACAATGGTACCACAGAAATATCTTCAGAATAGGGAGATCTCTGCAACTCGTGCACAAATTGTGTCAGTTGCGAGTGCGTTCTGGAACAAAAAAAGATCTTGGTATTCTTAAATAACGGTTCCTCCTTATCCTCTTCCTCGGAGCTTCCCTCAGAATCTGACAATGGATCTTCCAGGATAAGATCCTTCTCTGTATCGCTAACATCCGAGCCTACTTCTTCAGCTTTACCTTGGTCCGCTGGTTTCTTCTGCAAACTTCCGAATTGCTGTCTCACTCTCTGCGCTGTTTTAGTCTTCGCAGCTTTAGATTCAATCATTCTCTTGAACTTTTCTTTCTCACCCTCAAACTCGAGGATTCCGTTTAATTTAGCTTGGAACGTCTGCTTCTCAGCATTCAGCTGTATCAGCTCTGTCTGTGCTGAGAACCAATCGTCAGTTGGTCTCTCGCAATTCTTGATTTTACCGTCAATCACCGCAATTGCGGAAGTTAATTCCCGCTTCTCGGACTTCTCATGATCGACCAGCCATTTCAGGGCACCGCAGATGAGAGATAAGGACTTCCCGGTGCCAGTCGGACTTTCGAAGAGACCTAATCCTCCACTTTCCAAACAATTGTAGAGCTCTTTCATGAACTGCTTCTGAATCTCATACGGTGGGAAAGGGAATGGAAATTCTTGCGGAGGTTCCATCGTTGAAGCCGCCTCTTGAAACGTCGGATCACAAGTTCATTCTGCTTACGCACAAATCTAGATCGTCAAGTTATTTTCACGATTAACATAAAACTGAACCTTTGCAGATTGAAATCATACCTTCAATCGACACGTACCGTTGCGATAACGAGCCGTCAACTCGTTGTTTCTCGTAAACTGTAACTTACTTTCTGTATTTTTGTTATTCAGAATTCGCAACGTACCGTAGAGTTTCCCGCTTTTCCCAGTGCCGCCATCATTACAGCGAGAAAACAAGAACAGGACTCAACGGCAGGAGAAGCGGACAGCAACTACTAGAAAAGACCGCCAATCATTCGCGTCGAGTCCGTCGGATGCGTCGATTGGCTAGAAAGTTCCTAGGATGCCTGGAGAAAAGCTGCGTTCACGGAAACACACATCGTCACTGAGAGTGACGTTTATTGACCAATCAGGACGGAGAAGCAATATTTCTTTTTCACAATTAGTCAATTAAATTCCACTCTACCCTCGATGTGGCGTTTCCGAACGCAATCAAGAGGACCTTAGGAAGTCTCTATTCGATAGCCAATCGGCATGCTCGGCAATGTTTCTCTACGACAAACGAGAGGGCGCTCTAACGACACTGCCGGCACTGGTCTTCATTTCAAAGGAAAACACGCACCTGTGCTGTTGATCTTACTTGCACGTATTAAATCAGTAGACTATAGTTTTGCGAGTGCGCGACAATGAAATACAATTTGCGTTACATTGCAAACTCCGATCTCACCTAGTCTTCTTTCTGATCGTTTTCCGTTTTTACAATTGAAATTTCACCGAGCGAGTTCGTGCGTTTCTCGCTCTTTTGACACTTCATTATTTCCACCACGATGTAAGGTGATGGTGAAACTTCACCGGAGCGCTCACCTGTAGAAAACAAACAACACGGCAGAGTTTATTCACCGTAACGGCGCGGGAAGGGTGATAAATCATGAAAGAGATGCTGACGAATCAAACCACTGCTGGATACAGTAATTCCTTCGTCAACAACAACAACAATAGAGATGCAGGCAGCAGTATTACAAACGACAACAACTCGAGGAGATACGCTATGGTCAGCACCGAGTGGATCTCCGCTATCGGTGAAGAACTGGGTATACATCCATTGCCGGATCCTCTGTTGAAGAGGCTAGCCGAGGATGCTTCCTATCGCCTGAGAGAAGTCCTACACGTAAGAATACAATCGAATCTTGTCTGATACTTCAATGTTTACACGATGCTCACAGTGCTGATCGTTTTGCCTTCAGAAGTGTGTTACGAGACTGAGGCATAGTAAAAAAAGACGACTCACATCTACAGACGTAAATGCTGTGATTACTAGCTTGTGCGATGCAGATCCGGTTCTTGGCGCGCCAGAACTCATGCCGGAATATCACACAGAGGCGAAGGTGTACGTGCCTAACGAATCCATCGTCAGTCTCACCCATCCCAGTCAGCTGAACGAACCGTTGAATCTTTCTCAAACCAACGTGCCATTTCTGCAAGGTACTTTCTCCTTAAATCAAACACACATATATAGTATGTATCTTTCACACGCATCTTCTTAATCTGTGCATTCCCTCTAAGGTCTTGTTCTTCTCTTCCCTAGAATCCGAGATATGTGACCTGAAACTCACGGAAGCGCGTCACAATTACGCAAAACGTGCGCTGAAAACTTTATTCAACGGCTCGCATAAAACTTTCCAAGTACGTTACGACTGTGTCTTCTAATATTTCATAATTAAGCGAATACTATATTTATTTTATCTATTATCTTTGTTTTGTTTCCCATATATTTTCAGGTCTTAATTAACGATTGCGCCACGAATGTGCAATTAGGCGACGAGGGAGTCGTGGACAAATTGATGTCTATCGCCAGGTCTCTGGTGATTTCAAACAACGCGCAATACACGCGCGTTTCCACGCGGACGTGCCAGCTTATTATTGCTATCGCCAACAATAGCGAAGCTGTCTACCCGTATCATTTAAATTCGGTAGTCAATTGTGTACACGATATGATACACATGATGATGTATCATTTACATTTCCCGAATCCTCCGTCGAACATTTTTAACTGTTTCATTCTAATGAAATTACGTTGAATTACAGGTGGACAAACTGACTGAGTTATTGTTAGAACTTCTGTTGGGCCAGAGCTTCATTAATCCAAATCTGGAGGTACTCTTCAAGGAATGCGCGCTCAAGTTGATGCTTCGGTGGCCGTCTATTGCCGATAAGTAAAGAGAAATTTCACTCAGTCTCTCTAAACCGTATGTAAAGTATAAATGACTATCTGAAAGAGAGATTGATTTCTTTCAATATCTGCCGGCAGATATGTGCCCATAATGGAGAGTGTCTTGCTGAAGGACGAAAAGGAGAGCGTTGAGCTGAACAAAAAGAGGGTAATGGCCGTGGAGTTGTTGGCGAGCATCCAGCCTCTCAGATTTTTCCAGCGTAACACCGAACACGTGCTTTCTGTGCGGAAGATTTTGCATCTATACGCTACACCCAGTTCGTCTATCTGGCAACAGATAGCTGTTAGTGTCGATATGTTACGCCGCTTCATATCACGCTAGTTTAATATCGTACAGTCGGCGGATTAAAGATCGCAACACCGGTTTTCGATGAGTTTCGCGTTCCTCGTCCGATAGGAGGATTTATTTCGAAGCAATTTTCAGAATATACACTTCCTTGATACAAGATGTGCGACGAAACTCAGGCTGGAAAAATGTGCTGCAACCTTTGATCCGCCGACTGTATGTGCGCTGTCTCTGCTGATTGTCCTCGTTGCAGCTGGCCACGTGCGCCCTCGTGAAGTCGCGGAATCATTCGTTGGAGCTCGCCACTTTGATCGAGCATTACGGTGATTCGTTGTTGCCGTACCTGCCAGCGAATTACGACGGTAGCACGAGGAAGAAAGCCAGCAGGAAACCGGGCGCACTGCCCATCGTAATCAAAGGTAAAATGAAGTACGTCAAGGTGAGACCGTTGCTGCACAACAGGACGCTGTGGGACCGGCAAACCGCGTTCCCGGACTCCACTCTGAGAGGGCCGAGGCGGGAGATCAGGTGCGCGTGGCACGTCGGGGTTAATCAGCGAGGGCGCTCGCTGTCTTCTTTGTTACATTGCGAACGTAACCGTAGGTTCGCGTTCGCTGGCGGCCGTCCAGTCCCACCCAGCAACCTGAGGCGGGTCAGTTTACGAGCGAACTACCAGATTCTGAGAAACGAGCTTCAAGCCACCCTTGCTCTAGTCGCGTCGCGCAGGCTCCTCGTGGTCAAGGACAAAGAGAGGAAGCGCCACGACTTCTACAATTTAGCACACGTTTTTCTATAAGTCCACGATCGTGCTGACATAAGCGAGGGAATTTTGTAAATATCGCTATTATCTCTCATTTATCGTCCCATCTCTTCTGTACAAATGTTCGCTAATTGTAACTTGTATATACAGGATGGGCCGTTTAAAATGTTACATACTGTTTTCTCTGAAAATACGCGTCATAGCAGAAAATGGTTTAGACAAAAGTTCGAAAGGGGCGGAGAGAGATGAAGATTTTGGTCTTGGATGGACATACCGAGGTCATTTTCAAGGACTCGTGAATGTTTTATATGGAAAATTGATTTTTGTAACATCGATTCTTCTAGTCATTTTACGTGTAAATGTATTTCACTAAGATCATCGAGAAATGAATACTTTTCAAGATATTTTATAATTTATCTATGATCTCTTTTAGTATATGATATGAAATATTACTTGTAAAAGTATTCATTTTTCGAGAACTTTATCTTGAGACTTTTGCGTAGAATGACGGATAGAATAGATTGCTGGAAAAAAAAACATAGAGAAATCTAAAAAAATCGCTGCATTTTCCAAATGCATTGATGCATCAGTGTGCAATTAGTGTCATTAAACGGTTTCTCCTATTCTCTTACGTATAAAAGTATTAAAATGAGTTATCAAAAAAACGAATATTACACTAGATATTTCATATTTCTTTTTTTCTGTATTGTGATAAGAACTAGACGAAATGTAAAATATCTCGCAAAATATTCATTTTTTGGTGATTTTATCCCAATATATATTTATGACTAGAAGAATCGATATGTGTTACCAAAACCATGTGATATCATTTAAATGATTCATGATGATCCTAGCACGTCCAAGATCAAATTAATGCACTCATCTCTTCTCCCCCTTCGAACCAAACAGCCTGTAACACTTAAAATGGCCCATTCCGTATACTCTCTCGTTAAAATTCAAAATTAATATTTATCCATCGCGTCCTTCTCATCGAACTTCCGAATCACTGGTTGATAATAAGACTGTTCTTTTTAGCTGAACTAGTGTACGCACTGAAACATCGTTCTTTGACAAGATTAAGTTTTATATATATATATATATATATATATAGTTTCGCTCCAACAGAAAGTACAATCTAATTCAGCCCAAAAAAACAGACCTAATATCGCTGATCGGAATATTACAGCTTTCGAGAGACGAAAGAGCCGCATGGTGGGTGGTTCGTCTTACTCCTCCGATGCGAACGTTTGTCTGTTTCGGTCACGATGAGAGAGAATGAAATTTTATCCTACCGTAAATGTAAATAGCGCTCAGTGGAGGCAAGAATATAAAATGAGATATGAACTCGCACGTTCATCAACTACAATCTATATTGTACACACGAATTCCCCTTTTTTTAAGGCAGTCCTGGGGACCTGGTATCCGCGTACATACCGAATAATGCGAATTAGTCAAGCATATGAGATGAGTATGTACTTCGACTGGCATTCGTAATAATAAGATTTTTTTAATTTCGTAACGTCTCTTCCTCATTTCAACTCCGACACACGCTCGTCCCTCTCGACTCGGGATAACCGCGGGCATGACAGCGACTCGCTTTCCCTCATTTATTTCAAAACGCCTCACTTGTTCGCATTTAAAAAAAAACCTCACTTCTCTTACTTTCTCTTGTTACTCAACTTGTTTTTGTTTTATTTCATTAGATATATTTGAAAAACACAAAGGATTCTTTTTGCGAAGAGTTTTATTGTATCAATGAATACGCACCTAAAACTGAGATTAAAAAACCAACTTTAGCATCATGTGACTTTTTTGTCTCCCAAAATTCTAATTTCGCTCATCATTGACTTTCACTGCAAGTTCAGAATTTTCAATCTCTTAGAGGAACGGTTTAAATTTTTTTAATTTTTAACGTACAAATTATTTGGGAGATTCACTTATTTTAACGCTATTTTCTTATTTTTTCCAAAATTCAAACTCACTTTTCTCACTATTTTTGACGGTTGAACCGTTCCCATGCCTGAGCACGCACGCGTATGTTACGAGCGCGCGCACACACACACACACACATCCTCCTCTTAAATGAGATTTCTCATCGCTGGCTTGTGGATATTGTAACTGGGTGAGAATGAGAACACCGTGGAGAAATGAAATTGCTTTTATTGCGGTACTCGGGACTAGGCAGGCGAACGTACTTACGAAACGCACGACCGAACCGGATAGTAGAGCGGATGGTCGTGGCAAACGCGATTTTTGTACCGCGACTATTAACAGATATTTTTCAAGGTAATCACTCGTCGACTCGTCTAATTAATCCACTACCGTGTATACTACAGCTTAGAGTAGCTTAAACGAAGAAACAGATTACTGCACTGTGTGGATCCGTCGTATCGGACAATGAAGTAGAGTGCGTTCCGAGATTATTTCTCATCGTCGTTATCCGCGCGAGAATCCTCGAGAATAGGCGGACCTGTTATCGATTATTAGTTACGAGTTATGATCGAATGACATCCTCGGATATTCCACAGAGAATAATAATAATAAATGAGTGTAATCACTATGTTACATATGCTCTTTATTTACCATAACTTTGAATACGATGCGACAAGAATGTAGTTGTAGACTCGATCGATTTTCTTTTCATTTTCCCCATCGGAGAGACTGCTCCGATGATTAGCGTGATGATTAATATCAATAGTCGTTAATAACGATGAGACCGTCACTTAGCTTACTTCATCATCAGATCTATCAGATGTCGTGTTCGTTATTTAATAATAAGCGGATTTTCAATTCACCCAACACGACTTCGTTAATTTAATGTTCGGCTGCATCTTGCGTAGTGTAGCTCTCTGCTAAAACTAAGATTTCCCTAGTCCACATTTTATTATTATATATTTCTTAAAAAATTAACGAGATTCTCACATATCTCTCTCTCTCTCTCTCTCTTTCTCTTCCTCCCTCCCTCCCTCTCACTCTTTCCTCCTCTCTTTCTCCTTCTTTCTCTCTCTTACTCTCATTCTTTCACTTTCTCTTCGTTTCAATTTTCGCATACATCGCCGCATAAATTAGAGTATAAACAAATGAATATACAATGATCATATAACATTTAGTTTCTCCTGACGCCCGTCGCTTTTCCGCCACCACCCACTCCATGCGCGGGCGCGTGCTACACGCTTGATCGATCGACATTGTATCGCACCAGTGCGGGACAAGAGATATGTTGACGAGTGACGAACAACGATTTCGCATACGTACTTGCACGAGTTCTTCTTTGCACCGAGTAAACGCTAATACATTTATATCCGAACAGCCGGGCATCATATATCGAGGCAGATTTTGCAAAGAGTCTGCTCAACAAATTTTCGCCGGCGGCTCGCCTGTGAAAATATCGCGGGGTCTGCTGACGACGGATTAGTAACGACGGATTGGCCACGGGAGCCGAGCAATATCCACCTCAATCGAGAGACGCCATTCGATCCTCCTCGGCTCCCGCAAATCGCCGACCCGGTTACGTCAACACAGCATCACCGGGGGAATCTGATGCGGGCGCAATGACGCCGGATTTGCCGCGATATTCCCGAGCGAATCTGCTATCAATCTACTGGCTACGGCTGGCACCGTTCCTCTTCTTAGGATAGATACGTTCGTTCGCGTGGGAAATGTATTTGCGTTTATCTCACGTACGTTTACAAATCACGGATTCCCCACCCCGTCGCTTTATTATTACACGAGAGACAAGAGAAGAAGAAGAACGCAAACAGTCCCCTCGATACTCCTTTTGTACCGTAAGAATAATTATTGTCACGTCCGTATAGGACAAGAAAATATAAAATAAACCGCTAAACACACTCTCTTTCGTCTGGACGGGCTGTTTTTCTTTTTTTTTCCCCCTTCCTTTCTTCAGATTCGATCCGGACGTCGCGTGACGATTTTTCCGATCGTGTTTCCCGCTCCGACCGTTCCGCTTCCGCGCGACTCGCCGCGATGGTGTGCGTGGGAGCGCCTCGCTTTCGGAAGGCAGGAGAGTCTAAACGTCATAGAACGAATACAAAACTCTTACTAGCACCAAGCACATACCGCACGCAATAAATTAAAGTGACGTATGGAATTTACACAGTTACCCTGGCTTCGCCAATCACGCAATCCGTACGTAAAATATCCCTCCTCGTCTGCTGTCGTGAGAACGCGTATCCACGAGCCGAAGCTCGGCCGAAGTTGCAGCTCGCCCGGAATTACTCAAATGCACTCCTCGGCCTGTTTAAATAAGGATGAATAATGAACGGAAAATGCGTCCTCGCGCATCAAACGAAACGATAACTAGTCGAATTTCCGTTTCTCGGCTTCATCACAGTGGGCGACGTGAAGAACGATGACGACGAAAGAGGCAATCTCCCGCCGACGAATCCGCCGCTAACGAGCTTATATAACGTGTGTTCAAGTGAAAAAAAAAATTTGTCTCCGCGAGAGAGAAGCAGTTTCTTCAATACGTAAGTATATATACAAATTGTCGTTGGAACACAAATTGCGAAACGTTCGGACATGTTTGCGTCTAACGAAAACGGGAATAGAAACGTATACACATATATATATATGAACAGAAGATTTGAGAAAATTTTCCTCATCGAAATCTCACCGATATCATCATCATCATCATCATCATCATCATCATCATCATCCTCATCCTCCTTCCCCCCGATTGCGATCGTACGCTACGCTAAAATCAACTTTTGCACTTTTCTTATTTACAATAAATTATACTACACAAAAAATTTCTCCTCGCGCAAATAAATATCCGCAATTAAAAATTTCACTCCGACTGAGGCGCCTGGGAAGCGACCTCGACCTCCGTTCACGTTTCCGGAAGCAATTCGCCGGACAAACGAATCGCAAAGGTGACTTTTTTGCAACATATTTGCGTGTGTGTATGTGCGTGTTCCTTTCCTCTGCCTCTTGAATTTTGCGCCTGAGATCACGCCCGAGCGAGGAAATCGGCCCGGGCACACCGTTAATATCAACGATGGAGTACCACTCGCGCACCCTCGCGCGACGAATTACGTCGCCCGAAATATCCGTTCAGGAATAGACGACTTCGCGCGACGAATTCTCCGCTACGTCGCCTAAGTACATCGGCAAATCGCATCAGACGGGCGCGCAAAGCGCGCTCTGCGAGGAACTGAGCTTCCTGGTGCGCGCGCGCGCGCGCAAACTAATCGCGAGCGAACGAAAAAAACAAACAATATAGACGGAACGAGAGAGATCGTTTGTTAGGGACGTCCAAATCCGAAGTCGATCGTCGGCTCCATCCTGATCAAATGCGCGTTGCTGTGACGATCGATTCCACGAAAATCGGTAATCATTAATTAATTACAGCTTATTAAACATTCACTGGAAAAAGTGGCCGCGTTCAGCGGAAGGTTCATCCTACAACCGCGGGGGGGAAGTTTTCCGTGCTGGGATTGGATCGTTCCCGCAGATCCGAAAGAATAATCCAATCTCTGCGAAGAGAAAACGACCGATAGCTGCGAGGTTGAACGTTCTGCTGAACTTGGGCCATCGTCATAGCCGAATGTCTCTCGAAGTCGGGCAATTCACCCGCGAGCGATCCCTCCTCCTTCTCTTCCCCCTGCTCCTCCTCCTCGGAGGAGGGATTCCTCGGTTCTTCCTTCGAAGATTCGGACGTCTGGAACGTGAGAAACGTGTTTCGCTAAACACACATACGCACATACACACACACACACACACAGAGAACATAACGTAGCTGAGTTCCGCCGCCGCGTCGTTAAAGCCGCAGCTTCCTAGGCGTCGGAATAAGGGACTTGACCGTATTTCCTTCTACCTTGGCGTTGCATTGCTGCTCCGCGTCGTTCGGCTCACACGCCTTAGCGCAGTCCTTCGATTTCGTTGGCGAACCGGCCACGCTCTCCGACGAGTGCCTTCTCGTGTGCACGTTGCTGCGACGTGGGGTCTGTTCTTGACGTAGTCTTAACGTATGAGGTAAACGTTCGGTTGGCTTGCGAAGGCTCCCGGCGGAGTTAAGCTCGCAGAGCAGCGAGGGTCGCTGACGGTCCCACGAGTCACTCCAACTGCAATCGGAAGGGGGTCAGCGATGAGAAGCAGGGAAACGTGTGATTGACGAATTTCGAGTTTGAACTTGTGTAACTTGCGAATTTTCAAAAAGTAGGTGTGACACAGTAAAGGCAGATTAAAAGAGCCGAATTAAAAAAGTCGATAGAAGATGACAGGGATGGATTTGGATCTTATAATGTTTTATCATTACATCTGTCGTCTCGCAATCAAACTCACATTTCCGCCCCGAGACTGGAAATATTGCTTATTCCTTTCGTTTTTTACATCGTGTCTCGATTTAAATGACTGAATATTTTATCTGGATATTTGTGTTCCTACACGTTATATGTTGATTTTATCTAATCCAACTATAAAAATATGTTTTCCTATAACATGTTTTCTATAAAAGTAATATGTTAAAGAAATACAATCAATCTCGTATTTTTTAAAATAACAATATGAAATTTAAATTAAAAATTGTTGATAAACGAGTAATTCGAACAATAGATTAAATATGTTAATGATATAAAAAGAGACAGAGGATTTATCAAATATATCAGATAACAAATTTCTCTCTCTCTCTCTCTCTCTTTCTCTGAAACTTAAGATCTAAAAACACGATTCGATCATATTAACATTTTACTTATACAATTCTATCGGATTTTTTAAGCAGGGCGATTTCAGTACTTTTTTCCGGCGAATTTCGCAACATATTCCATGTCCAATAAGAGAATTTGGTCTTTTTTAGTCATTTTCCGAAGTTACATTTGGACACGACATGTGTTGCGAAACTCATCGAAGAAAAAGTGTTGCAACCTTTGATTTGCCGAACTGTATTTAACAATTAAATCAGAAAGTATTATATATTAATTATTAGAATATTGTTCTTTTTGAATCACGAAGCAATTTTTTTGATATATAAAATGTCACTTACCGCACAAGGCTATTCAAAGCAGCGTGAAACATTACGTAGTGTAAATCGAGTATATTGTCGCAAAAGATTTTATTTTAAGGAAACGTCTAGGTGTAATTGTCTCGACAGCTTTAAAAGACGCAAACGCATGATGTTGCTACATGCTGGGAATGTCACAGTTTATAAACGGGCAACACAAGCGAGAGAGCTAACTACATTGCATCGGGATAATTCGAGGATGCCTTCGAGATTTATACCGATTTTTACAACGGGCGATTAGGCTTTGTAGGATCGCGATTATTCAATCACCCCCCCTCCAAACGGCGATGTAGGAATCCGTTAGACGAAGGTGAACGCAAAAGATAACGTGAACACAAAAACCGTAACGTTAGAATGCCACGGCCGTTCGACCAATCACGCGCGATAACGCTATGATAAAACAATTTATTTATAATATATACAAAGTATCACGTGTATATATACAACGTATATATAGATTGTTTCCAACACTTCACTCTGCACATGCATACTCAATGGAGGTCAAGTGTGAAAGAATCTATTGAAAAAATACTATTATCAATTTCGGCAGGAGATAACTAGAATACTTGCGAATGTTCAAAGTACAAATGAATACGGTCGAGAACTTCTTCCGGGAAATAAGGAATACTTTGGTCGAACAGCTTGGTCGAGCGAGAATCGTGGGATGCTTGGCTCCATGCAATACTAATGCAGGCGTTAATAGATCATGCTCAAACTAACGTTACGAGTATAAAAGACGTGTACGAATACGAAGATATTAATCGCACAAAGCAGTACATATCCCAACACTATGTCACACAAATTGATGGACTCTACCTTCCCGATCCTGAAGCTGTTTGCGTAGAATCAGCCGAGTAAAGGGCGAGACCAGAACAGCAGAAACGACATATTATTTATGATGCACGTTTGTGATAAAGAATGCTTTCTGTGCTTTAATCTTATGTCCTAAATATTTGTCTAAATTAATTTGTTTTTTTTTTTTCAAATTATACAGCGGTTTATCGCCCATCACAAGCAGAACAGCTTTTTAGTTCAGGACTTTAGACACAAAACGGCCATCGTGCGTTGCAGAGACTTAAGGCATAAAACGTCGTCTTGAACTAATAAGTCAGCCATTCTGCTAAGATCCTAAGAGTCTTCCGTACAGTCGATATACGTCGTATCATTCTCTATGGAAAATTACACGATTTTCAGCCTTACTCATGAAAAATGAAAACTGTTATACAATTAGAGTCACTACGATCATAACGTTTATCAGAGTTACTTATGCGATTTATATCATGGATATTAAAGTGAAAATCGTGTAATTTCTCGTCTGGGGAATGACATGGCATACACGACGCCGACTGTAGAATGAGAATTTAGTCCGGATTAGCCGATAGCCAGATGAGAGTCGATTGAATAGATGGAGAAGGTAAATCTCACCTAACGAGAGGCCCCATGCTTCCATCCTGTGGAAGTGACTGTAGGATCGAAGGCCCCGCTGACACTGGACGTGTCTACGATCACAATTGAAACGCAGTGTTCTTTAATTCTTCACGGACAAACGGTCACGTATACGACACGACGATACGAATTAAGACGCGATGAGCGGAACGAGCTGTCGCGCATACCTTCTCCGTCTGCGTAGCGGCGTTACACGTGTCCACGGAAGGGATGTTGTTGTTGCGCGCCGGCACGATGCAGGTTTGCGCGTCGCCGTTCGTAGGTCCTTGCAGCTTCAAGAACTGAGCCTGTGAAAAGACGGCTGAATTATCGCGCGACGACTCGCGTCTTCGAGGACGATCGACTCGGATCTCCGTGAGCGGCATTTTCCGTCCCCCCCCCCTCCCCCCCCGTGATTATTTACCTGAAGCTGTTGTATGGTGCGATCGCGGTCCTCCACTTGGCCCTGAAGAAAGATCACTTGTCTTCTCAAATCCGCTAATTCATCCGCGATACTGCTGCCACCGCTACCCGGTGACGTGCTCACGTCGATGGTTTCACCACCCTCGTTCAGATTCAGGTTCAGGTTGCAGAAGAGGCCATTCTGCAATTTCAGCCGCGTCAGCACACATCGCGAACTTCTTTCCAATACTTTCATAACACAGAGTCGAGATATTACGGAATTACTGTGTATTATACTTTACACTTCCTTTTCTCAAACATTTTTTCGCACAAAGATTTCGTCTCCGCGAGAGAAAGATACGAACCTTCACAGAATTATCGAATGGGTTGAGAGTGTCTGCCTAAAAAGCGAAATCAAACGTCAGCGGCTTGTACACATCGATTTTCACGGTCGAGAGCTTATGTAAATTCGTAAATGTCACATTGGGAAGGAGTAAAATATTAGGTGTTACCGCAACAACAGCTCGGTCAATAATTCTCGCGCTGCAATCGCGAGCGTTGCTCGTTACGTCATTTTATGCCATTATATTAACAACTGGATGATCGCACGTTACTTTTACTCAGTCCCACGGTTACAATTTAATTAATATCTCCATTATGTTTGCACACACACACGCATGCGAGTGAGGTGAGGCAACATCAGTGACGAAGAATATATATAGTATATAGGAGGAAAAAAATCAATGCAACGTACCCTCGTCAAATCGTTCTCTCCTGACTTGAGACGCAAAATCAGGAAGGACGACGACAAAATGAAAAGTAAAAAAGTCGTGTTAATAAAAAAGGGGCGAAGATGCGACAAAACCGCAGTGTGTGTGTATAAAAAGGTAAAACGAAACTTGCCGTCCGTTCGCGAACGGACAACGGCGCGCTCGGCGGTAAAAAGAAAACCAAGAGAGAGAGAGAGAGAGAGAGAGAGAGAGAGAGAGAGAGAGAGAGAGAGAGAAAAATAGCGCGAAGCACACTTATACACGGCGACGTGAAAGCGACGTGCAGAAATCTCGCGGATCGCGAGCAACACGACACACGAGCGAGTGAAGGAGGTGGTGGTGCGGCACCGTCGTACCTCCTGAAGAACTCGTTTGAGTTTCAGCAGCATCGTCTTCAGGGAGACGATGTCCTGGAACATATGCTGATACGTCGCGCGATCTATCCTCAGGCTCGCTTCGTCACCGGAATCCAGGTATGGGGATTGCACCTGCGAGAACACGGAGAATACCTGTGAGTGGCGAATCGCCATTTCCCATTGCGCGTCGATTAACTGCACGAGTTTTTAAGCCCGGATCGACAGTGAGTGTAATAAACCTTTGGCCTGTGTATTCGGAATTCTTTTTTATCGTATTTTAAAAGCGCCTTAAATGCAGCATGTCAGCCAATCAGGTGATTCCTAAGCCATTTTTAGGAACGCTCTTATCGATAAAAGAGAATTGAGAACACGGGCCTTTGGCTCTAAGCGATAAAATGTAACGTAATCTCTAAAGCCGTTCCCCGCGCTGCCAAAAGTCGTGATAGCACCTGGGTCGTTTAAATTGCTAAACGTCTAGGAATTGCGACGTCGGCGCGGAGGAAAGTTATCGTATCAAAATTCAAGGTACGTATCATCGTACATGAGCAAAAATATATAATCTTACGTGAAAATCAAACTTGTGCTCTTACGTAAAAAAAAAAAACTGTCAATATAATTGCACTAAGAAAATATATCATTCGAGAATAATTTTCGTGAACTGAGAGAAAAACACATCGGATAGGAGGAACATCTTCAAACTGACTCAATTCTTAATTCGAATTTATAGCCCTCACTATCTAATATCTTTTCCGCTCGATTCATGAAAATTACTTTCGTATAACACAAATATATATTTTTAGCGCAACTAAATATAGAATTTCTTTCATATGAGCAAGTTTCATCTCCACATAAGATACAATCTTGCTTATATACGAGAATAAGTCTCGATACGAATATTTTTTCCGCGTGACAGCGCTGGCGACGCTATTTCCTAGAAATTACGCTGCAATTTACCGCTCGAAGCGAAAAGGCTCGCTGCACGTATTGTAAAAGGACCTTCAGAGGCGAGGGTGAGAGAAACGCGATGAGGGGAGCGCAATGACTCACATCTCCCGTTCTCCTGAGAGGACTAGAAACTTGACGGTTGCGCATGCTGTCCAGCGAGCGCGGCGACTCCGTTCCGGATCGGTTGCGCAGGAACCTCATCCTGTCGCCGGCGATTCTGCAACAGAAAGGACGAGGCGCGTGATTACCCACGGCGAGTCACTCTCTCGATGAACGCGAATCGCCAAGAATCGGCCCTCGTTCGTTTTCGAAAATCCGACGAGCGCAGGAGCGCTCCTGCGAGAATGCGCATCCTCGCCGGAGGGCCCCGAGGAAGACGTCGGAGCGAACGAGAGACGTTAATGACCCGTGACGCGGCGGCGTCGCGAAGACGCTAGGTAGCAGGTGGATTATCGTATCGCACCTGTACATAAATAGTGAAAACCCGCACGAGAGGCATTCAACGCCTCAGGAAGTCGCACATTCGCGCGTTATCGCGGCGCTCATCACGATCACAAAGGGGACGGGAAGAGTGAGAAGAGAAGCGCGGCCGATACACACGGATTCTCTACTGATCTCCTTCCGCCTTAACCCTTTCGGCACGGCGACTTCTCGCCGCCGTAAAAGCTGCTACCCAGCGATCGAGAGCGACAGTCGTGCGGGGACAGTTGCTGTGCGACGTTTTCTGAATGAAGTGACCGCCCATTGATTCGTGCTAAAATTCCTATTCGCCGCAAAATGAAAGATCATTCGAGATATCTCGTGAGATGTGTGAGGTAAATTATTTTCGCTAATTACTTCGGCGAATTATTATTCTTTCGGTTAGCCAGGAGTGAGGTAAAACGCACCAATGGCCTGGACACGCACCTCATTCCGGACGTTCTTATTGTTTTGGTTCTTAAATATGAATATATGTTGAAACTCGAATATCTGGATTCAATCTGTTCGATATTCGTATTTGAGGATTCAAGCAACAAGAATGTCCGGAGTCAGCCGCGTGGTTCAAGCATTGATACTGTCGGCGCCGTGTACCATTCTCCGGGCCGGAAAATCACACGACTTTCAGCCTTATACATAACCCATTAGGTTGAAAACCGCGCAAGTATAACTACAATTATAATGATAAGATTATAACGCCTCATAATTATAACGGTCTTCACTTTACGCGTACATGTGGGAGGCTGAGAGTCTGTTTAATTTTCGATCTGGGGGAGGGATGCAACGGTCACGACGTACTTTTACCTCGGGTCACTTTATTAAGAGGAGGAAGAAAGAGCGAGCAGCTGTCAAGCAGCAGCATCGGAGGGCGCAAAACTCATCCGCTAACCGACTCGGAAATATCTCGACGAGAGAGCGCATCCCCAAGAGGCAGTCTACCTTCCGGAACTATTCTTGGCGCGCAGGGCGGCGGACGCCGCGCTGGCGACGATGCCGCTGGCGGCGGAGGCTTGGCCGGTGCTCGGCGGCTTCGGCTGCCGCGGCGGTGGCGACCCGTTCGTGGGCGTCGAGCTCTCGGAGGAGAGGCCGGAATCGCGTCCATCCTCGGTCCCGCCGTTCTCCAGGCTGGCCGGCGCGGCGCGGGTGCGCGCCGGCAGGCCGGTGCGCCTCTTCGCGCCTTTCGAGTTCTCGGACGACGAGGAGGCCATCCTCGGCGAGTCTCTCCGCGTTCCTTCCCGCCGGCCCGGGTTAATCGCCCCAGCGGTCACGCGTCAGCCTCTCGGGAGCGCGCCTCCGATGTTCATCGGCCCGTTGATATCGCGCGTCTCACAAAGAGCACGACCTCACCGGGGAAGAGGAAGGAGGAAGAACCCCCACTGGCGGACACTTCGCGGACGTGGAACTTTCAGCTCGCGTCGCACCGTGGTTTGAGAGAGCAAAATTTTCTTACACGAACTCCGAACCGTGGAGAATGATTTTTTGTACAGAGAAAATGTCTCTAAACGGGAATGGTGATTGTTTGTAAATGTGATTTAATATTTATGTCACCTTTTCTCGGGTAAATACAAAATCTTCATTTTCTTATGAGAGTAGTTTCTCTTATGAAGGCCAGTTTCTTTTTTACGATATTCTTGAAAGGAATTTACATTATTTTGCTCAATAACTCTGAAAATTGTGTTTAACGTTTTCCGCATTAGTCTTCAATGTCACAGTTTCTCGATAAAGTCTTAAATGTGGTATGGAAAAAATGCAGAATATACGTTAAAAATCAGTTGCTTATTTCAAGGAGTACATAAAAAGTGTCGTCCTTAGTTGCGAATATCCCAACTTCGAAAAGTCAATAGTTTTCCAATTGCAGACTACTTTACAGAGATAATGTTTCCATCGATATGCGGCTAAAATTTGCAAGAATTCCTGGGAAAATAGTTTGGTGAAGCAACTGCTACCTCAAGCCGTCGCGGGGGAAGTTTCGAGCACGCGATCGGCACGGACGGCCGAGAATCAGACGGGCGCATATCGCCGCGCGGAGCGAGCCGCGACGCTGTCTCGGGCAGGAAAACACGGTGGAACGGGCGGAAAGTCGGATTGGAGCCCGGTGTTAGAGAAACCGCGGCGATGAGTAATTCGGTAAATATGCGGTTGCCGTCACTTTCCTGAAACGCTCGGTGGTTCGCGCGCGCCTAATTACCCAATTGCAGCCGTTCCGTGTCCGCAATCCTCGCGGAATTACGCAAATTCGATTGTCGGCCGTGTGACTCGCTCGCGAGGGGAGGACGTCGCGATACATCCCGGGCGTTTGCGGCAAAGTTGCAAATGAAGGCGTGACGCAATGATTAGCGAATTACGAGCGGTCGTTGAGCGGTCGCCGGCGCGTAATTACGGCTGTTCTTTGATTAACTCCTGAAAGATAATCGGCTTAACGGCGCTGTTTACTCAACGTTTAACGTCCGCGTCCTATCCTCTTTAACGTAACTGAGGAGAATCTCGACCCTTTTCATCGCCTCGTCTCGTGAGTCCCTCATTAGCGCCTCAGCCGCGCTCCTCGCCGCTCTTTTCACTTCATTTTCACGACGATCTCTCGAAACGCCGACTCGAAAAGTCTCCAGTCATTCCGCCGAGCAGGTGAAAGTTAACTTATTGAAATCCATCGGTACAATTACCGTATATCCTCCTCGTTCGCGCGCTCGACCGTCTCTTTCGCATTGTCGAGCAAACAAAAAAAAGAAAAAATCATTCCCGGCGCGCTCTGTTTTTCTTCTCTTCACCGAGGCAACCGCGTCTTCATCGCCGCGAATCTATCGATTCCAGAAATTAGGCCGTCTTATCGCAAATTAAATTAATCGGAGCGTAGCTTCTGCGCCTGGCGTGCTCGCGGCACGATTTTGACGTTCCCGATGTGGCACATCGCGTGAGCGAGTTTATGCTAATTTCATCGATTTAACGCGGACACTCGATCGATCTAACGTAGAATCGGCCCGAGGGAGGGAGGGAGGGGGTCCGGGATGAGAATTCGCGCGGCCGAATCGCACGCGATATCCTAATGTCAACGTAGTTAAGTAAACGAGCGCGCCCGCGTCATCGGCCGGCCGGCCGTGTGATGTAGCCGTTCGCGCGGAATATATAGAAAGGTGGCAAGGATGACGTGCTTCGAGGGACACGGACTCCGAGAATAGCCATCGGGACACACGAAAGCGGAAGAATCGGATCGCTTGTTCTTTACCTGCGCCGAAAATCGAAGGTCCGCCGCACGCGACCAAATTCAGCCGCGTTCTCTCTCTCTCTCTCACTCCCACGAGCAAGATCGTCGGCACTGACACCTACTACTACATCCACACTCACGAGCACACTCACGAGCAAACGGCACTAAACACCGGCGAGGCACGAACGGTGGAGCGAACTTTTTTTAAAACAATCACTCCCAAGCGGGACAGCCATCGTCGTCGTCGTCGTCATCGTCGTCGTCGAAGAAACCGGAGAAGCCTCTCGTCAAGCGTCGCATCGAGAGTCGTCCTGCCGAAGTCTGACGCGCTATTTTGAACGGTCGAGGCTCCCGCGAGACCGACGCGCCGACACGTGTTCTTCGCAGGGAAATTGACAGTTCCGAGGACGAGCGGTTTATTCGCCGCAGTGTTAGCCGGAGTGAACTGCGACGGCCGGCAGGTAGACAGGATTACCAAGGATCCGTCGAGGGATACTGGTAGCGCGTGCGCAACTCGCGCCACGGCGACGAGAGCTTGGTTCGATACCGTGGTGGATGGCGAGGAGGAGAGGAGAGAAGCGACGCGTCGAAAGAGAAAGAGAGAGAGAAAGAGAGTGAGGGAGATAGACAGGCGGGGGAAAAACGGTAGAGGGGGGAACAACAGCTGCAGACGGTAGGGAGCAGGTAGTTGCAAGGGCGGTGGGGGTGATAGTGGGAAAAAACTGCGGGAACTATCGCAACGAACTTGAGGAATATTTTGGCGGCCAACCGATTCTTCATCCTCTCGCAGAGAGGGTGGAACCTATCGTCGCCGATTGCTTACTCCCCGAATCCTCCCCCAGTCTGCGGCTTTGAACTCGCGGCCGAGGATCTGCCGTTTCCTACGTTTCTCGGAGGTTTCAGGGCTATCCTGAGTTTTCGACATTCGGGACGAATAACCTTTGATTCTTGTGACAACACGGTACAGAAAGAAATTACTATCGATGCAATACTAATATTCTCGCGTATAAGCAAGAATATATAACTTTATGTGAAGATGAAACTTGCTTACACGAGGAAATTCTATATTGCTCCATGTAATAGTATATTCTTGCTACTGAAGAATAATTTTCACGAATTGAGAGGAACATATTAGATATAGAAAGAACGATATCTTCAAACTGATGCTGAGTTCTTGGTTTAAAAATATCGTTTTTTCTGCCCAATATTTTTTTTTCTCAATTCATGAAAGTTATTCTTGCATTTTTAGAACTATATATCATTTTTTTTCGTGTGAGCAAGTTTTATCTTGATATGAGATCATATAATTTTTGCTTTTATATATAAGAATGTAAAGTCTTGAATTGATACTAATTCTTTCCTGTGTAGAAGTTAAGACAGTAAAATAGATTCAATTCTATCTTCTAATTCTAAGTATAATTTACTGCTACTCTTTGAACTCGATGATGTCTTCAATTTCCGTTTCCGTTGTTTCCGTATCAAAATAAGTTATTCAAAGTGGCATTAAGCTTGAAAACACGCAGTTTCAAAGGACTTTTCGATTTTGAGCGAATTGCATTCTCCATTTTCCCGGGCGAGTGCTCGGATCGAGATCGACAGGTGTCCCGTGAATTCCGAGGGACTCGTCGCGGGTCCCACTGCAAAAAACAACGTAACGAATGCACGAAGTCCTATGCTATTCTCGTCTAACTCGTGCCAGTGATCTCCTGAACATTTCATCAGCCGTCAAGCTTAATTGGACAGCTGTGATCTGCTAAAATTAATGCCGTCTAGGTCGACGACCCGTCTCTATCCGAAGTGAATGAATAGCTTCTCAATCGATGCGATGTGAAAATGGCGCGTCAAGCCGACCGCACAGTTCCGCATATTTTAATCATATGCCCAACACGACGCGATTGTTTGCAGACAAAGTCCCGCTTGTAAGCTCGATCGTTTTGTCGCTCATATCGGGCTCTATCTCGAGTGTGACTCAGGTCACACTGTTTGCTCGCCACTCGAGCGTGATGTCACCGGCGGTGCAACGCTAAACCGTTCATAGAGACATCATCATCACGAAGAGCGGATGTCGAGCGACGGCAGGTAATCCATGAGCACACATCATAACGGTCGAGATTCGTCCCTGCGACGTTTCCGGCAAAAATAAAGGATCAATACTTCCCTCCAGAGCCGGCTCTACCTTTCGGATTACAGTCTGCTCGGCAATTCTCGCCCTCTCACCGGCGATTTCGCTCCGTGACAGCGGGGATCCGCGATTTATGAACTCTCTTCGTCGAGTTTCATCTCAACGGCCGTTTTCACGTTTTTTGCTCTCGAGCTGCCCTTACCGGACGCACCCTCGGCGAATATTCGCTGCTTTCCCTTCTCGTCGAGCGCTCTCGAGCCTGAATCCGCTCTTACGACTTCGTCCGGGGATGAGAGGTCAATCGGAAATCCCGAGATCTCGCCCGACTTTCTTTGTTTCTCTCAACTAGCGTTAATTTGAGACTTAGGTCGTTAGAAGCGCACGGTGACGAGACGGCCACCGGTCTCGACACAGCGACCCTTGCGTTCGCAAGTTCCTCATCTTCCTGGGAGGTTTCGCGAGAGGAAAAAAAAAGCGAGATGCAAAAACGAGTTTCCTGCGGCCGTCGTAGGCGGCACAGTGTGTTTTCTACCGCCCGACCGCGAGCTAGTTATCGTTAAGAGAAGTTTAGTAAATAGACCGAAAGAGTTCACCGTTACACGGTAAACCGCGCGAGGAAGGCCCGTAGTTGCATCGCGCGGCGAGCCGTTTCCGCTACGACGGCCGCGACTTATCCGCGGGAGCGNCCTTTGAAAATGAAAATTGCATTCCGCCCCCCCCCGCTTCCTTCTTCCCCCCCCCCCCCGTTAAAGACGGATGTATCGGTATTTTTACTGGCCGCTTCCCCGTTAACCCGGGTCGAAATTCTCATGCTACTCCGACGCTCTTAAGGCTAGTTTGTGCCTGTTTAGACGGCTTACAATGAGAGAAGAAATATCGAAAAGATAAAAAATATTTATTCTCGGTGAGCTAATAACATATTTACACGGACCAACATATTTCTACACGGAGAAAGAAATGTTTTTCACAAATGAGAAAAAAATTATACGCATATTCTTAAATCTGTAGTTTTTCTTAAAAGCAACTGTTTATTTTATATTTAAGTGAAGGAATTTAGATTTAAGTACATTTGTCATTCACCGAATAAATTTTTATTTTTCAGATTATTGTTTTCTATAGTGTATACTAATGAAACCTACTTTGACGATACTGACATATATCAATTTCTCTCCCGAATCTTTCGCTCTACGGGTTTCATTTTTATGCTATCTTGAACAACTTATTATGACGCTAAAACAGCGAAACGGAAATTTAAGACATCGTCAGGATAGAAAGAAAGAATAAATTATACTGTCAGAATTGAAACTGAACCTATTTTGCTACATCTTAGCTCATTCTGTATCGCACACAGAGAAAAATATCAATCTACTGTTAAAAAAAGCGATTACTCAGTTTACTTTCCTTCTTTTAAGTAATGGTTATCTTCAAAAAAAAAAAATTTTTCTCGATGATAGTGTTCGAATATACTATCTACAAAGTTTAGAAAAACTCGTTATCATGTATGCGTATGCACAAAGTAAGAATTTCATCTCTTTTCAAGAATACTATAAACTTCATCGAGAGAAGAAAACTTAAATTCGGTTAATTTGAATAAAGCAAACTGAAGTTTGTTTTAATTTAATATCATTGATTGAAGTATTACACTTGCTAAAATTCAGAATATAGTTTGAATGAGTTTAACGCTCGTGATAAACTAATGATGTACTTGCGAAGATATAAACTTATGAAGTAATTGAAACAAATAATATTTACTCGAATGCGGCGTACATTTTCCTGCGTGTAGAATCAAAGGTTCACCGTAGGAACGACATTCCGAGTCGGAAAACAGACGCGAGCCGCCGCGGTGAAATGCGAGGAACGACGAGAGCCGAGGAAACGTCAAGCGCGGCTCGAGTGAAAGAGAGAGAAGCTCGAAATAAAAATTCCACGCCTTTTTCATGTCAGTTCTCACCTCTGTTTCTATTTCCGAGCGATGCATATTCAGGTCTGCTCTCGATCGCGAAGTTCCATCGCGAAGCGAGTAAACGCCGCGAGGAGGATCGATCAATACGTATGTCCGTCGGTTTCCTCTCGGCGGGGGAGCGGGCGCGATCGATGCCGCTGCGGAATTCTGAAATTCCACGCACGAAGTACGGAAGAAGACCTGAACGAGCGCGAACGAAGGGAGAGCAGAAAAATACCGACACGGCCAACTAGTAACGCTCTGATTAACGACGAAATCGGCGCCGTTCGGCCGAAGAAAACCGCGTCTCCGCGTCACCAGATGCATCGGTTTCCGCTCGACATTTCGGCGGCCCCCCGTGCTACGCGATAATGGAAGATTACTAAGAAGAAAAGATGAAGAACGGAGAGGAGGTGAAAATACAGAGACGAGAGAACGCGCCGTAACTTCGGAACTTTGCTTCGCGAACGAACTTCGCGCAACAACACGTCCCGTTCGCATTTTTCCACCCCGCGCGAACATCGATTCCGGTCATGTTCGCGGCGGCGGATATATCATTACGTCACGAGATGGCTCGTTCCGTCACACGAGACCCGGTGAAACCGGTTTGTGTGGTCGAGCTGCTCAAACCGCGGCTTTTTAACGCGCAACGGCCGAGGATACCCCGCCGTCGTAAAGCACACGACCGTCTCTCGATCCGTCGGTTCCCCACAACGTTAACCCTCCCTGACCCAAATCCCAATATTCCTCGGGACAGCGCCGACCGATTTCGCGGCAGGTTGACACCTGCACGCGCCATCACATTTGCCGAGCTCCGCAGCGAAAATCGCATCGACCGTCCGCGAGACGGTTCGCTGCGTTGATGCGGATTCGTGAAATAAAGTACAAGCGCTTACGAGAGGAAGAGTGTTTTAATAATGCAATGGAGGGTCGTATGCTTACAATAATAATAATAATAGTACGCACCAGGGGAAGACAAAAATATTAGACATACAATCAATCACTGCGCGTTAAATACGTCGTACGTTTCGCGATCTAAGATCTAGTCGGCACTACGCTCCTTTCTCCTTTTCTCTCTCTCTCTCTCTCTCTATCTTCCTTTTTCATTCTCTCTCCTTTATATGTCGTTGGTTTACATTTACGGAGACACAACGAGAGTACATACGTGTAAATACAAATACGTGTGCGAGTGCCGTGAAAACGATACGACGACTGCTAATACCGCTAAAATGAATTTTAACGAATCGACACATGAACGACTATTCACAGGAGGATAATCCATATAAGGATGTTCACGAGATGTGTATATCTATATATATATATATATACACATACACACACGCATATACCGGATTGTCCGGCGTGACGCGTGCTCGTTAGATCGTATTGAACCACCTTCGAGCGAGAGTCGGAAGTGCAGGGGGAGAGTCGCGAAAGGACTATGGAAGAAGAGCAAACGAGGCAAGGAAAGCAAAAGTGGAGGAGGAGCAACCTCCTTGCGAAGAAGAAGCGGGATGAGGAGGATGAAACTCGAAACTACAGAGCCATCGTCGCTCGGAATCCGGGACAGCGGCGATAATACTTCTCGTAGGTACTACATATACTAGAATCAATATATATGTTGTTATAATATATATATATATATATATATATATATATATATATATACATATATATATATATATATGTGTGTGTGTACGATGTCGTTATTGCGCGTATCGATATAATCACGATTCTCCGGATGTGGTGTATCGGGGACCAAGGATGCGTGACAAACCCAACTAATTCTACCCTCGGCATTAATCACAGCAGAATCTCACTCCGAACAAGTGGAAAGTGGCGGTATTTTCGCTGGAAGTGACAGTGAAAATATCGCCACTCGAAGTCGCAAGAGTGAACGTTCCGCTCGAGCTCAGAGTGGATTCTGACTCCACACGAGCGAATGTTCCAGTCGATTGGAGTGAGTATGTACTTGTGACGGTGGAACACGTCACGATTCACTCTACAACTGCGAATAAAAATATTCACTCGACGACTGAGGCCCGTATTAATCGTTACTTGAAACTTGTTCCACGTAAGATACTCAGGCCTGAATTTAGAGTTAGATTTGAGCGTTTTATTTCGAGAATCGTATAATATATATGCGTCATTACACGTGTAATCGCGATTCAGTTGGAAAACTCACATCTCACTTTACGTTCAAACCTTGGTATTTCACCTGAGGCAAGTTTCAAGTAACACCTGTCAAACACCGAGCTCAGAGTCGAGAGAATTCACTCTACGGTGAGCCACTATTTCTCGAGTGAGATTTCACTACAAGAAATTCAGAGAGTGCTCTATTGCTCGCCAGCTACACTGCTTCTTAATTACTCCCTAAACTGTCAGCTACCTCGCGGTCGAAAAATGAAAAATATATATCTATACTATTTCAGTCCCGCAGTCCAGCGTGGAACTCAAAGGTGAAGCACCCGCGTTCGGGGAGGCGTGTTTCCTAGAGGAGCGCGTTGTCGCCGTCTCCTCGCTTCTGGAAATGAGCTATCCGCTAAAACGTAAATGGGGGTTCGAAGTACGCCTATGATACGCGAGGGACGTGCTAGCTCACGCTGCGAATCGAAGGTGAGGCAACACCGACGTCCCTCGCGAAGAGCACCGTGGCGGATAACAAACGATAACGCGGAGGAATATATCATGTGGATGCAGTCGTAGTGAAGAAGGATAAGCACGAGGCTAGAAAGACGCGGAGAGGACGCGGAGAGGACGCGCAATTTTCGGTTTTTCGCGCGTACACACGGAAAAAGAACTATTCCGTCGGTGTAACTGAATTCCTCGTTGCCGGTCATGTGCAAACTCGATCATAGGAGCGGAAAGATTTCCGCAGATTTCCAGCTCAGTCAATTGCTCTCAACCGAGTTTGAATACTTAGCTGAAAATTTAGCTGGGAAAACGTCTAGACAACTATTCTCATGGTAACGGAAATATTTGTCGTTTTCACCGAGTTTCCATCTGTTCAGGAGCAGAAATTGAGATTTGTCTTCTGTGCAGGGAAGACGCACTGTCGTAATCGAAGGGTAGAGAAACCGTTTTTTAAGATCAGAGTTACGACGAAGATTAGAGAAGAAGGAGAGCACGGGGAGAAGAGTGCCCCGGGAAAATGCGACTTTATTATCGTCGAGTGCATCGTAAAACTTGTATCGACGAGCCTTCAGCCACGTTCTTATCTTCCATGCAACGACGCCAGAAAAACGATCGATACTGAATCGATCATCGAGTCTACCCAGTTCACGCGCACACGAGACCGCACTCGTGTCTTCTACGAAGTTCTACGCGTCTACACCTAAATAGCAGCTCTCTATAATGCCACAAGTATACGTTCGATTAATACTCGGTAACATCGGAAATCCACCGGCACCGACGTGCTGGTACCCGTCAACTACGTGTCTACGTGTTAAATAGTACCAAAGATTATCGTTAAGTGACGGCCGTTAAGGACGACTAGGACGACTAGGAGGACTAGACTGCTACTAAGGATTGCGATCGAAACCAGTTTGGACCAGTTTGCTTCTTCTTTTTCTTATTTTTTTTTTTTTTCTTTTAGGTTGAATTATACGAGAGGACGACAATTTTGGAAGGACTCGACGGACCATCGTATGAAATTGGAAAAATAATCTCTATCATATCCTCGCTACTACGTACTCTCACCACCGTTCCCGCACCGCGCTGCCACACCGCTGATCAAAGGATACGCGATACTGCCGCCGAGGGCGAGGCAGAAGGTACAATTGCATAAACGAAGGATCGGAATCGCCTTGTGCGCATCCTCGTAGTGACCAGCTGACGTGGCGAGTCGACTGCAAACGGTGAACGGTTTACAGTTCGGCCTGTTTCGGTGGATTGCTCCTTATTCGATACTACGCATCGACTACGCTTCGACTATACTTGAGAGTTAATAATTTTTCTCGTCGCTATAATTCAAAGGACGCATTGTACGTGTATGATCTCACGAAAAAGATTGCCAGGAAATTGCATTTTGTGTGCCGTGAGAGATCACGTTTAAGCCATATTCTGGGTCGAAGAAGGAGGAACGAATCGACGAGACAATCAATTTTACGGGGAATTCTCAGAAGTGGGGAGGGGGGGGGGTGGAGGAGGGAGTTGTAGGACTAGTACCTTTGAGGTAGCACCTTTCCCATCCGCGAATGTGTCGGGTTCGAGAAATTCTCGTGGGACATGATCCGGGTTATCACCGGATTCTACCAGTAATAACACCTTTCGACCTAATCGATACTTAGAAAATAAGAGAGAGACGAACAACTGACGTAGCACAATTTTCCAGAACGAATAGCGACTATACAAAGTCTGTGAGAAAAATAAAAGGAAAAAAAAAATATATATATATATATATTTATCTATATACGCACATTTACTTCTTAACGTATAAAATTATTAGACTAGTATTCTGCGTTCAAGGAAGTCCCGCGGATAAATTATAATCATGCTCGCTTCGCGAGAATTCAAGAGGTACTCCAATTCATTAATCTACCACTCTAACCGAACCTTCGAAAAGAAACACCGCATACTGGAAATGATACCTCTTAACAAGTCACGCTCCCTGCTCGAGAGAACGCTCTTTTTTCTCCTCAGTGAATCTGTGAAACCTGCTCGTTTTACCGTATATCCTATCTCTAGCCATGGTCAGCCGTTAAATTTGCCAGTTGCAACACGATATCGTGAATGCGTATCATCGTTATCATCATCACCCGCCCTCTCTCTCTCTTTCTCTTTCTCTCAATCACTCACTCACTCGCTCACTCACTCGCTCGCTCGCTCTCACTCTCGCCAATGTCCGTCATGTTCGATTCGCAAGTGGTCGCGTCGTGAGAAGCATGTTTTCCCGTCTTTGCACGAGGCGGGTGGTCGCGCCCCGATATTCGCACACCCTCCCCGACGCTCTTCGCTCTCGACGCTCCGCTCGATTTTGGGGCGACTCGTTCGAGTCGCGAGCTCAACGCGACCACTTACGGATCAAGCTTGCGCGTCCGTGTGTATTATCTGTGTCGATAATCAGCTGCGTGCGGTTATCGGTTTTGCTAGTCGACATTCAAGGGAGGACCGGCGGGCTCTGCTCGCTAGTTAGGGTATGTCAGCTGGTAGTAGTCTCCACCCGCGGAGTCCTCATCGGGGATTTGCAATTGCTTCACCCGTTTTACTAGCGCGCTAGAACACAGAATACTCTCGCTGAATTGTGGCGTCTCCTGTGATGCGGATACGGTCGTGTTATTTTCGTGTGTGTGTGTGTGTTTTTTTTTTTGGTTTTTTGTTTCTTTCTCGTGTAAGCAAAGGGGACAGGGGAAAGGCTGCGCCGCATCGTCTGGTGACGTGAAGTCTGATCGGGAAGAACCAAGACGGTTCGTCGAGAACTCTTCTTCTCATCAGCGTATCGCTGAAGAATTCGAGATGATTCCGTAAGGAGGAAAACTCCAATCCGGTCGAGTGACGACCGACGAAGAACCTCTCACGGAAATGTCATAGAATAATAAAGTGGAGACTCTATTCGTTCGTACACCGGGCTTCAAAATAGTTGGAATATTTCTGTTTTCGATACGGTTCAGGATCCACAGCCGATGGCCCACTGGGAAGACTCAACTTCTGTGGATTAATCGAAGTCAAGTTCTTCTATTGGACCGTCGACTTCCGGATTCCGAACTGCATCGGAGCAAAAAGGTGCTCGAGCAGTTTTGAAACCCAGTGCGCAATCGACTGAACGCGGTCTTCCCGGGCAGACCTACACACATACACACATACAGTTGGCAGATTAAAGGTTGTAACATTTTTGTTTTCGACGAATTTCACAAGGTATCTCCCGTCCAATAGAAGAGTTTGTTCCCTAGTAATTCTCACGAGCTACAGTTTTCTACCGGATACGAGACGCGTTGCGAAACTCATTCAAAAGAAATGTTGTCACTTTTAATCCGCTGACCGTNACACACACACACACACACACACACACACACACACACACACACATACACGGTTGGCAGATTAAAGGTTGCAACATATTTTTTTTTCGACGAATGTCGCAACACGTCCCCTATCCAATGGGAGAATTTCTTTTTTTTTTTTTATAATTCTCAGAAGACACATCTTTCTTTCGGATATGAGATGCGTTACGAAAGTCATCGAAAAAAGAAGTGTCGTAACTTTTAATCTACCGACCGTGTATCGGCGGAAGTCGTTCGAAGGACAGTTTGCGGGAGGGGACGTCCAGCGTCTCCGGTCTGTTTGTCGTTTGTTTGATCGCACACATTCAGACCCGCTCAATCGCTGTCACCTTTAACACCGAACGAAAATGGACCGACAAAACAGACAAGTACGAAACGTCGCATCTCGATGAAAGCTTCAAAGATATCGACTCGAGTCTCGGGCGAGATATCGAGGACCACTACTGGGAGGGAGGGGGAGAGAGAAAGAGAGAGAGAGAGAGAGAGAGAAAGAAAGGGTAGATAGCAGCGTAAATACGAGGGTGGACAAATCTAATGCGAATTTCAAGACGTGCACTCTTTTTTTTCTCACGTTCGTCGAGAAAACCACCGACGCAAAAAAGAGCTACCAACGCGAAAGAGAGTAGGCTGTTATGCGCGTGTGGCCATGACGTGCTCGAAATTTAACCAACTCGGTAGCGCGAAATCGTTCTTCGCGAATGATAACGCGTTCCGAAATGCTGCCGCTAAGTACGTCATGCTCCCGATACGGGGAAGAGTTGTCAGAGAGAGAGAGAGAGAGAGAGAGAGAGAAAGAGAGAGAGAGAGAAAGAGAGAGAAAACACCCAACATATATGTAGAACTCTCTTTTAGGTATGTATATATGTATGTACGTGTATATATATTTATCGAACAACCCTATACATATACTGAGAGAAAAAATATTGAAAAATAAAAAATATATTTATTCGGTGACTAATAACATATTTATTTAAATCCAAATTATTTTATCTAAATAGAATAGAATAGAATAAATAATTGCTTTCATGAAAAGCTACAGATTTAAGAAAATATATATTTTTTCGGTTGGACAAATTTTTTCCCTACGTATAAAAATATGTATCTTAGTGTAAGTAAATATATTATAAGTATCCACTGAATTAATATTTTTTTTTATTTCTTAGATACTTTCGTTCTTAGTATATATATAGGGTTGTCTCATAAGTTCGTGCAGATTTTTATGAAAAACTCAAAACCGTTAGTCAGGTACAGGTTTGATATTTTCTTCTTTTTCGATGACCTGCCATCGAAAAAACGGTCAATACATTATTGGGATAAAGTTATGTCCAACTATAAAACTATTGGTTTGAACCACCCTTCACAAAAATGCGCACAAGCTCATCAAGCAACCCAACGTATAAAACTCGGAATACGCGCGTGCGCAATTTTTTCGGAGCGAATATGTGGAGTGCAGTGACCGACTTTTCCGATCCTTCGTTGCAAAATTACATTATCGGGTCTATTAATACATGGTATGTAGTGCGGGATATAAAAAGAATCTCTTCGTAGAGCATTATATGTGACACTCTTCCTCTCTCTAAGGACTTGCGCTCAATTGTTGTACGATTCGGGAAGATAATTACCTCGTGAAGAAATGTCCGGAACTATATCACACGCACGAGGTAATCAATGTCGATGTATAAGATTGCGAAAGACAGTGTCATAAAAGATAGACTCTTTTCATTATCGCACGTTCGAAAAATGCAGAGAATCCCCTTCGGACAAGACACGTGTCAGCGACATTTCTAAGATATATGTAAATGTGTGGTTTCTACACCTCTCTGCACATTATCGATCTCTCGTAATAATCGTCCCGCACGTGACACTTCGACGTTTACCGCCTACCCTTGCGGAATTTTTTGTACACGAGGAGTGTGATATGCAAAAAATTCGAAAGGTATCACGGAAAACCGAATCGGGACGAACGAGACCCATGTGAGAGTTTACGGCTCATAGTTACAATAGTAGACAAACACACACGCATACACACACACAGTGGATAACATTAATTCAATAGTTGGATGACACATCCTTCGTCTCCTTTCCTTCGTATGCACATGTCATCAACAAATTATATCACAGCATCGATCAGGTACTCTTTTGATTCACCTACGCGGCTTTCTACTTCTACTTCAAGCCTGCTATGGTAATACGCTTTCTATTTGAAAATTCCTTGCACACTAATGCCACAAACGCTTCCAAATCAACGGAAATGATGCATTACGTGACCAATCGCCATTGCGTAATCGGGAGAGCGTAAAAGACAACCGATGAAAGCGAGGTGTCGGTCGAGATGTGAAACACACAGATTCGTTCCAAACGCAAAATATAACGCAAATAGACAGGATGGTGCTGCGATCAGGGTGTCAAAGCCACGCGCGAAAGACGAAGAAGCAGCGCTACGCAGCGCAAATTTCTCGGATGATTCTAGATTACAGATTTTACACAGAGGAGCGCGTGCAGTCGGCGTCATGTATGTCGTGCCATTCTCTGGACGGAAAATTACACAATTTTAGCGTAACCTATAAAGTTGAAAATTGCACAAATAACGCTAATTATAACGACAAGGTTATAACGGTCACTTCTGCTTTAAAAAGCCAATAGAAGGCGATAGAAATTAAATTAAAATTTTATAATGTTTTATCGTAAGCTATCGTTTCAGTGAAACTCGCGTTTCCGCCAAGATAACAATGTTATCTATTTCTTTTGTTTTTATCGTGTCTCTTGATACAAATGACTAAAATCTTATCTAAATGTGTTTGTGTGTTTCTACATTACACATATATGTGTCGGCCTATCTAATCCAAGAAAAAAAATTACGATTCAATATCTGTATATGAATTTATTTTACTTCTATCGGGAAACTTTCAATTATTTCCCACAAATAACACGTTGTAAAAATACAATCTTATCGTGCAAAATTACAATACGAAATTTAAATCAAAAGATACGTTTTTCACCGATAAACAAAGAACTCGAGTAATTGTTCACGATTTCGACCGCATGTGTAAAGTGAAAAATCGTGTCGTTTTCGACCCGGGGAGCGGTGACGCGCATACACGACGCCGACCGTACAGGACAACAATGTAACGCAGACGGGAAGTGCTTTACATTCCTACGCCCCGCTCGGAAGGGCAGGAACGCCTTCTCCCGTAATCTCCATATAATTTACAGACGCCACGTCACGCATTGCAGCCCTAATCGCGCACGTTTCGTCAGCCTTAACTGGAGAAGCGTCGTGCAGCACGAGTCTGTTTTCGCGTCGAGCAACGCGAAAGCATGAAAAGAGGGTAAGCGAGAAAGAGGCGAGTACACACCCGGATTCGGCGGCGGTCTGATTGTTGTTGTTGCCGGTCCCGCCGTTGATGTTGTTATTGGTGGAGTTCGCCTGCTCCTGCATGTGCGCCGTGCTCAACAGCGAGCTCCACTGCCTCACCATCTCCTCGCCCTGCGCCTCCAGTTCCGATATTATAGTGGCGTCGTCCAGCTCGTGCAGCGCCGGATTCGAATTCAATCTGAAAGGCAGCGACAGCGTGGCAATTCCCTTCGAGCAATACGCCACTTCGATTCCTATCTGCGCGCGTCTCTCGATCTCCGATCAGATACACATATATATATTAATAGGAATGACTAACCGCTGCTGTTCCTCGTAGGAACTCGTGTCGCTGTAATCCAGCATTAAGTCATCCGAGGCGATAGACTCGCAGGGAGATAAGGTGTCCACGCTCCCGGCCCGATGTATCCGCCCGTGGTGGGGACTGTTCGCGACGCCTTTCACGTGGGCACCACCTGTAAAATGCGAGAGTCGCGGCTCATTAGCAGACGGGACGCGTGTTTCAATCGTTCGAATCCCGATCTAACGCAAGAGAACGGAATTCCCGAAGTGACTGTGTCATCGCTCTGAGAAGCGTCCACAGCGGACGGAGAGAGAGAGAGAGTGCACCTCCGTCGGGAGGACGACTCCCAGAATAGCAGCGAGGTCCTTACTCACTCGTCTTAGAATTCGGCTCGACCAGAGTGTGGCTATTCTCGGTGATCACTTGGCTCCCCATGGCGGACTGCGGCTCGATTCTCGCCCTCGAGTTGTCGTCGAAGATCAGTCCGGGCTGATCCGCGATCTCATCGTCAAAGAACTCCCTACCCTCCGACAGGCTGAGCGAGTTGGAAGCGTTCGTCGGAGTGCCGGGACTGTCGTCCTCCAGGGTATTGTCCGACCGCTCCAGGACGTGCTCGTCCTTCTTCGAGGCCTTCCCGTCCGACTGGGTGATGCTGGCTGTGGGGCTGTCGAACAGACTGTCGACCGGGGAGGTCTCGTCGTCTATCAGGGTGGTGGTGGTCGCTGCGGCGGCGGCGAAGGCCGGGTCCTCGATGGTGAGCAGCACCGAGCGCAACGCGTTCTTCGAGGTAGCGCCGTTCCTGGTCGCGGCCGTGATCGCCTGTGCGTGTTGCTGATGCTGCAGCATCGAGCCGGGACGGTGGCAGTCGTCGCTCGAGCTCAGCGAGTACTCGTCCGCCATCGCCTCGCCGTGGCCGTACTCGGGATCGTCGGAGCTGGGCGGGCTGAAGTCCGACTTGATCGAGGGGATCTTCTCCGAGTGCGAACGGTCCTTGTAGACCTTCTCCTCGCTGAGGCAGCCCTCGTCGTAACCCTCCGAGGACGTGGTCGACATGGACGTGGTCGACTCGGTGTACCTGTTGTCCTTGCTCACGATCCGCTGGTACTGCGTCGCCCGCTCGCGCACGAAGCCGGTGTTCAGGTTTGCGCTGCCGAAGGACTTGGGCAGCGGGATCACGGAGATCTCCGTGACCGTGCTGTCGTCGTCCCGGACGTCTCTCACGTCGAAGCTCTTGCCGCTCACCACCATCCGCAGGTTTCTCGGCCTGCCGGCGCCGCCGCGCCTCCTCATCGAGCCGTTCTCGTCCGCGGCGTAATCCAACGAGCGGATGATCCGCTCGTTGTCCTCGGGACAGGCCGCCTGGCTGCTGACACCCGAGTCCTCGGTCATCGAGCCCTCCTTCGAGCTGGCCGAGCCTTTGTACGTCGACGTCGACGACACTTTCCTGCTCTGATTCGCCGCTGTTTTCGCGATCTTCGAATTCGAGTCGCTCACCCTCACGGCGTACTGCGGCAACGGCAGGTGACTGGTGTGCAAGGTGTACCTGCTGATGGGCTCCGGTATACCCGAGGTCCGCCTGTTCGCGTCCGTTGAATTGCCGGTCGGGTAAGCCGCGTTGTTCGACGGCGACGTGCGAGGAGCCGTCTTCGTCGCCGCCGGCGTCGCGTTGTACACGTGCAGGACTCTGTTCGGCTGCTTCGCGAAGTAATTCTCCGACTGCTGCTGCTGCTGCTGATGATGATACTGCTGCTTCTCCTGCTGATTGTAGTGGCTGATGCTGTGGCTGTTGCAGATGTCGCCGACCTTGTTCGTGAATTTCGGCGGCTGCCGGTAGCCGAAGCGATTAGTCCTGACGCCGACGCCGCTCGAGTCCTTCTTGGGCGGCGCTAGTCGCGGCGTCGACCGGCCGGACGACGAGTTGTGGATCGCCGTGCTGTTGTTGTCCTCGTCCCGTCTGCGATCCTGCTCCGGGCCAGCCGACTTCGAGCGCGGATGCAGCAGGTTCGACTCGGCGTAGCCCGCGATCGGCATCGGGATCCCGCTGGCGGGCCTCCGCCGGAACCCGAAGGACATCGCGGTGCCGCGCGTGTGAGACGTACCGCGCCTCGAGGAGCCCCGATGATCGCCCTGAAACACGAGCAACGATTCCCTCATTTACTCGGGAGGCGGTAAATTCCCTGCCGGAGGGAGAGAGAAAACGGACCGTCGCGACGTCCTCGTCGGAGGGAGGACGAGATTCGAGTGTGCGGCCGGTCGAAGTGCGTTCTCGCGGGACTCGATCGATACTCAATCGATGGGAGCGAGAAACGATACGAGAGGTTTCTTTTTATCGGCGAGTCTTCGATCGAGGTGAAGAAGCGGCAGATCGCTATCGTCTCTCTGCGATCGTCGCGAACAAAGAGCACTCGGTATCAAAGCGGGATTATCAGCAGGTAGCAGTTTCAGTCACGCATCGCTCGCGACGATTATATCCCCGCGGAAGAGGGATCGATATTCCGGTATAAATGCGCTCGAGCGGCCGGCTGAAAGCTTTTTCACCCATTCGACTGCAGAATGCCACGAGGATGTACGATTCTGCGAATCCGAGGGCGTGTTCGACCGTCATACGCCCTTCGACTTATGCCCTTTCCTTTGTTCCCGTCTTTTCGCGAAGGCGCGGACTAAAGGCGCGCGCAGTCCTAGAATCGCGCTACGCTTGTGACGCCTCTAGAATTCCGTTCTTGTTACGAGGACGTAAAAGTCATTAGAAATTATAACAAAATTAGTCAGTAATTCTAGCACCTGTTACATCCTGCTGACAAATTCGAACCGAGTCCTAGAGCGGTTTAAGTTCGTCTTAAGTTTATCTTCAGATACCGTGCGGCCTATTTTGACTGGCTACGGAGCGTCTCAGGATAAACTTAAGACGATTTTAAATACGAGATCTGATTACGAATATCGGCCCCAGGATCGTGAATATGAGAGCTCAAGAATGATGATTCATGTGTATAATCGAATCTTATATTTAAGATTATCTTTTGAGCTCATTTTGACTCCTGAAGAGGTAGGTGAATCAGAGTTGTAAATAGATCGCTGGACAACACGCTCGTCGAGCACCGCAATCAATATTATCATCTTTAGATGTAAATTGAAGGTGGGGATGTTGGAGAAAAAGTTCATCTTCGGATGCTACTCGTGCATGGAAAAGCAACTTGTACAGTATCCGAAGATGAATTAAGACATCTTATTTTCAAAATATCTTTAAGCGGAATCTTATTTAAAAATGAACAGTGACGATATTTTCATTCGAAGCGATAATGAAAATACTGCCACTAGAAATTGCGAGAAATGAATGTTTCACTGAAACATACAGTGGATTCTGATTCTATGCAAGCGAATGTTTCAATCGATTGAAGTGAATACGTTCCCATGACGATGGAACACATGGGATTCAAACTTCAGTTTCGAACGAAAAAAATTCATTCGACCATTCAGAGCGAAGAATCCACTCTGTACAATCGGCGTTACGTATGCTATATAGTCAGTTACAAAAAGGTGAAAGCGATACTTTTTTTTTTTCAAAGTTTCGCAACACATCTCGCATCCAATCAGTAAATGTATCTCCTGGGAATCGTTAAAAACAAATTCTCTTATTACGGGATACGGGTTGCATCTCGAAATTGATTTCTATTTATTTATCCGAAAAAGTGTTGCAACCTTTTTGTGCCTGACCATACCATTCCCTATGTTAAAATTGTTTACTGTGTTTACTATTACACGATTTTCAGCCTCCCACAGGTACATATAAGATCGGCATTATTATTACAACAAAAACCATTACAACTCGAGTTATTTTTGCGATTTGCAGCCTTGCATATCACGCATAAGGCTGAAGATCGTGACTCTTCGCGTAGGAGATGATACAATATACGTAACGCCGAGCGAGTGAGAAACCACTCGAATCCGAGTGTGACCCGGTGGCGGTGTGCTTCTCGACTGAGATCTCTCTCACTCCGAGAGCGAATTCAGAGAGAAAGAGAGAGAGAGAGAAAGAGAGAGTGCGAATACGTACCGCGCGCGTTCGCGCGGGGTGCGCGTTTCGGGGGGGCTCGTTCGTCCGCCCGCGGCGAGAGCTTGCCAAAGGGGATTCTCCCAGTTTGCAACAGTATCAATCGATACTCCCACACAGGCACACGGGGTTATATAACGGCCGCGGGGAAACTACGGCGCGATGCCGATAGTGCACCCTGCGGTGCGGGCGAAACTTCCCGGCCGAGAGACGACACGCACACGAGGAGCACCGCATTGTTCGCGCCGGACTGACGTGCGACAGCTTCGATCGGAGCCGCGTCGTACATGCGACGACCGCGGACACGTACTCGTCGTGTCGTTCGCGGCGTACGCTCGTCCGAGACGCGCGCGGCCAACCCCGTTGGAACTCCAGAAATAGAGTAACCGGCGAGAGCGCGGCTGCGATCCGACAAATCTGGGATTGCGCGCCTCGAGGCGCGGAGAGGAAAGAAGCCGCCACGTGAAAACCGACGGGGCTCGCACTCGATCAATCGGAAAGTCGCCGGTCGACTCGACCGGCTCGATTGGTCGAAGTACCGGCAACTACCGGTACTGCAAATCGAAGCGTGTTATTTCAGCTAAAGCGTTTCTTACCCACTTCTCGCCGTTCTAAATCACGTGAATTAACGCGATTAAACGTTTCAAATGACGCAGCCTAAAACGGCGAGAAACGTGTAAAAAGAGCTTCGGTCATTTCCGAACGTTCGTGTGTGTGAAAGCAACACACATGGATTTCCCGCGGTGCGGGAAATATTCTTGCGTTGAAAACGCTCCGCCGGAGTAGTATACGAATGTACTGTTGAATTAACAGCTCTGCCAACGTAAGCCGATTAGACATTATATTTGTATACCTTTTCACATTCCCCGTGTTAAAGTAACAGAAAATTTCGGTGGGCCACGAAATGATTAACCGTGCGGCTTGCGCGTTATGATGCAACGAAGTCGAGCCACGAGTATACAAGTGCGACGAGGAAGCCGAGATTACCGAGTCATTACGGATGATCCGGCGATACTTGAGAGATTATTGTGCCAACTTTTGACACGAGCACGGCGGAGCAGCGTCTTGCGTCGTCTCGTCGCCATGAATAAGTCATGGAATATGTCTAACAATGGGTGTACACTGGGCGAACGAACGGTGAATATGTAACGTAAATATACGTATATTCGCGTTTAAACGAGCTCTCTTTGATGAATCACCTTGCGAGCAAATCGACCTCCCGAAACCGGATTCGGTGATGGCGCGCACATATCGCAACAACGAGAGTTTGCATTCGCTCGTTCGGTGTACACCCGGCTTAGCAAGCTCGAGGAAACCGATCTCAGCGACGACAAGTTTCAGCACGATGCAGCGTGGTATTTCAGCGATATTAATAATACGACGTGTGGTGATTCCACGGAATCGTCATACACACACACACACACATGCACGCGTATAGAGAAGCACACACAAAGAAAGAGAGAGCGGCTCGAACGAGGATCCTCGGTTTTCCGCGACGGGGGATGCCCGGGGAAAGCTTAGGGAGGACGGCTCGGTCGCATCCCTTACCGCAACGCCGGTGCCCTTCTCGTTCTCCAAAGAGTCGTCCTCGCATCTCGTGCTGCCGTACCGGTACTCCATGGTGTTCTTCCGGGCCAATGTCACACAGCCGGTCGTCGATCGATCTCTCTCTTTCCCTCTTTCTCGCCGAGATTGCGACGCAACGGCCACCCTCTCTCAGTTCACGCCGTCATATCCCGAATACGCAGTGTTTTGCGAGCGGGGGAGAGCCAGGTAACAACCTCTTCGCGGCCCGTCACATCGTAAGGACGACGTACGCTTCGGCGACGTGGAGAAGAACGCGCAGCGGCGTCGGTCGTAGTCGTCGTCGCGTCACCCCCGCACCCGCGTCTTCGCGAATGTCTCTTCCGTCTCGCTCGCTCCTCCGCTCCTCGGCTTCGGCCTGCGAACGGGGCTCGCGGGATGCGAAGGAAAGCGAACGCGACATCGATCCGGCCGTCTGCGCCGGCGTCGCGGGGTTGATTTTGCGGATGCGCCCGCGCCCAGGTATACGTCCCCCCGGTATACAGGGTGTGCGAGGAGGCCTCGCGGATTCCGCGGATTCTATCGGATCTCTCCCCTTTCTTAGCCGAGCTGGGGTAAACTTTCCGCCTCCGAAGCAAGTCTACAGTCAGCGGATTAATGACTGATTCCACCGTCACGGTTTCAGTGTAATCGAAAGATTTTCATGCAATCGACGATTATATTTTGTACTCAACGGAACTGACCAATCGGCCAGTTAGCTGAATCGACCAATGCGATTGGTCAATTCCGTCGAGTCAATCGTCGATTCAAACCATGATGGTGAAGCCGGGGATAAGAGTCGCGACACTTTCTGCGGATGAGTTTCGCAACGCATTACGCGGGATTATTTGTTTCTCGGTAATTCCCAAGAGATAGATTTTCCCGTTGGATACAATACGCGTTACGGAAAAAACTCATCGGGAAAAGGAACGTACTTGCAGCACTGATGCAGCTAAAAAGAACAAACCTATTGTCTCGCACACAGGCGCCCTTTTACTTCGATTCGAGACATTCGATTCAAGTTCACCTTGACTGCTCGACATTCTCGAGGATGCCTGGATAGATATATGTTTGTCAGGACACCGCAATGCCTCATAAATATTACGGAATGTTCTTAGATGGATAAGTTTGTTTTTTGTAACAAAAGTAGGATGGATGTTAGAAAATTCATCTTCTAAAAAAAAGAAGGTTGAACTCGAAGTCGTGCGTCTTTCAGAGCCAGCGTGCTCTAGAAATAACCCTCTGCCCGCACAGTGAGACCTCTATATCCAGGCTTTAGCCGAAGACGGAATCGATTTCAGGTGGAGCGAGGAAAAACACCCCTACTACCGATTACCTTCTTTCGTGGCGCTCTTCGTGCACGTCTCGAGCTCATTACGGCGAGGCGACGCAGTATTGCACCAGCAGGAGCGCTCCTGCGTGACTATGTGAGAGTAAAAAAAATGGTATTTATAGTAAGATCTTATATTTAAGACCGTCTTAAATTCATCTTCATCAACGAATTGTAATCAATGAA